GCTATAGTGGGGTATCCCATAGGGGGTACAACCCAATTAGGGTTTCCTATATGTACTCACTTCATTCATAGTTCATTCATTCTTGTTCAAATCTTCTCAACCTCATGTGAGATTTCATTAAGCGTAGCTGGTGATACCAAGTTCCGTTCGAAAGAGCAGTCTCTGTCAATAGTCGCATCATGTACAGTTTGTGTACTTGATTCAACAAGAAATGAGGTGCCCCAAGTTTCGCCGTCGTCACACTCTTCGAGAAGTGTGTAATGGTTGCTTGATAACCAAAGATGGATTTGATTATTATTCGTTACAAATTCAATTCCCTCGCATTGCACTCATTCACGAGAATGGAGCCAAATAATAACAGTCATGTTCATTAACTCGCAAAATGCTTTGATTTCGCAAACCGAACCCCAAACTGAAGGATGTTGAGTATAATCGATATATTCATCCGCCGATGCTAGTGGCACATCATGAGACATCGACGCCACGATTTGGTATCTAGCCCAATTTGCATGTACGTGTTGAACAATTTTGTCCTTTAGTGGACGCCAAAGTTCATCGTTATTGGTTATTGCGAGTGATAAGCATCGAAATAAGCATGCCCCATCCCCACGCACAATTCCTTTACGAAACATAAACCTTCTTCTTAACGCACCGTCAATTGAAGCACTCGTAAAGAGTCTAGGTGCAGGAGTGCCCATCTCCAAATGTCACGAAGTGCCCCCTCAAATGCCCCGATGCCAATCCAAGTTCACACGCTGAAAAACACAGACAAATGAATTGACACAAAAACCAAAATAGATGCACAAAATATATACTGACATATTAAAATTAAAAAAGTTAATAGAAACACTGTCTAAATATAATAATAAATAATATTCTCCAAACTAATCAAGTTGCAATGAAATATGTCTGATCTATATTTTAAATGCCTAAATATAACCAACGCATGAAAATCAGACCAGCAATAATAACATAAAAAAATCAAAACACAAAAGTACAAATGACTCATTTTTTGCAAAAAATAAAACATTATGGACCTTCGATGTTCTGCTTCGGTAGGATTCAAGCGCCCACGAAAAGCTTCAACACTAATCTGAGCTTACACACAAAAGGAGACAACAAAAATATAAAATTGGGTTAAACAGAGAAAAATAAGAAAACAAAAATAACACAAAAAAAGGCAAAACAATCACAGCATCTACGGCATCTTGGAAGTGAGAAAAATGGATATGGCAAAAACACAATAATGTCACTATTAAGTGTGAAACATATTAACAATAACACACAAACATTTATTTACCTACCAGAAAAAAAGTACTAACTACACCACCAAATAACTTTCTCAAAATGAGAACTACTCCATGAAATCACTATACATTGTACATAAAAAACCATTGTAAATACCTTTATAGCTTACAGCCAACACTTCACCAGACTCTCAATTTCAGAAGGGATGCTGTTGAATCTTGATGATGTTGCTGTAAGACAGTACACAGAACGTATCATGTATGCATCAAAGGTTAGAAACGCTGCATTCAAATCAGAAGTAGGAGCAAGCATTAAAATAGTGAAATATTGGTTGTGACACAAAAAACATTGAATAGAATTTACAAAAAATGCATTGGTAAACATAGTCAAACATCATATTACAACCTTGGTATGCTGAACAATCTGGCACAATTTCAATGCTGATAGTATGAATCCGTTCTTGTTTTCCCTGCTGATATAAATAACAGAATGAAGAACAACACCACTGTCCATAAGACCTAGAAGATTGTAAGACAAAATAAAAATAAAAAAACGTTTGAAAAAACATTAACAAGCTAGCAATTTCACTATATTACCACAAAAACTTCAAATGGAGACTTTGAGCTCGGTGCAGCCTGAAGTTAAGATGCTGATGTAAACCAATTGTTGATGCTTGATAAGAAGCAAGGTGTGCAGGGCTGACTATTCAAAAAAATCCAGTCTGATGTTCTGGGGGCTCTGAAATTTTTTAGTCTGAGGCATATTTCCCAGAGAATGGCTACTCTGATTTTTCAGGTTCCGCAAAAACACAAGTCTGAAGTACTCAGAACACACTACAACCACTGCAGTACAGTACTGCCACGAATGTAGCACGTGGGGCGCAGCGCTAACCGACTTTGCTGCGCCAGCACAGAGTTTCCCTTGCTGACACCGGGTAGCTGCAGTGATGGTCCCTCGTGAGTGAAAGAGCGAGCCAAGTTGGCAGATTTCTAAAGGAAAATGGTGGCAAAAGTAGCCAAGGACAGATTCTGCGCGTGACAGCGCCATGAAGTGTGTTCGTACACTGGCAACATATGACGTACGGTAGCGGAATGTACGTAGAAATTACAGATCCACATTTCAGGATCCGTACTCCCTGTAGTATGAACACCCATTATCGGTTAAGTCAGTAGTCTGAAAATCTCAGGATCCAAAACCAGGTAAGTCTGAGGTACTCATGTTTGAAAATCTTACAAGTCTGAAAAATCAGGATCCGTAGGAAAATACCCTGAGATTTCAGACAATCAGACTATTTTAGTCTGATAAAGTCAGCCCTGAAGGTGTGGGAGTGTATGTTGGTAAATGCAAGAACATAGAAGTCAATGCATGAGGATAATAAAAACATACAAGGATTGAGCTCGACTTTCTTCTAGATAGGTATGCTAGGGTACACTCTGAAAAGTGATCAAAAGTTGAGAGTAGCTGGAAGAGTTTGAAATAGAGTAGTTAACTAAAGAAGAGAATATCTCAACTCACTTAATATGTAGCAAGAGAGAACCAAGAAGAGTTATCACTAGATAAAAGAGAGCTTGAAGAGTTATCACTAGGTACCTTGAATGTGACCACTAAAAGAGCTTGAATATGTTGAGCTTGAATGTGTTGTGAGGAAGAACAATGAAACAAGCTCCAAGAAAATGTTGAGTTTGGTTTGAGTAAGAGAAGGATGGGAAAGAAAGGGAGAAAGGGCTAGAGGGTTTGCTTTGGGAAGGGAGAAGTGGAAGAACCTTTCTTGATTGGACACAAAGTTGACCAATGGTAAGAGAATTGTTACTGTGCAGTGGAAACAAAAAAAACAGTTGGAAGCATTGAGCTAGAAACAAAACAGCCAATTGAACAATGCTGTTTGTTTTGTTTCTAGTTCATAGTTCATAGTCAATTTGTTGACAATTTACAGTTGTAATAGTTTGACAACTGTTTGTTTTGTTCCTACTTGAAAATCGTTTTCATTCTACAGTTACAACTGAAATATAGGACAAAAGCAGAGCAGACGAACTACAACTTTCAAAAAAAAAAAAAAAAAAAAAAAACGTGAGCTGGCGTTTTACAGTTACGCCAGCCAGAATGAGCAGTTACGACAACAAGAACAAGGACCAAACGTACTGTACGCGAAACCCCCCCTTCCACAATTCTCGCCTCGCCCCACCCCTTCCCACACTTCAAGCGCGAGAAACAGCACATGTCAGCAGCGAGCTCGATTAATTTCGGGCGACGCTGATGACGTCAGCACAATTTCTCGCGCGAGAAAAATGCCTGACGTCAGCAGCGACGTTCGAAATTTCACGCAAATTTCGATGCTGACGTCATCATCGATACCAGAAATTTCGCGCGAAAATTTGACGATGATGACGTCACCGAAACGAAGCTGACGTCATCACCTCCCTTGTTGTAAAACTGTTCAAATGATACATCAACAACATCTATAACTGTAAACAAAGAAAACAACCTACAAAATCCAATACTCATATAAATGTTCTTACTATAATATAGAGAAATCAAGTCTACCACGTATACCACATAAATACTCAAAAACAATTAAAATCTTCAACTCATCATTCGCATAAGGACATAAAAATGGCACCCATATATTTAATCCGAATACGACGAAGTAATCAACGTCGTTAATAAATCTTTCGGCATGTTACAATTGTTGCTTCGCAACCCTAAGACGATTTCGTCGCCTCTTGTTTTTTTTTTTTTTTAGCCATATACACTATAAGATGCATACAAGCTTTGACAGTCGTAACTGTGGCTGATGGGCCTGGACAACCTAAGCTGTCGTACCCATCTTGACCCTTTAAAGCGACGGGCAACTTTTGGCAGTGTTGGGTTCAGAAGTTTTTTTTTTTAACCAGGCTTGCCAGCGCGAAAGTGCTGGCTGGCGAAAACCAGGATTTCGTGCGGACACTTTCCATCCGCAGTAACAGTTCGCCAGGGTTCTGGGTTTTGGGTGGCAAATGTGCACCGTCGCTTTAAAACCAGGGTGCACATTCAACGCGGTTCGGCTTGAGATGTTGGGAAGGGGGTTTGGAGAAAAACAGTGATTGGCTCACGAGGGGCGACAAAAAAATGATTCCGCTAGAGCTTCGGGCATTTCGTAGGTGGCGGGAGGGGGTGAAATGGCGGGAGTGGGTGAAACCGAATGGCGGGAGGGATGAAACAGATTGGCGGGAGGGGGAGGAAACGAAATTGCGGGGGAGGGGGGAAACAAAATTGCGGGGGAGGGGGGAAACGAATTTCGACGGGGAGGGGGAAATGAAATTGCGGGGGCGTGGGGAAACGAAATTGCGGGGGAGGGGGGAAACGAATTTCGACTTGAAGGGGTTGAAAGCACACCTCGTAACCCACTCAGTCAAGGGATAACCTTTGATGCACATTCAGCTGAATGTGCACCCCGGTTTTAAGGGGGATGGTGGATCGTGCGCGGGTTGGCCCAGATGGAGGTGAAGCCATGTATCCACGCAAGCGACTTCGCTGAGTTGTCACAGATGTTGCTCAGCGCCCGAAATTCGTCCGGATCCAGCGGCTCCAGGAGTGAGCGCTGACCAAGACCCTCTGCCCCACCTGCCCGATTCAGACGCGTTCAAGTCTTCACACAATTTTTTACAAAAAACGTCGCAAGCATGTGTCGCAAGTTGGCGACGTGCAAATCCCAATCACACGAGGGGGCCAATTTCAACAAGTGTTGCATGTTCAATTCACACACAACAAACGCCTTAGACATGTGCCTGCTGGGGCGGCAAAAACAGCATAGGAAAAGCAGAACTGCGGGAAAAAACAGAGAGTTTCGGGTTAGAGATAAAAAGGAATAGGTAGAAGGAAACGAGAGCGCACGGAGAGCGCTGATTGAGCGAAAATTGCTGAATGGTAGGGTGTTGGGAGATGGGAGGGGAGAAACGAAGGGCGACTTGCAGGCATTTCGGGGCGAACGCGAAAGCGCCGAGGTGGGTGATGGGAGGGGAGAGAGGAAAGGTGACGACTGCATCGAGGGCAACGTGAGAGGAGGGGAGAGAGGATAGGAAACGGGAGAGAGCAAGGGCAACGGGAGAGAGAACGGGCAACGGGAGAGAGAAAGGGCAACGGGAGAGAGAACGGGCAACGGGAGAGAGAAAGGGCAACGGGAGAGAGAACGGGCGACGGGAGAGAGAAAGGGCGACGGAGAGAGAGCAAGGGCGACGGAGAGAGAGCAAGGGCGACGGAGAGAGAGCAAGGGCGACGGAGAGAGAGCAAGGGCGACGGAGAGAGAGCAAGGGTGACGGAGAGAGAGGAAGGGCGAGGGGAGGGAGTTTCGGGGCGTTGGCGAGGGCGACGAGGGGAGCGACGGGAGGGAGCTTCGGGGCGTTGGCGAGGGCGACGAGGGGAGCGACGGGATGGGAGAGAGGAAGGGCGACGGGAGGGAGTTTCGGGGCGTTGGCGAGGGCGACGAAGGGAGCGACGGTATGAGAGAGAGGAAGGGCGACGGGAGGGAGTTTCGGGGCGTTGGCGAGGGCGACGAGGGGAGCGACGGGATGGGAGAGAGGATGCGCGACGGGAGGGAGTTTCGGGGCGTTGGCGAGGGCGACGTGGGGAGCGACGGGATGGGAGAGAGGATGCGCGACGGGAGGGAGTTCCGGGGCGTTGGCGAGGACGACGAGGGGAGCGACGGGATGGGAGAGAGGATGCGCTACGGGAGGGAGTTTCGGGGCATTGGCGAGGGCGACGAGGGGAGCGACGGGATGGGAGAGAGGAAGGGCGACGGGAGGGAGTTTCGGGGCGTTGGCGAGGGCGACGAGGGGAACGACGGGATGGGAGAGAGGATGCGCTACGGGATGGGCGACGGGATGGATGAACGGGAGGGGCGACGGTATGGGCCACGGAAGGGCGACGACGACGGAACGGAACGGGAGGACGACGGGACGGCAGAATGGGCGGGTGACTGGACGGCCGAACAGGAGGGCTATGGGGAAGGAGAAGTGATCGCGTGGGTAAGGGAGGCAAGAGGAGATCACGTGAGCGACGGGACGGACATTCTGATTAATACATGTTGAGATAACGAGGGCAACAGTCCAGACATAGCCTATGCCCAACCTAGCTACTTACCGTATAACTAGCGACGCAAAAATGGTAGTAGTTCACCCCATCCCAACTTGAAACATGAGCTGGGCCCAAATCGCTTGGATAGACTGAAACGATCGCCTATGCAATTGTCGTGCGAAATGAGAAATGAGAAATGCGACGCCACACATCCCCAGAATGTTTTTCTTTTTGGCGGGAACCAATCAAAGGTGTTGGATTCGCACGTCCGCAGCGTTTGAAACGGTACAAACTTGTCAGTCCGGTCCAAAATTTGTTTCGCCCGGCAAACTCGTCCCTGCACTCTTTCAAGTTGGGTTTGGGTTCACTACTTTACATTTCGGTTTTATGGAGCTGTCAAATGCGCCCTCTAAAAAGAATGGCACAATTGTTCCAGACAGAGGAGCAGCAGCTAGTGTACAGGACAAGGGGATTCTTCCTGCATAGCATATGCTGACTTTCCTGTGTATGTCCAACAGCAGGCAGTGCGAAATAACTTTCTACATGTAAGGAAAATTCCTTTTCCTTACTTCGCATCCCTGCTCAACGCGTACATCACTGTAGCACCACAGTCAACACCGTTACCACTCGCAACCCTCGCATCGACAATCTGCCCGCCACCTTCGCACATCGCACCCCGACCTCACGGCTCGGCGGGTAACCCGCGCTCCGGGCCTCCGCTTCGACACTTTTTCCCAACCTCAGTCCCAGGCCCGTCGCGCGACAACCACAGTCCATTACCGTTACCACTGTAGTTTCGCTATATATTCTTCGCTCATGCCTTCGCTCATTGTACTCTTGCTTCGATAGTGCAATTCTCGTTCGTTCACTCAATTGCACTCGTAACACTACACCACAACAAACATCATAAAGCATCACAAACTAGAGGCCTGTCCCGCTAGTTATGGCTACGCCTAGTCACTGCACTTCAGGGTTCTTTTCCCATATGCAGAAGTCATGACCTGACATGGCTATCTGCCAAGACGAATCTGCACAGGGAGGGAGGGGGGAGGGGAGGTGCATCTTCAGCCTTCTCTTCATGTTTAAATCGGACAAAACCACAACTTTTCAGAGAAGCACCATCTTTCTGTGATGTACAGTACCTGGTGCTATCTCCATTAAACAGCCTCTCCTCATCCCCAGCATCCGAACCGGTAAACAATGAAGACAAACAATAGGCAGCGTAGTATACAGCTTACCACAGTGATCCACAGTGACCCATGCTGAACCACAGTAACTGGTGCAGTCCCAAGCATGCCAAACGACGGCCCGAGCTTCACACCGACTCCTTGGAATGCCTTAGAATGCCTTGAAATGCCTTTCCATCCTCTACATGCGCCGATGCGCCCCACATATAGCACATATAGCCGTGTGTTGCTCGCGACGATGCAGGAGGTTTTTTATGTGATGTGGTTGAGATGGCGCTGTGATGCCACATACACACTAACGCTCACACTCACGCTCACAGTGACCCACAAAAACAAAAAACATACACACTCATGTACCTGGTGCAGTCCCGTGCATGTCAAAAGAAGGTCCAAGCTTCACAACGACCCCGCGGAACAGCCTGTCATCATCCACGTTGGTGCCAATGCGCGCCACATAGAGCTGCGTGCTGCACGTCATGATGCGGATGGCGCTCCTCGATGTAATGCCGTTGCGCTGCCGGATCACCAGCAGCTTCTGAATTGGGTCCTGCGATGATGGGATCGTGGATGGGGGACAAAAGATTGTGGAAATGAGAAGATTTTTTTTTTTTTTTTTTTGTGTGTGTGTGTGTCTTCTTCTCGTCGTGTCAGTTTGCAAGGCAGAAATGAATTGTGGAAGGGGCACCACGAGTAGTGGATGGTTCTGCTGAGGAAGCTGAAGAAAGCACTGACCTTGAGGTTCCACTCATAGAGATGGTCAATGAACACACACGGCACACCCGGGTGGGTCAGAATGTACACGTAGCTGCACAGCGGAAGGGTGAGGGAGGGGTTTGAGTGCAGGAAGGGTGAGGGAGGGGGTGCAGGAAATGTGGGGGGGTGAGGGAAGGGTGGGAGGTGCGGAACGCAACAAGTGAGCCAAAGCATCCCTGAAGAAACTCGCACTTGCGTGGGAGAACGCGAACCTCCTTTACTGGAAGAGTAGTGAGATGACACGAGAGCACCGATTCAGAAACACGTGGCAGAAGAAGCAGCAAGTACCCCAAACGAATTCGGAAGCAAGAACATGCGGTTTACCAAACAGCCATATTGTACTCTCGGGGTTCCTGACTACAGTAACCACGACGACCTCCATGGCCACCATACCACAGCCTATCCCACCGTATCCCACCCTATTCCACCCATTGCCAACCACCTTCATCCCGCCCTGCTTCGAGAATGAATCCCCACGCTGGAAACGGCCAACACTGCTGCATGGAGCTTGAGGACTGATTGGCTGGCTTCATGTCCCAGTCAATCCCCCCCATCCCAGCCTCCCTACCTCCCCACCCCCACATCCCAGCTTGGCCAAAGCCCTCTCTTACATCTCACCCGAGAGTGACCTCCCATGAAGGGAAGGGCCAGCGTTGCTGTGAGGAGCCTGTGGAGTGATTGTCTTCATGCCCCAGCCTACCTTCCCTCATCTCAGCCTCACTATACCTATCCCAGCCTTGCCCCCGCCCTTCCCAGGTTCCCTCCCCTCTCACCCCAGAGTGACCCCCCAGGCGGGGAATGGCCAGTGCTGCTGTGTGGAGCCCGTGGAGTGATTGTCCACGAACGTGACTGCCTGTCAAAGGGCGGGAGAGGAGGAGGTGGGTGGCAGGAGGGGGGAGGAGGGGGCGGGAAGGGAGAGGAGTGAGAACGGGAGGATGGAGATGCATGGGAGCAAGAAAGCCTGTGGGGTGGTAGTCAATGAAGTTGACTGCCTGGTGAAGGGCGCGGGGGGGAGAGAATGGAAGGGGAATAGAAGGGGGAAAAGACTTCTAAGTCGACTCACAAGTACTTTTGGCACGCTGCCAACTTCAGGGAGGTTACCGCTCACTGCGTAGTAGCATGCCTACTCTCACGCACCTTGCCTTTGAGACGTCTCAAAACCAATCTTCATACACGTGCATGCTCTCACGCACCTTGCCAGGCAGCAAGCCGATGAGACCGGGAGGCCTGCCCTGGGGGTCAATGAGTCGCCAGTACTCGCAGTTCTGCACTGCCGCCTGCAGTATGCCCTGGGGGACAGAGGCATGGAGGGGTGGGGAGGGGTGTAGAGGGGTTGAACCACATTAAAAATAGGTCGAAGGTGGTCCATCAGGGTCTATCAGGCGCCAGTGCTCGCAGTGCTGCACCGCTGTCTGCAGCATGTCCTGGGGGACAGATGGAGGGGGTGGAGAGGGGTGAGGAGGGGTTGAATTGCGGACAATGGGGTACATATGGTTCTATGAGGCGCCATTACTCGCAGTGCTGCACTGCTGCCTGCAGTATGCCCTGGGAGACAGAGGCATGGAGGTGGCAAGGGGTGAGGAGGGGTTGAATCACGGTGAGTGGGGGGCAATGTGGGTCCATGGGGGGTCTATGAGGAGTATCTGTCAGGCGCCAGTACTCGCAACACTGCACTGCCGCCTGCAGCATGCCCTGGGAGTCAGGGGCATGCAGGGTGACCTTTGAGTCGACTCAAAAGTCACTGCCGCCTGCAGCATGCCCTGGGAGTCAGGGGCATGCAGGGTGACCTTTGAGTCGACTCAAAAGTCACTGCCGCCTGCAGCATGCCCTGGGAGTCAGGGGCAGCATGCAGGGGTTGGGGAGGGTGAGGAGGGAGGGGTTGAACGACCATCAATGGGGGTCAACCGGGGGTCCACGAGGTGTCAGAAGTAGCTGTGCTGCCTACCTGCTGTGTGCCCTGGATGTGCTCCGAAAGATGATGGACAGTCCTTGGGGTGCATCGAGTCAACGAGGGTCAACGAGGGTCAACGAGGGTGAACGAGGGTCAACACGGGGAGAATGGCAGAGGGGTTTTCGTGACTTGTGCAAATAAACGTCCATGGATTTATTATCCACACAATGCAATGGAGTGATCTTCTGTGTATGTAGTCGATGATAGAGAATGCTACTTGCGCTTCATGTGATGCAATACAGTACAACAGCGTTTGGTTCTACCTTTGTGGTGTAGTCAATCATGTGAGGTGTGCCCCGTGCTGCCTTCACCCAGTCAGCGAGCAGTGCTCGATGCGCGTCTGCAGAGGACAGAGAGGGAGAGTGGCATGTGCAGAAGAGTGGCGCGTACAGGACAAGAAAGGACGGATGATTTTTGAGAATTCTCAAAAGTGATTCCCAAGAAAGCACGGATGTAGACTGATGAGAAAGATGATCATGTGAGGTGTGCCCCGCGCTGCCTTCACCAAGTCAGCAATCAGTGCTCGATGAGCGTCTGCAGGGGGCAGAGAGGGAGAGTGGCATGTGCAGGAAAACAAAGCACGGATGTAGACTAACAATGCAGCCACTCAGGCTGTTACAGTCAGCTGACTGACACAGCTGTAACCTGACAATGATTTTAATCAGCTGAAAAAAAGGAAAGAACAAAACAAAAAGTCAACCAGCTCACCTTGATCGTATTCGAGAGTGCTGCCCTGGTACCGCATCTCCGTCCACACATCAGCGACTGCAAACGTGGGGCTCGTATCCCAGCAGTACCTGCACCGAGTGCCTATGGGCGGGGGGATTGGTGAAGGCACAGGCATCCTATGAGGCACAGCGACACAGGCAGCCAAGAATGTTCCGGAAAGTTGACCTGGTTGGGAAAATCCTGGGGGTGTAGAGGCTTGGTTCGGCGTGGGACAATGCTGGAGGGTGTGGTTCGGTACGAACGAGAGGAGTGAGTGAGTGACTCACGAGTGGGCAACTGCAGGATCGAAGGCACGTGCGAGGTCGAAACATTTTGAGGCGCCTCAAAATGCACCTCACTACACGCGGTACGAACGAGAGGAGTGAGTGAGTGACTCACGAGTGGGCAACTGCAGGATCGAAGGCACGTGCGAGGTCGAAACATTTTGAGGCGCCTCAAAATGCACCTCACTACACGCGGTACGAACGAGAGGAGTGAGTGAGTGACTCACGAGTGGGCAACTGCAGGACCGAAGGCACGTGCGAGGTCGAAACATTTTGAGCGCCTCAAAATGCACCTCACTACACGCGGTACGAACGAGAGGAGTGAGTGAGTGACTCACGAGTGGGCAACTGCAGGATCAAAGGCACGTGCGAGGTCGAAACACCACGCCTGCAGGGGAGAAAAGAGGAGCGGAGCAGCGGAAACACAGTAGGGGGGCCACGGCAGGGGCAGCATGGCAGAATGAAATGAGAGTTCTGGGAGAGGTGAGAGGCCGAGTCACCATATTGCACACGAGTAGTCTGCATGGAGCGACGTCAAAAGCAACATGAACCTTTCAGTACCAGTACGGCCATACTACGACAAGGATAAACAATAAGGGATCGACAAACACATCAATGTTGTTATTAGGGAAACTAAACGGCAGAGACCGGATTTGCATAATCAGACGCGTGAGGAAAAGAAGTGCGTTTTGGTAGACTCGGTCCTCCCCTCACTCACATCGAAGCCAGCGTCGAATCGCAGCCATCACAGCCACCCCTTACAGTCCTCCTCCACTGCCAGGTTCCCATGGTCCATGCCATGCCCCCCTGCGCTTACCCCTTTTCGAGTCAACTTAAATGTCACAATGTCACACATGTGTTTTCTACAAGAGACGCTATTGCTTCCGGAGGTTACTAAAATGAGAAGTTGGTCAGAGATGTTGGCGTGCTTGTAAAAAGAGTATACACAACAGTGCTCGTAGCTATCACTCACATTGAATAATGTCACTCACATCAAAGCCAACATCGTATCGCAACCATCGCAGCCACCCCTTACAGTCCTCCTCCACTGCCGGGTTTCCATGGTCCATCACGCTGCTCCTCCGCCCCCCTGCCTGCACGTCAATGCCCTCCTGCTCGCCTTGCCTCCACACTGCTGGCTGGACAGCGGGAATGGACAGGGTTGCATGTTGAAAGGGAAGGGAGAAGTGAGTGAGAGGAGGGAAGCTGGAATGCTGGGATGTTGCAATGTTGAAATGCCGCCAAACTTCCGACTGGATGCATGGAATGAAGACATGGGTCTGGGAGGGCGGGCAAGACGAGAAGACACATAGTACCTTGGAATGATGTAACTAGCACGGGGCCCACTCACCCACCCCGTCCACCGTGTTGGTGAGTCGGTTCCACACCAACAACACAATGACGGTTGGGTGCGGAAAGGGAGGGTTTGGGCAAGTGGGCAGGAGGGTCTAGGAAGTGTTCATCGTGCTTTGAAAAACGAAGAGGCGACCCACTCACCTCGTCTACAGTGTTGGTGAGTCGGGTCCACTCCGACAGCCCTGGCTCGCCGGGACCCACTCCCGGCGGCACCCCGCCCCCTCCCCCCATCTGCTGTTGCTGTTGCTGCTGCTCCGATCCGCTCGTATCACCCCATCCGCCCATCCGGTTCACCACCACGTGCAGGCACGCGCCCAGCCCTGCTGCGTGCAGCTGCGTCAGCAGCTTCCGCAGGCTGGCCTCTGTTCCGTACGCGCTATTGAGGTCGTAAAAGTCCACTGGGGAGAAACCTGCGTAAGACAGAGAAAGATATATGGAGCTAAGCCTCTAATATGATTGACCAATGTACCTGACATGTCTATTCATGTGACAAGAAGTATCAACCAACATGGATTCACCTAACATGAAGAATCACCTGACCTGAAAATTCACCTGACATGAAGATAAACCCGACATGAAGATTCACCTGGTCCATCAGCAGCCTTGCAGCAGGGCGGGAAAACGAGGTCCGAAAAGCCCATCGCCTTGAAATCACCCACTCGTTCCGCCAGCACGTCATACCACCTGCCGTTGATGCCTCCTCCTCCTGATTCATGCGACGACCACGAGAAGGCGTGTAACAAGCAGCGCGACGAGGCTTCTGGTAGCGGGCCGTCGTCCTCGTCGGAATCGAAGGAGAAATCCCATAGCAACCCCGGATCGGTTTGCTCGGCTGAGTCGTGTTCCGAGCTCGCGCTTGCTGCTAGCGAAGAGTGTTGCAACGCGAATGTCACAAAGCACCGTCGCGCGTGAGGGGGGGTAGCTTGCCTGGTCGAAGACTTTCGACGAGCTTTCGTTAAAGCCCAAGAATAGCAGTTTACCCTAGCCCTGACATCCGCTTCGCTACCTTTTGGACCAGAGTGTTTAAAGCCAAGGGACAGCCTGATAAACCCTTTCGGTCTACGGATCGAGGATCCATGAATGCTTCTGACGACCGTGTGCGAGCCGTCTAGCCGTTCCGAAAGAACGTGCGGCGGAAGATGCACGTCCATGCAGACCATGCGAATTCAGACGAAAAGAGACAAAGCAAACTCTAAGCTTAACGTAAGCCGCGCGCGGTGAGGCGAGCGCGCAACGACATCTGCACTTGGCACGGTCCGAGCGGATAGCACGGCTTCCCGGAAAGAAACGCGCGGCGGAAAAACTAAAAAGAAAACATAACAAGGAAACCAGCCTGACAAAAAGTGTTTAGCAGCAAGCTGTGCTGTCGGCAGCTACCAGCCTACCACCACCAACCACTCTGGCCAGGACTGGGACAGATGACTATCATTAGACATTATCAAAACAGATGATCATGAAGTCTGAAAGAGTGCGTGCGTGCGTGAGATCGCACTGGCGAAATCGAGAAGAGCCGCAAAGTTACGCTGTCCACCGCACTAGAACCCCGCTGATTTCATCGCACTCTACACAGCCGCGTTCAAATCCGCTGCAACGAGCGATCTCAAGGGCGATCGATCGAAGCGGGACCACGTGCTGAGCGTGTTCGACAAGATCGCGGGAAAACATCCAACCAATCAGAGAAGCGAAACTGTGTCCAGCGCACGCCTATGAGCTGAGGTGGTCCTTTAACATTGGGATCGAGGACTCAGGGGACAATTGGTCAAGCTCAGTCTTGTGACAGTAGGGAGCGTGACTTTTGGATGTGTATACTGTAGACAGAGCATCCCATACTTGAGCAGGTGGTGTGAAACATGTTAGGTGGAAAAGAACCAAATCATATGGCATAACGTAGACTGAGCCGTACATAAGCTGCTGAGAACACCTACATTAGAAGCATCTTCAGCATCCCAACATAAAAGTTACTAGGGAAGCCTTGCCATTCAAAACGCTTGCCCACAAACACCTTACAGTTACTCTATAGGGGAGTAGTAGGAGTGGACGGCGAATATGAGGAACAGTGCTCCTCCCATCATAGCTACAGTGCGCTGCGAGATACGCAAGGCAAGCAGTCTGCCACCCACCACTGCAATGGTGGTGCACACCACATGGCCCAGCGTCGCACCCACTGTCACTCCCAAGGCGTTCTTGTGTGCTGCCAGCTGCACGTGTGGGACGGGAGTAAAGAGGGAGATGAATATGTTCATACCTCTCCCACACACAACACTCCGACTGTACGGCATCCCACGCCTCATCAAACCTACAACCACCTACTTTTTCAGGATACGATACGACAATTGAGAGGCGCCTAAAAATCCTCTCCCTCGAACAGAACTCTGTTGCTGAAAACCCCTCTCCTCCCCATCCCACCTCCAACTCCCCTGACTGCCCCCCCCATCTGCTGAACTCAGTGCAACATCTGTGGTTGGCTTGCAAAAGAAAGTCTACCCTCCCCCACGAGCCTTACAGCAATGGTTGCGATTTGGCTGCGATCGCCCCACTCTGCGAGAAAGGTGAGGATGAAAGCCTGGTGGGTGGAGGGAAGGAGGGGAAGATACACAATTCGGAGAGGTGCTTTTGATACGGCACAAATCATCTAGCCTGGTTGCGATCGCCCCACTCTGCAAAAAAGGTGAGGATGAAGGCATGGCAGGAGGAGGGAAGGAGGGTAGGAACGCCATGTGGAGAGGTGAGGATGGCAAGTGTGCAAGTGAAAGGACAGCAGCAGAAAGCGGCGAACAGTGTGAAAGTAGCAAATTGAACAAGTCATCAGATTAGAGGAACAACCTAGCATACATAGTTGGAAGGGAAGGTTGGAAGGGAAGGATGAAAGTGACCATAGGTTGGGTTGACCTCACTTGGGGAAGTGAGGGAACCATAGGTCAAGTGGGTTGGGTTGCCCACACTTTGTAGAAGTGAGACAACCCTAGGCCCACTTGGCTTGGGGTAACCTCAATTGTGGGAAGTGAGGTACCCACAAGTCAAGAGGGTTGCATTTGGGGGCTCCACCACAATTGGGTGGATTGGCACCCCAAAGTGCAAGACTACACCCAAAGTTGGGTGTAGTCCCAACCCAACTGTACACCACAATTGGTGTACAGTCACATGTGTTGGCATGCTACACAATATATATTTTAACACAACCCCTTAGCATGCTAACACAAGAAGAGAACAACCCCTGAATCAAGGGGCGCCCGGGCGAGCAAGGCCAATGAGGCGGAGGAAGGCAGAGTGCGCGGGGCGAAGGAGGGCCTTAGTGAAGATGTCGGCCAAGTTGGCCTCGGTTGCAATCTTGCGAACGGCAATGAGGCCCTTCTGGACGAGCTCGCGAACGAAGAAGTAGCGGAGTTCGATGTGCTTGGAGCGGGCGTGATAGACGGGGTCCTGAGTGAGATGGATGGTGCTGGCGTTGTCGCACCAGAGAGTGGGGCACGTCTGGGGGGCGCCAAGCTCCGCAAGAAGGAAGCAGAGCCAGCGCGACTCCTGGGCGGCCATGGTGCCAGCGTAGAGCTCGGCTTCGCAGGTGGAGAGAGAGATGGCGGAGGAGCGGGTGGAGCGCCAGCTGATGAGGCCGCTGCCAAGGGTGAAGCCGTAGCCCTGGGAGGAGCGGCGGTCCGGCTGCGTGTCAGCCCATGAGGAGTCACTGAAGCCCGAGAGAAGGGGACGGGAAGGGCCGCCGAGGGTGAGGGCAAGGTCCCTGGTCCCGCGAAGGTAGCGGAGGACCCGCTTGGCAGCTTTCCAGTGTTCCTCAGAGTGACGACCGGTGCCGACAAAGCGAGCGAGCACGCTGATGGGGTAGGCGAGGTCGGGGCGGGTGCACATCATTGCGTACATCAAGGACCCAACGAGCTCGGCATAGGGGTGGGGGGAGGAGGTGGGGGAGGTGGGTGGAGCGAGTTGGTGACCGAAGGGGAGCGGGGTGGAAACAGGCTTGGCTTGCGCCATGTCGAACTTCTCCAAGACCTGGCCGATGTAATGGGACTGGGAGAGGGTGATTGTGCGAGCAGGGCGGTTGCGCGTGATGGTCATGCCGAGGTAGTGAGTGAGGGCGCCAAGGTCCTTGCACTTGAGCCGCTGCTGCAGGGACAGCTTCACCTGCTCCATGTCGGCCTTGGTGTCAGAGAGCAGGATCATGTCGTCGACATATACCAGAATGAAGAAGCAGCGGGGGGAGGAGCGGATGAAGAGGCTGGCGTCGGAGTGGGAAGCAGAGAAGCCGAGGGACCCCAAGGTGGCAGCCAGCTTCGCATGCCACTCACGTGGTGCCTGCTTCAAGCCGTAGACGGGGCGACGCAGCTGCCAGACAGTGTTCTCAGGAAAGGCTGCGTGGAACCCGGGGGGTCGCCGGAGGAAAATGCGCTCATGCAGGTCGCCCTGCAGGAACGCATTGGAGACGTCCATGGAGTCGATTTCCATGTCGTCACGTGCACCAATGTCCATGGCGGCGCGAAGGGTGGGTGGTTTGGCGGTGGGGGCGTAGGTGAACCAGTAGTCCTCAGCCCAAGTCTGCGTGAACCCCTTGGCGCAGTAGCGGGCCTTGTACACTGGTTCCTCGCCCGGCAGCTGCTTCACCCGAAAGACCCATTTGCCGTCAACGAGATTAGCGCCAGCAGGGAGGGGGACATCGACAAAGGAGTCGTTGCGAATGAAGGCCTTACACTCCAGGAAGATCGCTGCTATCCATTTATCCGCATCAGGGCAGGCGATGGCTTCCTGGAAGGTGGAGGGAGTGAAGATGGTGGGGGTAGTAGTGGCGCCAAGGACAGGAAAGCCCAGGAAGTCAAGGTAGAGGGCGGCAAGGAATGGAGTGTGCTCCCGAATGTTGAGGAACTCCTCATGGGAGTCCTCAAGGAGCTGAATGGAGGCAGGAGGAGGAGCCCCAAGGATTTTGTCCACCGAGCGGGTATGGATGTAAGGGAGGAGGAAGGGGGAGGAGCGGGAAGTGGCACGGCGCCGCTGCTGCTGCTGGTGCTGCTGCTGCTGATGATGCTGCTGCTGCTGCTGTCCCGGCTGCTGCTGATGCGGCTGCCCCGGCTGCTGCTGCTGCTGCTGCTGCTCCGGCTGCTGCTGCTGCTGCTGCTGCTGCTGCTGCTGCTGCTGCCCCGGCTGCTGCTGCTGCTGCCCCTGCTACCGTTGCTGGTGTTGCTCCCGCTGCTGCTGCTGCTGCTGGTGCTGCTGCTGCCCCTGCTGTTGCTGATCCGGCTGCTGCTGCTGCTGCTGCCCCTGCTGTTGCTGATCCGGCTGCTGGAAAGGAGGAGGGAGAGGGGGGAGGGGGTGCAGCTGAGTAGCGGGGGAGGCGGGTGCGGCAGGGTCGTAGACGTCGGCAGAGGAGGAAGGCGGGAGTGGGGCGGCGACAGGTGGGAGGAGAGGCGCTGGAGGGATAAGAGGCGGGAGGATGGTGTCCAAGCGAGGGGGCGAGTGGGAGGAGGGAGGGGGTCAGGAGGAGGGGTGGAGTAGTAGGGAGTGGACTCGTCGAAGACGACGTCAATGCTGCGGATGAGGCGATTGGTGGGAGGGTGGAGGAATAGGTAGCCTGGGGAATCACGATTGTGCCCAAGGTAGACGCACTCCAGAGCGCGAGGAGCGAGCTTGCCAGCAGCGCGGGAGCGGTCAGCCGGTGGAATGAGGACGAACGCCTTGCAGCCCCAAACACGAAGGCCTGCGGCGTCAGGCTTGGCCTTGGACCAGAGTTCTGTGGGGGAGGAGGAGGGATGCTGAGGGTGGGAGCGGAGATTGAGGAGGAGGGCGGCATGAATGAGGGCATAGCTCCAGAGGGAGGGAGGGGTGGAGGCGTGAGCAATGAGGCAGCGCGCAATCTTGGTGATCTCACGGATGCGACTCTCAGCGATGCCGTTTTGCTGAGGGGAGTGGGGAAGGGTGGTGGTCTGCTGAATGCCGTATGTTTTGCAGTAAGTGGAGAGAGTATGATTGATGAACTCACCCCCACCGTCAGAGTGAAGGCGGCCTATGGGACGTTTGAAGTGGTTGCGGCACTGCTCAGCCCAGTTGATGACCACAGCCGGCACCTGGTCTTTCGTGTGAAGAAAGAAGACGGTGGAGTACCGACTGTGGTCGTCGACGAGCACGAGCATGTACCTGTGCCCCTGACGGGAGCGGATGGGATAAGGGCCCCAGAGATCCATGTGAACAAGGTCAATGGGGGCGGGAGCGAAGGTGGGATGACTGTGATGGGGGGACTGTTTGAGCTTGCCATGAATGCATGATGGGCATGGGGGAGCAGGGGAGGAGGTGAGGGGAGGTAAGGTGGGAGGAAGGCTGTTAAGGAGGCGAGAGGTGACGGTGGAGCGAAGTGCGGCGAAGTTGGGATGGCCGAGTCTGTGATGTAGGAGCACTGCAGGATGGGAGAGGGCAGTAGAGGAGGAGGGGGATGGGGTGGGGGAAAAGTTGGGGGGGGAGGAGGAGGCGGATGGAGTAGAGGAGGAGGATATCGGAGGAGGGGGAGGGGGAGGGTGAGGGGGAGGGAGAAGGGGACCGGTGGAAGTACCAGCACGAGTGGTGACGTGACAAAAGGAGGGACGGGGTGTGCGGAGCGTGTAAAGGCGAGTGCGAGGGCAAAGGGGAATGCGCAGGAGGAAACGACCAGAGGCGGTGTGGTAGAGATCGCAGTAGGAAGCAAAGCCAGGGTATATGGCGGTAATGCCAACGCCTTGGAGTTCACGGTGGGAGAGGAGGTTATTGCGAAGGGTAGGGATGTGGAGACCGGTGACTGTACCGGATGGGAAGGCGGTGCAAGGAAGGGTGGAGAGGTGAGTGCAGGGGATGGAAAAGCTGGAGTCGGCACCATGAACCTGGGTGGGAAGTGGAAGGGGGGTGAGGGTGCCAGCGTCTTTTAGTGCGGTTTCGGTGGCCCCACTGTCAAGGACAAAGTCCAGGGTGGGGGGGGAAGGAGAGGGAGGGAACACAGAGTACTGGAGAGTTGTTTCATGGATAGAAGAGGGAGAGAGCGGCGGGTGCTGCTGCTGTAAGTACTGTTGCTGCTGCGGCTGCTGCGGTGGGAGAGACTGTGACGGTTGCGGCTGGAGAGATTGGGCTGCTGCTGCTGCTGGAAGCACCGCCGATGCTGCCGCGGTTGCTGCGGCTGGAGAGATTGTGGTGGCTGCTGCTGCTGGAAGCACTGCTGCTGCTGCGGATGGAGAGAACTGTGGCTGGTGCTGCTGCTGGAAGCACTGCTGCTGCTGCGGCTGAAGAAACTGTGGCTGCCGCTGCTGCTGGAAGGACTGCTGCTGCTGCGGCGGAAGGAACTGTGGCAGCTGCTGCTGCTGGAAGCACTACTGCTGCTGCGGCTGAAGAGACTGTGGCTGCTGCTGCTGCAGGAAGGACTGCTGCTGCTGCGGTGGAAGGAACTGTGGCAGCTGCTGCTGCTGGAAGGACTGCCGCTGCTGCGGCTGGAAGGACTGCTGCTGCTGGGGATGGAGAAACTGTGGCGGGTGAGGCTGGAGAGATTGCGGCTGCTGTTGGTGTTGGAAGAACTGCTGCTGCTGTGATTGCCGCGGCTGGAGGGGATGTGGGGGGTGCGGCTGGAGAAATTGTGGTTGCTGCCGCTGCTGGAAGTCCTGCTGCTGCTGATGCTGGAGCTGCTGGAAACGCCGCAGATGGGGAGGGGGGGAGGGGGTGAGCAGGCGGAGATAAGGGGGGGGGGAGGAGTGGAGGGTCGGAGTGTTGAGAAGGGAGGGGCGAGGAGTAACACTGCTCCAGTGAGGAGGGGGGAGAGGGGCAGGGGGGGTAGCAGTCATGATGGGCGACGGCGGGTGGACCCGCGGCGGCCAAGGGTGAAGTTGCTGCTGCGGAGGCTGCTGCACTTCCCCTGCTGCCGCTGCTGCTGCCGCTGGCAGGAGGAGGGAGGGGGGGGGGGGGGGGGGGGGGTAAAGGAGGGAGACAGCGGTGGAGGGCAGAGGCGTTCAAGGTGCAGGGAGCGACGGTGACAAGGGCGCAGGCGGCTGTGCGAACGTGCGGCGGCGGGAAGGGGAGGCGGTGGCAAAGTCGGGGGCGGCGGCGGCGAGCAGGCCGCGACGACGAGGGGCGCAGGCGACGGCGGAAGGGCCGCGGCGGCGAAACGAGGGACGGCGGCGGCAGGCAGGCCGCGGCAACGAGGGGCGCAGGGGGAGGGGGAGGGGGGGGGAGAGGAGTAGAGAGAGGAGGAAGGGAGGGTGCAGTTGCGGCTGAATCTGCAGGCGGCGACGGGGCAGTCACGGCGGCAGGAAGTGTGGGCGGGGATGGCGCGGTCGCGGTGGAGGATGGGCAGACGGCGCCGAAGCAGTCGCGGCGGTAGGGCGGCGGCGGCGCAGTGGCGTTAACGGGAATCGCGGGGCGACGATGTTGCAGTTGCGGCGGGGGAAATTGCGGGAGGGTGGCGATGCAGAAGGGGCAGCGAGATGCGTGGGTGACGCGGAAGCAGGTGCGGCGGTGGGAGGGGAGGCGGCAATGCGAAATCGCGGCGGGGGGGGGGGGGGGGGGGGGGGGGGGGGGGGGGTGGGGGCGGGGAGGTGACGACGAGCAGTCGCGGCGGCGGAATGCGCAGGCGGCGATGTTAGGTCGCGGCGGCGGGACGGGCAGGGGGCGACGAGCTGTCGCGGCGGCGGGACGGGCAGACGGCGCCGAAGCAGGCACGGCGGCGGGAAGGGGAGGCGGCGACGTGACGTCGCGGCGGAGGGACGGGCAGGCGGCGACGAGGCGTCGCGGCGGCGGGATGCGCAGGCGGCGCCGAAGCAGGCGCGGCGGCGGGAACGCGGCGACGAGACGTCGCGGCGGAGGGACGGGCAGGCGGCGACGAGGTGTCGCGGCGGCAGGATGCGCAGGCGGCGCCGTAGCAGGCGCGGCGGCGGGAACGCGGCGACGAGACGTCGCGGCGGAGGGACGGGCAGGCGGCGATGAGGCGTCGCGGCGGCAGGATGCGCAGGCGGCGCCGAAGCAGGCGCGGCGGCGGGAACGCGGCGACGAGACGTCGCGGCGGAGGGACGGGCAGGCGGCGACGAGGCGTCGCAGCGGCAGGATGCGCAGGCGGCGCCGTAGCAGGCGCGGCGGCGGGAACGCGGCGACGTGACGTCGCGGCGGAGGGACGGGCAGCGGGCAGGCGGCGACGAGGCGTCGCGGCGGCAGGATGCGCAGGCGGCGCCGAATCAGGCGCGGCGGCGAGAAGGGGAGGCGGCGACAGGGGGTCGCGGCGGGGGGGAGGAGGGGACAGCGGCGTTGCGCTCGCGGCGGTGGAATCCGCAGGCGAGGAAGGCGTAATCGCGGCGGGAGGGGGGGGGAACGGCGGCGACGGCGTAGGTCGCGGCGAGAGTATGCTAGTGATGGCTAGTTGAGCCAGGCGTAGGAAAGGGTTTGTAGCTGTGGGGTGGGCCCATGGGAAAAAAAAAAAACTGAAGGGAGGGAGAGGTCAGGCCTAGGAACAAGTAGCTCTATACCATGTGAAAGTAGCAAATTGAACAAGTCATCAGATTAGAGGAACAACCTAGCATACATAGTTGGAAGGGAAGGTTGGAAGGGAAGGATGAAAGTGACCATAGGTTGGGTTGACCTCACTTGGGGAAGTGAGGGAACCATAGGTCAAGTGGGTTGGGTTGCCCACACTTTGTAGAAGTGAGGCAACCCTAGGCCCACTTGGCTTGGGGTAACCTCAATTGTGGGAAGTGAGGTACCCACAAGTCAAGAGGGTTGCATTTGGGGGCTCCACCACAATTGGGTGGATTGGCACCCCAAAGTGCAAGACTACACCCAAAGTTGGGTGTAGTCCCAACCCAACTGTACACCACAATTGGTGTACAGTCACATGTGTTGGCATGCTACACAATATATATTTTAACAAACACCACTGATGGGTGAACAGCCGTACATGACGGGCGAAGGGAACTGCAAAGATGGGTGGGCGGTGGAACACCTGTTAAAGCCCTCTGGGGCTTGGGAAAAAGCACGAGTGGAGGGAGCAAAACGGAAGCAAAACGGGAGGGGTAAAGGGTCTACTCACCTCGAGGAAGACAGGCGTGCAGAAGCCAGCAAAGAACTTGCGAATGCCTCTGTGCCTGCCCTTGTCATTCTCCTCGCTCTCCAGCTTCTCCTCTACCTGCTCCAACCACACAAAGAGGAGGAAGAAGAGGAGAAGAGGATTTCACCATGCTGAGAATTTTCTCTGAACTCTGATATGGAACGATCAGCTAACGCTAACGATCAGCAAGCACAAACTCCCTGAAACTGTGACAACATTTTCAATATGAGACCACAGGTCCCATCTTCATACTGAAGTGCCTTGCAAGCCTGAGACATTAACGGACGCACCCACCTCCTCCATCTCCTTTGCAGCAGACTCCTTAGGGTCGGCCCTCCACGCAATGTAGAGCAGGCGCAGGCCAAAGAAGGTGTACAGCACTGCGGGGGTGGGGTGGGCGTGATGGGGTGATGGAGGTGATGCGGGTGATGTGGTTGACAGGGCGATGGGGACATTGACATGACACGTGAATGTCCCCATCAACTGACAGCTAATGCATCAGAGGCGATGGGCGGTAGTGAGCATCACTGTGGGGCTGAACTGACAAGTAACTGATGTACAAAAACGGTCCTCCTCCCCCCCTCCACCCCCCCCCCCCCCCCCTTCTCCCCCCCCTCCTCTTTTTTCTTTTTTTCTTTTGCCATTTTCACGCTTCTCTGAGAAAACACGGGTCATTTTGTGGGACCCCGACTCACCTGTGGCAGCGCTGTTGGTGGCCTTTCTGGAAATAAGGTTGGGCACTATGAGACCCAGTCCCGTGGATAGCACCTGTTTATGGCGGGCGGACGAGAGCGACAAGGAGCAGGGGGAAGGGAACAGGAAATGGGGAGGTTGGGTTTTGTGGGGCCAAGACCTGTGGATAGGACCTGTGTATGGCGGGTGAGGAAGAGAGGCAAGGAACAGGGTGAGGTGGCGGGGGAACAGCAGATTGGGAAAGATGGGAGCTAAGGGACGTGAACTATTGAATAGGGCCTGCGCACAGGGGGTAAAGAAGAATGAACGGGCATTTTGGGGAGAAACGCACAGGAGAAAAGGAAGGGGAAACACTGCCATGCAGCCATGCAGCTGGCACAAACTGACCATGTGATTACGAACGACATCTCCACCATACCACACATGGGCACCACACCATCATGATCCCAAGGGATTCACGATCTCAAGAGATTCATGATCCCAAGAGATTCATGATCCCAAGAGATTCATGATCCCAAGAGATTCATGATCCCAAGAGATTCATGATCCCAAGAGATTCATGATCCCAAGAGATTCATGATCCCAAGAGATTCATGATCCCAAGAGATTCGACACGTTCCACAGCTCGCTGCCATGTAGCCATGCTCCTCCAAAGTTGAGCATGATATCACTAACTACATGTCCCCGTCCCGATACCAGATACTGACAACTCACCGTCATGATTCCAAGAGTTTCGACATGTTCCTAAACTGAGAGCCATGTGGCCATGACCATGCGATCACTAGAACAAACGACATCTCCAAGATACCACACACTAGCCAGCGACTCACCGTCATGATCCCAAGAGCTGAGAGCGCTCCAGCGAGCACAATGCTGCGCGGATGGCGCATGGCCATGAGGGCAGCGATGATGAACGTCTCGTCTCCGATCTGTAACGCACAGGAGATGATGATGAGAAGGAAGAGCGGGGGAGTTAGAGAATCAAACGACACGACGACATGATAACTGGTACCTACCTGAATGCTGGAGGGAATGGTGGCGGACGGCCATCAGGGCTGCCAGGATAAACATTTTATCAAATCTGTAGTCAATCGGGTGAAGGAGGATCAGAATCTGTAGGGTGAGCGTGACCACAGAGCATCGCCTTCTTCCTTGTGTCATCCTCCGATCCCTTCTTTTCATTCGTCTTCTTCCTTCCATTCCTCGGCTCACCTCGCTGACGAGGATCATGGACAGGCTCGCCAGAAAGCCACCCTTCAGCACCGCAGGGGACCACGACGCATCCTGCCATGCCACCTCCCTGGATTCCTCGCTCAATGCAACTCACCTCGCTGACGAGGATCATTGACAGGCTCGTCACGAAAGCGAGCAGCTTGAATGGCGATCACAGCGCATCCTCCCAAGAGATTCCCTGCTCCCTTTGGATCCCCTCCCAGCCACCTAAGGTGTCTCACATCACAAACGCGACTCACCTCGCTGACGAGGATCATTGACAGGCTCGTCACGAATGCGTCCAGTAGCTTGGCGGGCGACCATAGCGCATCCGTCCACCCCCCTGAACCGCTCTCCGCCCCTCCACCCCACCCGTTGTTGTTCCCCTTGGTGCCAGCGGCTGCTGCCTGGGTCGCTTCTCCCGCCGCACCCGCGAGAGTCTCCGCCAGAAGCTGCGCACCGTGAACGCGATAACAGAAAACTCGTTATGATTATTACACTTGAAAAGACAAATGCGGTGATTCATCAGGATTTACATTCACTTCGGCAGGTAATTCCTGAGACTCGCGCGATCAAGTGATGGCAGCTGCACGTGACGCAGCGTACGATCCGTCATGTCAAAACATTCTAGATCACCGACTCTCGGCGGCAATACTTACGGTGGTGCAGGCTTCGCCGGCCATTTCCCCCAATTGCTAACCTCGAATCCTCAAGAATCATTTTCTTTTGAGGCGCCTCAGAAGTGCTACAGGCTAAGTCTGCCATTAACTTTGAATTCATCCGACACCGTGCCCGCACCATCCAAGAGATAGGTGTGTTTATGAGACGTCTCAAAAAATTCCTCCGACACCGTGCCCCCACCATCTAAGAGTTTCAGCCGGGAGCATCAACCGGAACCCTGGACTGACATCGTAAAGATGGACCCTAAAAGCATCAACACATTATAGCTTCCTATGGCTTGTTGGACGGAAAGGGAATAGCTACCTTGCCCTCTCGTAAGGTCTTGGTGTCATCTTGCAGCAACTCTCGCATCTGTGTGGAACAGGATGACCGGTAGCAGAAAGGAACTTAAGAAGTATTAAACATCATAGCCTTGCTTTACATATCACGAAAGAAATGCTGCAGCGAAACAAAATAGATCACTGTTTCGGCTAATGTTCATGGATCATGCCGTTAATCTGCATCCCGCCTATAATGATGGTGCGTTGAGAGAAGAAGAAATAAAAAGAAAGGATGATTGACGCCGGCTGGAGCTTACACCGAAAGAGCTTGTGCCGGCTTGGGGTAACGACTCGCCATTAGCTAAGCAGCACAGACCTAATCCTAAAACGGCTAGACTAACCACTAATACCCGTGAAATCTGCATCCTGGCGGTGAAGGGACGCAGATCAGACGGCAATGGACCTCTACTGTAAGGAGTAACGGTATTAAGTAGAACAGACTGACGTCCTATGTAACAAAAACACTACGTAGGTGCCGTGACTGACTGAGCGGAACTTCGCGTGATCGCATACCGTCTCACTGAAGTTGTGACACACTGATGTGTGAAAGGTTTTGTACGTTTCTGCTCGGTTCTGTGACATTGTGATTTTTTACGAGGCAGATCTGAGAAACTGTCATCGCTTGTTTCGTCAGTGGTTGGTGGGTGGTGCAGGAGGGAGATGTTGTCGCTTCGTTATTAACAACACCGCAACAACGAGTCCTCCAGCTGAATGTATAGAAACATTAAGGTACAAACGAAACAGGATAATGAAAGAGTAAAAACTATGTTTGTTCCTCAAGAATCTGAGACATTCAGAACAGTCATAACAACATCCTCTTTAAGCGAAGCAACCATGACACACAGTCATCATTTTATTGGCAGCAGTCCATGTGCATTCTGAGCAATGCACCAGCCCCTCATCCAAGCACCACAAGTTTGTGACGTAACACCTTTCACTCTGCAGCATCAGAGAACCACACGCCAGCACCCTTCATCGCATCGATCTTGAACGGCAGCAGGCGAGCCGCATTGCAATGCACCACCACCACCTCCTCTCTGTGCTCCTGCAACCACACCCTCCCCCCTACACCCCTCTCTACTGCTCCACCAAACGACAGCGACGACGGCAGCTGATCCTTCATAAGTGCTTCAGATCCTAATCCTGGTAACTGAGAGGCTTCTAACGAGGATGAGGCTGAAGGGGAGGAGGAACCTAGAGGGCTGAAAGCAAGCCAGCCAGGAGGGAAGGACTCTTGAGGGAGAATACCCACTTTGAGTGGTTTCCCATCCTTAGCCATTTGAAATAGGGCCTTTTGTAGCAAGGGTACGTCACTGCTAGGCACAGCGTAGGTGTAGTCCACTGTTGCCATTCTCCGAGCCCAATCCTCCACCACAGCTTCAGTGCCCTTGGTTTGGCGGAACATTGCCAGGCACGGGGAGGCTCGGGCGATTTGCGACCAAGGGAGAGGGACGGCAAGAGAGGAATTGGAAGGAGAGGAGGGGGAGGAGATGGAGGGGAGGGGGAGGGGGGAGGCTTCTCCGGGGGAGAAGAGGTGAGAGTCGTCTTGAAAGGTGATGTCGAGCGAAGGCGGGAAGAAGGGGAGGGGGTTCTTGAGCCACACGGTGTCGAGGTCACTGCATTGCGAGGTACGGAATGGAGACGGAGCAACGGAAGAGACTAAATGAGTCCTACTTTTGAGGCGCCTCAGAAGGACTGAAGGGGGTTTTGACCCCCAAACGATAACGCAGAGGGAGTAAAAGGAGAGATGAATGCGTTGCAATTATAAGGCAAGCGGGGGGAGGAAGACATTTGAGGTGCCTCAAAGGGTGGAGGAAGACATTTAAGGTGCCTCAAAGGGGGGAGGAAGACATTTAAGGTGCCTCAAAGGGGGGAGGAAGACATTTAAGGTGCCTCAAAGGGGGGAGGAAGACATTTGAGGTGCCTCAAAGGGGGGAGGAAGAGCTGAGAGCGGGTACGGGGAAGAGGTGGTGGAGGGAGGCGAGGGAACGGATGGGCCAAGCCTTTTGGAAAGGGAGACAAGGACAGGCTATTCTCTGTGAAGGCAACATGCGGGAACATGTGGCAACATGTGGCAACATGTGGCAACATGCGGCAACATGCGGGAACATGCGGGAACATGCGGCAACATGTTACCTGTACAAGGCGTTCACTCCAGCCTTGAGCAGAGCAGAGATCGCACAAAGTAGGGGCGGCAGGCGGCCAGCAGGAGGAGGAACTCCGGGGACTATTCTTTTGACGGGAGCATTCACCTGTAGAGGGCGTTCACTCCCGCCTTGAGCAGAGCAGAGCTCGCACAAAGTAGGGGTTGACTTTTGAGTCGACTCAAAAGTCTATTCTTTTGACGGGAGCATTTACCTGTACAGGGCGTTCACTCCCGCCTTGAGCAGAGCTCGCACGAAGAAGGGGCGGCGGGCGGCCAGGAGGAGGAACTCCGGAGAGCCGAGGTGGTGGAAAGCGGTGGGGCGCGGTGTAGGATGCTGGGTCAGATTTGCCACTTCAAGCCACATGGCGTGGCCGGGATAGGCGTCCTCCACTGCCACGTACATGGCCTGGGAGAGCGGAGGGAGAGGGGGTAGGGAAGGCAGCAGGTTGGTCAAGGCAGCACGTGCAGCTGGTGGTGTCAAATCTGAGACCCCAGCCACATGGCGTGGCCGGGATAGGCGTCCTCCACTGCCACGTACATGGCCTGGTGGGGAAAGGAGCAGCGAACAGAGAGGAAAGGGAGGGGGGGGGAGGATTTGAGGTTATGTTGCTGGTTTAGTTCTGGGCAGCAACCAAGTGGTGTGGCCGGGATAGGCATCCTCCACTGCCACGTACATGGCCTGGTGGGGTGGGGAAAGAGTAGGAACGGAGGGGGGGTTGGTTTAAGGCAGCACATGCAGGCTGCTGGCGTGACTAGGATAGGCATCCTCCACTGCCACGTGCATGGCCTGGTGGGACGGATGGGATGGGGGGTATAGGAATGGATGAGGGCTGGTTCGCGATAGGCCGTGCAGGCTGTTCAGTGGAGAGTGGGACATTCAACCACATGGCATGGCCGCTTTTGAGAATTCTCAAAAGAGACTCAAAAGAGAATTCTCAAAAGAGGCTGTGCAGGCTGTTGAGTGGAGTGTGGGACATTTAACCACATGGCAGGCATGGCCGCTTTTGTGAATTTTCAAAAGAGACTCAAAAAAAGAATTCTTAAAAGAGGCTGTGCAGGCTGTTGAGTGGAGAGTGGGACATTCAGCCACATGGCGTGGCCGGGATGGGCATCCTCCACTGCTAGGCATCTTCTAGATTTCCCGGCGGGGAGAAGGAGGAGACATGATTGGAGAGGAGGGGGGCTGGCTTGAGCTGATGCGGCCTACTGCTTCAGGTCTGGGCACCCCAACCAACCCCCATCCCCCTACTTCCACCCTCCCCACCATCCCACCTCCCCCTCATCCCACCTCCCCCCATTCCACCTCCCCCCCATCCCACCTTCCCCCCAGTCACACCTTCCCACCCCACCTCTCACCTGGTCGAGGGCGAAGAGCAGGAAGTGGTTAGACAGGCCAATGCGGTTGGGATTTGACTATTGAGTCGACTCAAAAGCCAATTCCCCCCCTCAATCACACCATCCCACCTTCCCCCAGTCACACCTTCCCACCCCACCACTCACCTGGTCGAGGGCGAAGAGCAGGAAATTGCTGGAGAGGCCAATGCGGTTGAGAGCGGTGACCCAGTTGCGGAAGAGAGGCAGGTACACTGGATGGGGGATTGGGCGGGGAGGGGAGGGTGGGGAGTATGGGAGTATGAGACTCCTAAGGGCCCATGGAATGAGTTGACTTATGAGTTGACTCCAAAGTCATTGGGCGGGGAGGGGAGGGTGGGGAGTATGGGAGTATGAGACTCCTTAGGGACCCATGGAATGAATCACAGAGAAGGCACATGACAAGACAGGCAGATGACATGGCAGGCTGAATACAGTGAGGGGGATTTAGAGTGAAGGCGGATGGCCAGAGGGGGGCGGATGGCAGGGGGGGGCGGATGGCAGGGGGGGGCGGATGGCCAGGGGGGCGGATGGCCAGGGGGGCGGATGGCAGGGGGGGGCGGATGGCCAGGGGGGCGGATGGCAGGGGGGGGCGGATGGCCAGGGGGACGGATGACAGGGGGACGGATGGTCAGGGGGACGGATGGTCAGGGGGTGGGATAACAAGGCAGGAAGAATACAGGTGTGGGGACCTGAAGGGCGGGCGAATGACAAGGCAGGCGCGACTCACCATACGACGCTGCAGCAAAGATGATGGTTCCGTCCTTGGCAAACTTCCTGGCAGCTTCCTCCACGCGCTTCACCTGGTGGTACAACAAGAGACGGGTTGCATTGCATTGCATGGCAGCTGGTTAGACAGGCAACTGTGACGAGTTGACTGTGCATAAATTAATGCCAGTCACATTCGTGCGTAAATGCCAGCGTAAATGCCAATACAATCATGTCACATCCATCCAAACCACCTCATTTGAGGCGCCTAAATAAATGCCAGTCACATTCGTGCGTAAATGCCAATGCAATCATGTCACATCCGTCCAAACCACCTCATCAACCACCCACACCAGCTCTCTCCTGCCCTGCATCTGAATCCCACCTGCCCTGCATCCCACCTTCCCCGCATCCCACCTCTCCCGCACCTCACCTGTTCGACAGGCAGCATCGGCACGAACCTCCCCGCGGCCTCTCTGAACCCCTCTGCTACAGCCTGAGCGCGCGTCTGCAGCACGGGTTGTGGCAGGGGCACGTCCCAGTCAGCATCTTCTCCTGCTGCCGCCTGCCCAAAGCCCAGCCCCAGGCCCAGGGAGTGGTCGTCCGGGACACTCACGTCGCTGCTGCTGCCCATCTCCGCCCTTGCCAACCCCCCCTGTGCGCTGCCAGCCTCAGGCTCAGTGCGTTGCTCCCAATGTGATCCCCCAAACTCATTCTCCCTCATCTTGCTGTTGCTGCTGCTGCTGCTAAAGTCGGTGCCTTGTTGCCCTTGCTCTCTGCCAAACTCCGTCTCCCTCCCGACGCCGCCGCTGCTGCCAAATTCACTGCCTTGCTGCCCCTGTGCATGGCCATAGGAAGGTTCGCCTTCCCTCTGGCCGTGGGTGGTGTCACCGTGCGCAGCAGCATAGGAGGAAAAACCATCTGGAGTTTTGCTCGCGTGCTCTCCCCTTCCCTCTCCAATTCCTGATTCCCCAGCCTCCCCTTGCTGCCTCTCATCGTCCCCAGCGTCTCTCCCCATTCCTATATCATCAGTATCTCCTCCTCCTCCTCCCATTCCTTCTCCTCCTCTTTCACCCATACCTTCCCCTCCCCCTCCACCCTCACCTCCTCTCTTTCCCCACTCACGCTCCCCTCCCCCATCGTCACGCTCACCACCTGCCTTATAATGAAGCCCAAAACTCTCTCCCTCCCTCTTCTCCCTTCTTTCCTCCTCCCTTTCCTGCTCCCTTCCCTCCCCTCTTCCCACCTCCCTTTCCTCCTCCCTCCCCTCTTCCATTCCTTCCCCTCTTTCCTCCTCGCGGCCCTCATCCCGTTCCCCACCTCTTACCCCGTCCCGCTCTCCTCCTTCTTCCTCTTCTCGCACCTCTCCTCCGCTTTTGCCACCTTTATCTTCCCCCTTTTCCTCCTCCCCCTCCTCCCTCTCCTCTCCCTCCTCCTCCTTATCCCTCTCTCCCTTTTCTCCCTCCCTCTTTCCCTTCACAACTAACCTGCTCTCCATGCCCCCACCTTCCTCACGACTCTTCCATTCCCGCTTCTCCTCTCCCTCCTCATCAACTCCCTTCTCTTCCTCCGCCTTCCCTCCCTTCTTCTCTCCACGACCCTCCTCCTCCTCGGATCCTCTCTTCTTCCTCTCACCACTCTCCTCGTCCTCTTCCTCCTCCTCTTCTGTCTCTTCATCCTCACTCTCACTCTCATCCTCACCTGCACTTCCTGCTTCGCCTTTCCCGCCCTTCCGCTCCCCCATCGTCCCTTCCTCACCTCCACCCGTTCCTCTCCTCACCTTCCCCTCCCTTGCACCATCACCACCGCCAGAAGAAGCAGCATCACTCGCCTCCCTCTCTCCCTCCACCTGCTCTGCCCGCGACTGCTGCTGCCCTGCCTTTGTATACCCACCCCTCATTGACGCCTTCCCTTCTAATTCCTCTTCTTCCTTTCCTTCTGACTCGTCCTCCCTCTCCTCAGACTCCTCTTCCTCCTCCCCAGCTCCTCCTCTTCCTCCTGACGCTCCCTTTTTCACCTTTCCCTTACCAGCCTTTCCCCCCACACTTTTCTTCTCCTCCTCCTCCTCTCCCTCTTCCTCCCCTTCCTCCTCTTCCTCCTCACCTTCCTCTTCCTCCTCTTCCTCACCCTTCTCCTTTCCCTTCTGCACTCCAACCCCCTTTCCTCTCACAGGAATCCCACCTGTCGCTGCCCTTTCTTCCTCCCCTCTCTCACCAACAGCACCATCCCTGCCCCCTCGCCCAACCCCTTCCATCCTGGTGCCTTCATCCCCCACCTCCCCCCTCCCACTCTTCTTCCCCCACTCTCCACTCCCCCCTCCACCCTCCCCTTCACCTCTCACTCCCTCCTCCCTCGTCCCAGCTCTCTCCTCATGCTTCCCATCTGCCTTCCCTTCTTCTTCCTCTTCCCCCTCTTCCCCCTCTTCCTCCTCACCCTCCTCCTCATCGTCTGCCTTACTGCTACCGCTCTTAGCTGCTGCCTCCGTGTCCTTACCTGCACTTGCACTAGCACTTGATCGTGGATCTCCCATCCGAGTCCGTTTTAAGCCTTCAGTTGCCCCAGGCTTCGCCAAGCCATCATCAAAACCAGCAGCTGAAGCTGCACCTGAAGCACCACCAGCCTTTGCCTTATCCTTCAGTTTTCCTGCACTCTCCTCGTCCTCTTCCGCATCCTCTCCATCCTCCTCCTCTTCCTCCTCCTCGCCCTCCCCTTTCACATTTCCCTCGCCTCCCATCCCTCCCTTCTCCAGCCTATCTCTTCCACTGCCAGCATCTCCCCCCACACCCCTTGAATCACCTCCTCCTACAGTCACACCACGGCTCACGCCACCAGCCTTCACTAACGGAACTGCAGAGGATTTCGTAAACGGCGACCCATGCTCTGATTCTGATTCACCTTCTGATGCTTCTCCCTTTCCACCCAGCACTTTCTTTGTGCTTGGATTCTCCTCATCCTCCTCCTTCCCATCCTCCTCTTCCTCCTCCTCTTCCTCTTCTTCCTCCTCCTTCTCCTCTGCGCCTCGCGTTCCCTTTGATACAGTTTCTTCTGCCGTCACTCCCGCCTTAGTCACGCCTGACTTCGTCACGCCTCCTGACTTAACCCGTCCGGACTCACTCAGTCCCGACCCTCTCGCCTCTGACTGAACCAGGCTTCCAATCGAAGCCCCACCCGACAGCTTACCTTCAGACGCTACACCTCTCGCCTTGGCTCCTCTTTTTTCCTCTTCTTCCTCTTCCTCCTCATCCTCTTCCTCCTCAGTCCCCTCTTCTTCTTCATCTCCCGCCCTCCCTGCCTTCTTACCACCAGCACCATCAGAAACTAACCCAGAAGAAGCAGCACGGGAACCAGCATTGCTGGCACCACTAGCCACACCACCACCACCAATGCCAGTATAGCCAGCACCAGTCGCAGCGCCAGCGCCAGCACCAGCACCAGTCGCAGCATTAGCAGCAAGGGAAGAGCCAGTCTCCGGAGGCCCCTTCCCCACCACGCTCGTCCCTTCCACCTCGTCAGGGTCCCCACCACCACTACCACCACCACCTCCTCTGCCACTACTCCCGGATTCCAAGCTGCTGGTTGCTCCCTTATAAGCTGATTCGCTACTGCCAGATGGAAGAGTGCCACCAGAAAAGGCCCCACCAGCAGTTAACCCACTTCTTCCAACATCACCAGCAGCTGTGCCTCTTCCTCCTGGCCCTTCTTCTTTTTCTTCCTCGTCCTCTTCCTCTCCCTCCTCCTCTTCCTCTCCCTCATCCTCTTTATCCTTCCCAATCGCACCTGCACCAGACAATTCTGTGCCTTTGGTGAGCTGAGGCGTTTCAAAACGAGTAGCACCTGTACCGGTTAGATCTGCACCCTTTGTGCTGCCAAAACCAGCACCACCAGCAACACCTACACCAGCACCAACGGCATCTCTTGCCTGGCTCTTCACTCCTTTGACCATGCCCTCACCTGAACCTTCCTTCTCTTCCTCCCCTTCTTCCTCCTCCTCTTCCTCCTCCTCCTCTTCGCCCTTCTCACCTTTCCTCTCTCCTTCGCTTTTTGCACTTGCTGCATCTCCCTCCTGCACCCCTTCAGTCGGCCCTGTTCCTGCCCTTGTCTCTGTTCCTGTCTCTGTTCCTCTCCCTGTCCCTGTCCCTGTCCCTGTCCCTGTCCCTGTCCCTGTCCCTGTCCCTGTCCCTGTCCCTGTCCCTGTCCCTGTCCCTGTCCCTGTCCCTGTCCCTGTCCCTGTCCCTGTCCCTGTCCCTGTCCCTGTCCATCTCCCTGCTGCTGTCCCTGCCCCTCCTCCCGCCCTCTCAGCACTCACTGCATTTACTCCTGCCCATGCACCGGCTTTGCTCCCTACCTCTCCTTTCTTCTCCTCTTCCTTCTCCTCCTCTTCCTCCTCCTCTTCCTCTTCCCCTTCCTCCTTCACTGCACTGCCAGCACCAGTCTTCAACGGGTACAGTGAGCTCTCAGCACCTCCGGCTGTAGCTGTACCAGCTGTAGCGGCTGTAGCGGCTGTAAAAGACACTGTAGCACCAGTAGCTCCAGCGCCTGTAGAGGTGAGAGACGCAGTTCCTTGCTTGGCTTGGGACGTCTTCTCCTCTGCCTCCTCTTCCTCCTCCTCCTCTTCTTCTTCTTCCTCTTCCTCTTTTTCCTTCACCTTCTTGACCGCACTGCGGCCAGAAGTTTGCAGTGGAAAACCAAAGCTGCCAGTGCCAGTGCCAGTGCCAGTGCCAGTGCCAGCAGCTGTAGCAGCCACAGAAGCAGCCCCAGCTGCGTCAGTTCCCACTGTGGTACGAGGCATGAGTGCTTTCTTGGCTACTGATGTTTTTTCCTCTGCCTCTGCCTCCTCTTCCTCCTCCTCCTCCTCCTCCTCCTCCTCCTCCTCCTCCTCCTCCTCCTCCTCCTCCTCCTCCTCCTCCTCCTCCTCTTCTTCCTCTTTCGTATCCTTGATCGCACTGCCAGCAGCAGTTCGCATCGGCGAAATAGAGCTGCCAGTGCCCGTAGCTGTAGCCGCTACCGCAGCAGCCCGAGCTGTGTCGGTTCCAGTTGTGGTAATGGGTGTGGCTCCTTCCATTGCCTGCGACGTCTTCGCCCCTGCTTCCTCCTCTTCCTCTTCTTCCTCCTCGGCCTCCTCCTCTTCCTCCTCTGCACTTTTCTTCACCGCACTGCCAGCAGCAGTGTGCAGCGGAGAGAAGGAGCTGCCAGTGCTGCCAGTGCCACCAGCTGTAGCCGCTACCGCAGCAGCCCCAGCTGCGTCCGTTCCTCTCGTGGTGATGGTCGTGGCTCCTTGCTTGCCTTGTGACGTCTTCGTCCCTGTTTCCTCCACTTCCTCCTCCTCCTCCTCCTCGTCTTCCTCCTCTTCCTCTTTCCCCTTCTTCACCACACTACCAGCAGCAGTTTGCAGCGAAGAGAAAGAGCTGCCAGTGCCAGCAGCTGTAGCCGCCACAGCAGCAGCCCCAGCTACGTCAGTTCCTCGTGCTGTGAGAGCCGTGGTTCCCTGCTTGCCTTGAGACGTCTTCCCCCCCGCCGTCTCCTCCTCCTTACCTTCCCCTTCCTCTTCCTCCTCCTCTTCCTCCTCTTCCTTCGCCTCCTGCCCTGCTAACTTCACCTTCTCCCGTCCCTTCGTCCCCTCAACCACCGGCCTTCCCACTCCCACTCCCACTCCCACTGCTCTCTCTGTGTTCAAACCCGGCGAATTCGTCAACACAGGACCACCACCACCCCTCGTTGGTGTCACTCCCCCCGTTGTAACTTCACCTCTCCTCACAGCATCAGTGTTGACTGCTTGACCGTCATTGAAATTCCCGTTGCCTCTTCTTCCCAACATCCCCTCCCCAGTAGGTTTCACAACCTTGCCACCCTCCTTCGCTTCTTCTTCCTCCTCCTCCTCTTCCTCTTCTTCCTCCTCTGCTGCCTTGCCTTCTTGCTCCTCTGCCTTGACTTTTCCACTCGCACTCCCAACCCCTCGCACAATATTCCCTCCAGTATTATCACTTTCAACAGCTTTCACTCCACCACTTTCCCGGATACTCCCTAGGCCGCTCCCTCCCTTGGCCGCATTCCCAACCCCCTCCTTTCCTTCCTCCTCTGCTTCCTCCTCTTCCTCTTCCTCTTCCTCTTCCTCCTCATCAGCCTCTCCCTCTGCCTTCTCACCTTTTCCCGCAGCATTACCCCTCCCCATCCTTACCCCCATCCTCACTCCCTCCCTCACTCCCATTCTCTCCCCTTCACCTGTCCCAGTTCCTGTTACACCCGTCCCCCTCCAAACCTTCCCTTCTCCATTATCTCGCTTCAGTCCAAACCACCGTGAGACAGTTCCCTTTCGCGCCTCTCCCTCAGCCATGATTCGCCGATCCCCTCCCACTGCAGCGGCAGTGGCCTCGGTTGCATCCGCTCCTTTCCTCGTCGCTGCCGTGATTCGGCGGCCCGGAAGCTCCTCGTTCGCGTTATAATCGGCTGCAATATCACTCGTTGCCTCCGAACCGTGCTCTGCTCTTGCTGCTGCGGCGGACTGGCCGGATTTCGCGGCGCGAGTTGCGCCGGACGTCACGGGGGGAGTTTCGGCGTAAGTTTCGGCGCCAGTCTCGGCGGCGAGCTTCCTGTGCGCCACGGACAAGCGCGGACGCAAATATTCCCGAGTCGCATCCGCTGCTGAGAAGTCTGCAGAGAAAGAGGCTGGTGCATTTGTCCCCGCTACAAGAGGACGTGACACTGCGAGGGTTACAGCCACGAGAATGAGGACTTGAAGAGGAAAAGCAACGCGTATGCGAGAGGCGGCCATTTCTGTCGTGAAGCGGATCGTAGGTATCAGGACAAGCTGATCGTATCTAGCAGGCAAAAGACGCACGGTGCCAACGCCTATATGCGATATTAAAAACACAGTACTTTATAACATATGTAGCTGCACTGTATCCAGAGCAGCCTATCAGGCACCTACTCCAGGTGTTAAAGGGAAGGGGACGTTGTCAGGAATGTGGTAAAGCGCACTGCGAGTTTGGCAACGACGAAGCAACACGGTTACCAGGCATCGATGTTACCCATCCTCCATCACTTCTGACCTAACTCGGAAGTTCTACGTTGGAACGCTAGGCTAAGAAACTGTACATGGCTTGACTTGTCAAACCACCAGCCATGGAGGTAGTCGGAAGAAATGAAGGGAAGGAAAGGGAGTGAAGGAGGTAGACGAGCAGGAAGAAGCAGATGCTGTCAGGATGAATGCGGTTGAGGTCGTATTTCGTCACAGACTTTTTGAATCGAAGACAGTTGTGACGTGGCTGGACTTTTGGTGAGGAAACACAAAAATGTCGAAACGTTTCATCTCTGACCCTGAATTATTGTCTTTCAGAACAGTATGTCGGGTCCACATTTCAGGAATGGCACACGAAGTCAGCGTCTTGAACGCGACTCAACAAGTAGTTCAGAAAGGCAACAGATACACCAGGCTCGGTGATCCCAAGGAACAAACGCGATGTAGGCTATTTCATTTGACGTACAAGGGATGGGTTCTTCTAATGATAGTGCCGAATGCTAAACAGGTTAGCATCAGCCAGACAAATACCAGAATGATGGTTAATTTCATCAAAGATTGATCTCCACAACGCAATAATGAGTTCGAACCACTAGCACGGTGGATCCTTCTGAGTTCTAGGTATTCATGAGACAACTGATCCATTCCTCATCAGTCCAGTGCAAAATCTGAAGTTTCAAAATGAGGGAGGTAGGCAAAGGGGGGGGGGGAAGAAAAAGAGAATGGGAAGAAGGCAGAAAACCAGGAGTCATATGCAGAAAAAGGTTGAAACAAGATGCTGGATGGATCACATCACATCACACATACCAATCAATTCTTGAGCGAGCTTCTTGTGCACCTTGAAAGATCGTACCTCTCCTGCATAACCACCACATACTGGTTCAAGAACCACGCCAGGGAGACACATGATGCATTCACCTGCCATTCTCAAGCATAACCACACCCACTTCAAATGTTCAGCCCCCTTCCACCCTGTCCCCCGCTACCCTGCCCCCATCCACCCTAGCCCCATCCACCCTGCTCGGCCTCCCCAAACAGCAGCTGAAGCTGCGCAAAAGGCGACGGCACCCTTGACGCTTCAGTGGTGTGTGAGAGAGAGTGTGATGGGAGAGCAGGGGAGTGTGGTGAGTGTGAGAGGGGGAGTGGGACGATGCGAGTGAGCCTGGTCTCATGGCCAGTGCCCCGCACGGCGTCCCTCATCTGCATGCGGCATGCCATGCCACACAGTAGCTCCGACAACACACATGCTGGGAGTAGGATGGGGGAGCGGAGAGCGGAAAGCGGAGATACGAGAGAGGGAAGAGATGTAAGGGAGATGGAAGAGCGGAGAGATGCAAAGATGGGATTAAAGAGAACGAAAAAAAAAAAAAAAAAAAAAAAAAAGGTATCGTAAGAAAGTGCAGTGTGAGTTGCGCATTAACGTACCTTGAAGTTCTAGCGAGCATGCCCACTGAAAACCTATTTCCCACGCACCTACAAAAGGGCTAAGAAGCAAGAAGCGCAACGGACCTGCATGGGGGTATTTGCGAACAAAGCCGGTCCACTGGGATCCGGTGCAGCCTATGAGGAGCTGGGCTGCCTTGTCAAACACCACACCAGACACTGGGTGGGACTCCCCTGGTAGCACCAGCAGCAGCTGCTGTGTGGAGGGAAGAGGGGGAAGGGGGGAAAGAGGAGAGGGGCTGAGCCGCCTTGTCAAACGCCATACCAAACACCGGGTGGGACTCCCCAGGGATCACCAGCAACAGCTGCCGTGACGTGTGTTGGGAGTATTGCAATGTGAACATTCGCGAAAGAACGAGGGACGGTGGGGAATGGGGGGTAGATGAGAGGGGAAAGGAGAGGGGCGACTGACACACGGAAGATGGAATCGGCCTGGTCTGGTCGTATAAAAGTGAGGAGAGGAAAGTCTGTTATAATGCTTCATCCATTGTCATGCCTTCCAATAAAGCATAATCCAATTTCACACAATCACAGCGTCTAGTCACCTCGAGCTTGAACAGGTGTGCCTGCCGCTCGATGGTCTCTAGCGGCTTCGCGGAGCGGTCTGACAGCTGGCACTCGCTGCACGGCCACGGACGCCACGTGGCGACCTGCTGGCCCTGCACCGTGTACTCCGACAGCGAGCGCGTGCAGCGCGCACACGCAGGGTAGCTGACGTGGCGTCGGGGGTCGCAAATGGGAGGAGGGGGAAATGGGAGATCGTGGCAAAGGGAGGGGGAGGGGGGGTTGAGTGGGAAGGGGACCTTACAGAGTCAACGATTATAATATGAGGGATCCAAGAGGCATTGATTAGAAGGCCTTAGAGAAACACGACAGGAAAAATGCAGCAGAAGACGAAGAAACAATGAATCGTATTTGTTTGAGCGAGAAAGGATTGGCTTATAAGTCCACTGGCAAACGGCGCACCATAGGTTCGACGTGTCGGCCGCGACGATTGTGCACCGCGGCACGTCGCGCATTCCTGCAGGCTCCAGCTGAATTGTCAATGCTTCCAGCAACGATCATCCACACGCACAGAAACGCTGCCACGGACGCGTCTTAGAAACAACGTCGATGATCGCGGCGGGTCCTCGCCTCGCTTCGGTAGAATCAGCAGCTCCACGCCGCGAGGCTCTTCTGCCGCGTCGCAATTCCTCCGCGACGTACTTCAAACGGCTAGTATCGTTGATGGATGATCACAGTAGCCCGACATCGTATGGTTGTGCTTCATAAACTGCTGCAGGATTAGTGGTACTGCTTAGGAAGTGCTTCAGTTGTGTCCTTTGGTAGAATATACATCCTTTTACTCAAACCATCTCACCCTCACTACAATACAACCATCCAAGTAAGCTGTATGTCTTTGCCCGCGCAATTACCAAGAGAGTTGTCTAAGAGAATCTCTTGCGGTGACTAAAAACCGCTGAGCTGATCTCAATGCTGATTTATTATTTATGTACATGCGTTTTCTCTAAACTAGTCCTTACCTATGTCCGGTCTGGCTGAACAACGCCTAAAAAGGCCAACATTTGTAGACCGTTCACCTAAAGGCATCAAGCATAATCCACTGCATGGCACGAGCTACAGTAATCACCTTCACATAGTGCATTCCCCCAAACCTCCCCTTCAGCTCCGCGGGAAGAATCTCATCAGCAGTAATCAAAACAGGCGACCTCACCACCACAACCCCTCTTTCTCCAATTACTCCTTCCTTATCATCCTCCGCATCTCTTTCCTTCAAGCCCTCCTTAGGTAACCACTCCACATCAGATTTGATCCACTCATCGATCGGCACGATCTTATCCTCCCCAAATACCACCTTCTTCCCCTCTCTCTCATACCTCTCTCTAGCAAACGGGTGGACCATCTCCAGAGCCCGCTGGATTGCCGCCTCGTTGATCGCCGCTGCCACGTGGCGCACTTCCATTGGCGCCACTGCCGCTCATGCCGACAACGCAGCTCCAAGAGAGGGCGTTCCCTCTCCTGCTGCTCCAGCTGTTGCTCCTGGAGCCACCGCCATCATTCCTGTGTCTTCCCCTGCTCCCGCAAGCTGCAAGCCAAGAGCCTCCTTAATAGCAGCAGCGCTCTTGCACTTGACCCACAGGGTGTGTGGCTGGCACGGCCAGAAATTACCCTGCGACTGTAGCCATGCGGACTGCAGCACAGTGGGAGCAGAGGAGTCTGCTTGGGAGGAGACCCCCCTGGACGTGAGGAGGGCGGGCTTGGAGCGCAGGAAGTCGGGCAGGAAGGCATGGAAGATGGTGTGTGAGGGGAGCGATGTGGAGAGGCCTGCGTGGGAGAGAATGATGTCCTGTTGGAGGGGGTGGGAGAGGGGGGGGATGGGGATGGATTGAGCGTGGTAAGAAGGCATGGAAGATATAGTGTGAGGGGAGAGAGGGGGAGAGGCCCGCGTGGGAGAGGATGGTGTCCTGTTGGAATGGGTGGGAGAGGAAGGCAACGTGGATGACATGAGTGCGAAGGCGCAGGAGATGGTGTGCCTGGACAATGTCAAGAGAATGATGGCGAAAAAACTTTTGGGAAATGTCGGGAATTGGTCTAGAAAAGAAGAACAGGGAGGGAAAGTGGGGGATGGGCTGAGGTGAACCTGCGCAAGCAAGCATAACTAACTTTACTAACAGAAAGAAGTCGTAAAGGGAGAGGCAGGGTGGACTGACCAGCACGTGCTGAGGCTCGCCCCTCTCCATCTCCAGGGCCTTCCACACTGGTCGATCGCAGGTGGTCAGAGGTGATTCTTGAGTCCAGTCAATAAATATTCACAGAAAGGAGTGAGGCAAGGAGGGGACTGACCAGCACGTGCTGAGGCTCCTCCCGTTCCATCTCCAGGGCCTTCCACACTGGTCGCAGGTACTCCAAGGACCATTCCACTGCCCCCTGCAGCACCTTCACCGCACTCTCCTGTGCCTCATCCACACACTCCTCCTCCCCTCCGTCCCCTCCCACTCCTCCCCTTGCCCCTTCCGCCCCTGCCATTCTTTTACGCAACCCCTCCTGTCCCGCCAGAAGCAACGGCGCCCAGCCACTGTCCGAGTGCAGGTGAAGAAGCATAAAAGCTGAAACCAGCCGTCCAATCTCCTCCCGCACCTCCTCTATTGGTCGAGACGCCTCCAGGTCCCCCCTCTGTTTGTTCACCGCCCCGTTCCCCCCCTGTGCGTGATTCATCCCCTTTATAATCACAACCGGCTTCTGGACAATGGACAGCAGTGGCCCCAGCGCTGCTGCTGTCGCACTGCCAGGTGCAGCAGCAGCAACAGAAGAACCACCTGAAGAATTACCTGAAAATTCACCTGAGGAAACACCTGAGGATCCAGGGTCAAGCTCCTTGACTGCTAGCGCCATGGTGATGGGGGGAGCCTAGCCGTCCCTGTCTCCGAGGATGGTGAGCGTGGGCCTTGGGAATTGCAGGAAGGAGGTCTCTAGGCTGTTGTGTGAGGAGCCGATGCTGATGAGCGCGAGGCATTTCTCCCGCACCACTGCTGTCATGAGGAAGGCTCCGATGCTGGTAGGGGTCGTGGGTGTGGGGAGGGGGAAGGAGGGAGGGAATTGCAGGAAGGAGGTCTCTAGGCTGTTGTGTGAGGAGCCGATGCTGATGAGAGCGAGGCACCACTGCTGTCATGAGGAAGGCTCTGATGCTGGTAGGGGGTGAGAGGGTGGGGAAGGGAAGGAGGAGAAGGAGGGAGAGTGGCGTGTCTTAATCAATGTGGTAGGGCACACATGCTGATAAGAGCGAGGCGGGATTCTCACACCACTGCAGTCATAAGGAATGCTCCGATGCTGGGTATGGGGTGAGAGGGTGGGGGTGAGGGGGTAGGAAAGGAGGGAGGGTGGTTTCTTGTGCACTGTGTATACAAGGCTCATATCATATGCTGATGAGAAGGCAATTCAGAATTCAACTCTACAGTCAACTTAAAGGTGTCAACTAGTTACCGCATTAGTCAACATAGGACTCATCAGAAGTCATCCCATCTCCTTACCCGCTTTGACTGCTGCACTTCATACCTTGCCCCACTCGCATCTTTCCCCAGACCCAACACACCTGTGTCCCAGTACAAACACCCGCGATGTGTTGTTTGCATTAGTCACATCCGCGCCCATCTCCTTGACCGCTTTCACCGCCGCCTCATACCCGTCCCGAGCCCACATCCTCCCTTTCTCCTGGTCCAGAAGTGTGACCTCGTTCAGTACAGCCACCCACAGGCGCTTGCGCACAGACGGGGGAGTGGTGGATCTTATAGCGCGGATGAGAGGGAGGTAGGAGAGCGCGGGGATGAAACCGCCTGGGGCGACGAGGAGGAGGTAGGGAGGGGAGGAGGGAGAGGTGGAGGTGGTATCTGGGGTGGGTTGGTCCTCACGGGAAGGGGGAAGGATGTATGCGAGCTGGGGGAGTGCGAAGAGGGGGACGGAAGAGAACAGGGGGATGGAGAGGGGAATAGGGAAACATTGAGTGTAAGGTGAGCCTGAAAGGGGAAGGAGATAAGATCAATTTCAACCATATGCACTTTGCAGTTTGCACGGAGATATGAGGTGAATTATACTTGATACAAAGTTACCTTATTGCATTCACGGTGACAGCAAAGGTGAACCTGACGAAAAAAACCCTTGTAAGTCTGCAACGCTTTTACATATAATGCAAGAGCATGATATCCTGGGGTTGGATTCGTGCCTGTGGAGCCAAACGCGGATCAGGAGCCATGATAACGTCATCATCGTGATTTGAGACGTCCCTATCGCTCCCGTGGTCCGTCATCGTTCCTTTTGTTCCGGCGACAGTAGCACCTGCAGCATCACCAGCAGCTGCAGCAGCGCAAGTGACGGATAATCTCAGCGATACAGACACGTGGCGCAAGGGTGCTGGGGAGCCGTTCAAGAGCGGCTGGTGACGCACAGAAACAGCGCTGAGTGTCAGAGAATGATGACGAGACACTAGTAAGCGTCCCGGAGAGTTGCAGCTCGAGACGCAGCGAAGACTGGTGGGCGTGGGAGCGGAAAGAGAGATTCCGGAGACTACAGAAGAGTGAGTGGGGAAGTAACTCGAGGGAAACGAAACTTGAACGAGAGGACGAGAGAATGCGAGAAGGGAAGTGCTAGTAGCAGCCATGAGCAGCAGCGGAGTTGCGGAAAACGAGGAGGAGGAGATGCAAGGCCAAATATAGGAGTAGTGCTGACTGTTAATGAACAATCCATCACGCCTGATTGCAATCAAGGCAGCCGAGCAATCGCGCAGAGAAAAGCGGAGGCGGACGAATCAAGAATCACGGCTAGTCCCAGAATTCCTGTCTGAGGCCGCATTCTGGGCTCGTAACAGCCTGTTACGAACAAATCTGGCCGTCGCACGCCGACGTCCGCATTTCCCCATAACCTGTCCGGACGTGGGAATCGTTAGGGGTCGTGAAGTGCCCATGAGAGTCGCTCGAGCTGTCACTACTAGGTGGGCTATTCGTACACGTCAGCGAAGAAGCCCAGAATTGAATCACGGCGTTTCAATGGGAATAGCCCACTTATCAAAACGAACTTCCTCGACGGAACGTGTCAGCTAGAACCACGTCCGACGTCATTTTCCTGACCTCCCAGCTAACCCTGCGCTGTCCGCGTCGTAAGACACGAATTCGTTGTTCCCCAGGGATCGAAGCAGAGGGTCGAATGGCGTGATACGCGAATGCCAGCATTCTTCGGCAATTTTCAAGGCGGTTCTCGTCTCGTCTCGGGCATGATTGTCCCCAAAATCCACGGAGCTGTGACATGTACGCACTTTAGAGGTCGAATTTCCGGTGTTTCTAAAAAAACGTGTAAGCAAAAGGTAACAACTGTCTAAAATTGCAAGGTCAGTAAACATAAAAATAGCTAAAACATGAAAAAAGCCACATACACACCCACATACCATCTACAGCAAGAAGCTAGATCATCCTGCTCCGCTCCAACAGGTACTGCGGTCTTCACTTCACAACTTCCCAGAAAGCAAACCCCTGTTCCTGCATCACGCTCACAGCAGCTGGCTGTGCGTGCACCTACCCTATCCTCCTTTACCCCCAGCAAGAACTGCGCCCTTGAGACTCATCAAAAGTACCCTCTAGCATTCGACACGCTCACAGCAGCTGGCTGTGCACCTGCCCTAACCTCCTCCGCCCCAGCAGGTACTGCACCCACGGCTGCACTCAAATCACAATTCCTTTTTCTCTGGCTGTCAGTCAACCTCACTCCCAGTCACGAACCAAAAACCCATTGCAACATCACGCTCACAGCAGTTGGCTGTGCACCTGCCCTATCCGCCCGCTCCGCCCCAGCAGGTACTGGGCCCACGGCTGCGCGCGAATCACCGACGACAGGTCGCTCTCCCTCTCGCTGTCTGTCGTCTTCACCCCCTCCGTCTTATCCACCCACGGCACCACCAGGTTGTGGCTCTTGGGGAAATCCATGTCCTTGGGGATCACCTCGTATGCCACCTGGGTGGACAAGGGAATAAGGTGGAATCAGGGTGTGTTAACTGAGGAAGGTCTGCCACATTGAGCATGATAGCCACACCCCCTTGGTCTTATCCACCCATGGCACCACCAGGTTGTGACTCTAAGGAAAATCCATGTCCTTTGGGATCACCTCGTGTGCCACCTGTGCGGAGAGGGGAATGAGCATGGGCTTTTTGAAGAGATGAAAGGTTGAAGAAAGGCCTGCCATGTGGAACAGAGTAGTAGCACCACAGCATCACACCACACCCCCTCCGTCTTATCCACCCACGGCACCACCAGGTTGTGGCTCTTGGGGAAATCCATGTCCTTGGGGATCACTTCGTATGCCACCTGTTGAAAAAAGGGCATGGAGGCAGCATTGAGAATCAGAAAGGCCTGCCTCATTGTGCATGGTAACCGCAACCTCCTGGTCTTATCCACCCAAGGCCACGGCACCACCAGGTTGCGGCTCTTGGGGAAATCCATGTCCTTGGGGATCACTTCGTATGCCACCTGTTGAAAAAAGGGCATGGAGGCAGCATTGAGAATCAGAAAGGCCTGCCTCATTGTGCATGGTAACCGCAACCTCCTGGTCTTATCCACCCAAGGCCACGGCACCACCAGGTTGCGGCTCTTGGGGAAATCCATGTCCTTGGGGATCACTTCGTATGCCACCTGTTGAAAAAAGGGCATGGAGGCAGCATTGAGAATCAGAAAGGCCTGCCTCATTGTGCATGGTAACCGCACCCTCCTGGTCTTATCCACCCAAGGCCACGGCACCACCAGGTTGCGGCTCTTGGGGAAATCCATGACCTTGGGGATCTCCTCATACGCCACCTGTTAAGACAAGGGAATAAGGTGAGATCAGGGTGTGTTCTTTGAGGAAGGTCCGACACCCTTGTTGAGAGTGGCAATTGCACCACTCCGCCTTATCCACCCACAGCAGCACAACCAGCCCAGCTTGTGGCTCTTGTTGAAATGCATATCCTTGGGAGTTACCTCGTATGCCACCTTTGTGGAGGTATGGGAATAAAGAGCAGCATTTTGAAGGAGAAAAAAGATGAATGGTTGAAGAAAGGCCTGCCATGTTGACTGAGAGCATGAAATAGCTTGTGTGGCTTGGTTACTTTAGAGTCGACTCAAAAGTCAAATGTCACCTTTTGAGTCGACACAAAAGTCACAAGGGGAAGAGGGATGGACAGTTGAAGAAAGGCCTGCCATGTTGACTGAGAGCATGGAATGCCTTGTGTGGCTTGGAAACATTGAAGAGGCCCCCACAGCCCCTCGCCCATCAACCTTCAACCCTTAACCTTAGCCCGGAGCTTGCCTTGTCTGGTTTGAGTCGCAGCGAGTCCAGCGTGGCTTCTGTGAAGAGCCCCCCGCACCCCTCATAGAGCACCACCACCAGTCGCGACTTGGGTAGGGCCTTGGCCACTGCAGGGAGAGAGAAATATGGGGCACGCAGATGTTTGAGTAACGGAGGGAATGGGAAACGGGTTTGTGTGGTTGGTTGGAGACGTCTTGAAACATCTGCAGGGTGCCTTGGAATGCATGTCATTCGAGGCACCTTAGAAGCCCCAACCCGCTTCCCCACAGCCCTCGTAAAGCATCACCACCAGTCGCGACTTGGGCAGTGCCTTGGCCACTGCAAGGGGGAAAGGAGAGAAATCTGGGACAGGTGGGTGGGGGGAAGAGGTCAGGGGGAAAGGAGGTGAGAGGCGTCTCGACACATCTTCAGGACGCCTCAACGTGTGCCTGAAACATGCATGGAGACACGCACACACACACACACACACACACACACACACACACGCACGCACACACACACACACGCGCGCGCGCGCACACACACACACACACACACACACACACACACACACATTCACACAGACACACGCACGCACGCACGCATGCACCTACCTCCTGGTTTCTCTCAACACGCATCACTTAGTCGCGCAACGGTTGAACAGGAATAGCACCGCCAAGAGCACACATGCATAGACACACTTATAAACACACGCAAAAATACACACACGCACAGATGTTCACGCAAGTGCATTCGGACATGTATGCACGCACCTATCTCCTGTGCCCTCTCTGCGTGCGTCACATAGTCGCCTGAATGGTTGAACAGGGAGAAGCGCCGGGAGCTTGCCACGTTGACAGGCGCCAGCAGGAAGACCAATGTGGGGCTGCCAGCTGGACAGAGAGGATGTGGGCGTGGGGAACGAGAGAGAGGGAAACGAGAAGGGAGAGGGGTTGAGGTGGGGATGCGGGGGAGAGAGAGAAGGGAAGGCGAGGGAAGGGGAAGAGAGGACAGGACATGAGAAGGATAACAGAGAAGACGCACGGGGTAAGAGGGGGGAGATGTGCTTTGACAAAGCATGCCAGAACGTCACAGGCACGGTAAAGGCAGTCACAGTCCGGTTTGTAGCTGGTTAGCACAGTCCGGTCCGGTTTGTAGCTGCCTAGCATGCATACCACTGGTAGTCAGACAAGGCGGTGCTCCTGCGGGTTACTATCAGTCAGCTAGACTTACAATCGGGTTCGTAGTTGGCTGCGGTGGTAGTGAGCACGATTGGCAGGCGAGTGCGCCGGCGCCCCTCAAACGCCTTCACGAGTGTCTCCTTGGCCACCTCTGCCGGCACCAGGGCACCTTCAGAGGACCCTCAGCAGTGAGCAAGCGTATGCTTTTTGAGAATTCTCAAAAAACATACGCTTCTGAGGACCGTCAGCAGTGAGCCAGGTATCATCCTACCAGGCGGCGGGCACCTTAGAACGTGGGCTCGTATCAGCACATGCATTACCATCAGAGCACAAGCACTCACAGTCGGGCTCGTAGTTGGCAGCAGTGGTGAGCACGATGGGCAGACGAGTCCTCCTGCGGCCCTCAAACGCCTTCATGAGTGTTTCCTTCGCCACCTCTGCCGGCACCAGCCGCATCTTGGATGCTGCCTGCACTGCCACCCACCCATACGCGCCCCCTCCCGTGGGATTCTCCTCTGTGGAAGGGGTTGGGTTGGGGGAGTGAATGTGCATGGATGAAGGAGTAAGAGCACGCCATCTCTGCTGGCACCAGGCTCATCTTGGATGCCGATGGGATCATGGGAAGGAGATGGATGCGCGGAGCTGGGGAGTGAGGTGATGAGGAGGATAGAGAAGAACGCGGAAAGGGGAGGAGGGGAGGCGGGTGGGGAGATGGCCAAAACATAAGGGAGAGCAAGTGAGGGATAGACATCAGTGGCATGGCATGGCATGGCTGGCCCCAGATACCATCCCATGCAGGGTGCTTGGTTTGGTGGTTCAAAGAGGACACATACCGTGCAGCAGCAGGAAGAAGAGAAAGACGATATTTGGGATGTCTCAAAAGCGGTTCGAAGAGCACACGTACCGTGCAGCAGCAGGAAGAAGAGGAAGGAGAGCATCACAAGCAGCACCAGCGCCTGCACTCCCAGCAGCACCTGCACACACAGGTACACACACACACAGCAACAGGGAGCATGACAGCACATCACAATGCAGGTAAAAATCGTTGCACCATGCAGCAGCAGGAAGACGAGGAAGGAGAGCATCACAAGCAGCACCAGCGCCTGCACTCCCAGCAGCACCTGCCCAGATTCAGCAGATTACTCGTCATGTGAAGGGCGGGGAGGGTTGGGAGAAACATGGGGGAGAGGTGAGCGGATGAGAGGAGGGCAACACGACCGCATCGTACGATGCTGTTGTACAGTATGGTGATGTACGGTACAATGCTGTACGGTACGATGCTGTACGGTACGGTACGATACATTCCTGTACACGGATGATGGATTCGGCCATCTGCAGCCCTCACCTCACCCCATGCCTGCAGCCACACCACACTACAGTGTGTACCAGAGAATAAACCGTTTCATCCGCCAGCACCTCTTTGAGAAGCTCCAGTATGTCTCCCACCTGGTGAGTCCACCACCCCATACCTGCAGCCACACCACAGTGTGCTCCAAAGAGTCAATCGTCCCGTCCGCCAGCACCTCCCTCAGCCGCAAAGAATGCGTCCCCATTACCTGCTGAGCCTCCCCCGTACCTGCAGCCACACCACAGTGTGCTCTAACGAGTCAATCGTCCCGTCCGCCAGCACCTCCCTCAGCCGCGCCTCCGCATGCGCCCGCGCCGGGCGGCAGGCCTTGAGCTCCTTGCGCAGCAGCTCCCTCTCCGCCGCCCACTCCTCGTGGTCCTTCGCCGCCCGCTCCGCCGTGTCTTCTAGCTCCGCCAGGCGCGTGAGGTCGGTGACCTGCGTGCGGTGCTTGCACGCCGTGGTGTTGGCCTCGAGACCTCGTTTAGCATGGTCGCAAAGAGCTCTCTCCACCACCACCTCCCTCTCGCATACTGCCCGCTCCTTGTTGCTTAGCTGGGTAGTAGCGGAGAAGACAAGGGAGAGGGTCGAAGGTATAAGGGAGAGGGTCGAAGGTATAAGGGAGAGGGTCGAAGGTATAAGGGAGGGGATGAGTGAGGGTAACCTCAGAGGCGATCACTACGTGTGCCTGGGGGTGTCTGTCCTCGAGCTCCGCCAGGCGGGTGAGGTCGGTGACCTGCGTGCGATGCTTGCACGCCGTCGTGTTGGCCTCCAGACCCCTCTTGGCATGGTCGCAGAGGGCCCGTTCGACGACCACCTCCCTCTCGCATACTGCCCGTTCCTTGTTGCTTAGCCGGTAGGCGGGGAGACGAGAATCGATTTCACACGCGTCCCCCTGAATGAACACACCTTGATTTCACACGCGTCCCCCTGAATGAACACACCTTGATTTCACACGCGTCCCTCGGCGCGCAGCAGAGTGAGCTCCATATCGCACTCGGCGCGCATCATTGCGTCCGCATTGCACTCGGCACTCACCCACCAGCCTCTCTCCCTCTCGTCACCAATCTAGCCTCATCGCATCTTGATAGCACACACCTAAATCTCATCCCAACACCCTTATTCATCACCACCTCCTAGCGCACCTTGCTTCCATTCCATCCTGCATGCACAAACCTGAACCCCATCCCATCTCGAGTGCACGCACGCACGCACCTTGATCTTGCAAGCATCCAGCTCGGCGCGCAGCAGAGTGAGCTTCATGTCACACATCTCTCCGGTATCTCTTTCTCCTATTCTGATCGCTCATGTCGGCGCCAACCTCACCTCATTCTATTCTGATGCATGCACGCACTGGCATGGCATCTCACACGCAGCGCACCTTGATCTCACAGGCGTCCAGCTCGGCGCGCAGCAGAGTGAGCTCCATGTCGCACTCGGCGCGCATCACCAGCCTCTCTCGGTCAAACTCTGACGCCTGCAGCTTGCGCACCTTCTCACACTCCGCCTCTAGCTCCTGGAAGGAGGTGGAATGTGGTGGAATGCGGTGGAATGTGGTGGAATGGGGTGGAATGCACAGAACAGGAGAGGGAACTTGAACAAGGGAGCACTCAGCGCACATCACCAGCCTCTCTCAGTCAAACTCTGATGCCTGCAGCTTGCGCACCTTCTCACACTCCGCCTCCAGCTCCTGCAATGTGGTGGAATGCGGTGAAAGACGGTGGAAGGCTCAGAGAATATCAACGCTGAGACGTCTCAGGGAAACTTCTTTTGTCCTTCCTTTCCCACTAAAGCCCACCTTCTCTTTGATGAACTTCTCCTGGCGGCACTGCATCCTCTCCACTCGCCAAACCGCTGGTCCCTTCATTGGTGCTTCCCCATCTCTGCCCAAACAAAGCAGTGCGGAAACCAGCAGCAGTCCGCCTTGTCCTTCCTTTCCCTCTAAAGCCCACCTTCTCCATTAAAGCCCACCTTCTCTTTGATGAACTTCTCCTGGCGGCACTGCATCCACTCCTGGAACCGCTGGTCGCGCTCCAGCTTCAGCCGCTCGTGGTCCCTCGCCTTGCGCTCCGCATCCTTCACCATCTCCTCGTACGCGTTGCCGCACCAGCTGCAGCAGTCACAGGGAGCGGACGGCACAAGAGCGAGAGGTTGAACCAGAGGGGGAGAGGAGGCGGGGGGGTTGGTGGTGGTCGAGTCATCTCGCCTTGCGCTCCGAGTCCTTCACTTCACCACCTCCTCGTACGCGTTACCGCACCAGCTGCAGGGAACACAGTGAGAGCAAGCGGTTGGACCAGAGGGGAAGAGAAGGTGGGGGGAGTGGTGGTGGTCAAATCATCTCGCCTTGCGCTCCGCGTCCTTCACTTCACCACCTCCTCGTACGCATTACCGCACCAGCTGCAGGGAAGAAAGGGAGAGGAGGGGGGATTGAGTGGTGGAGGAAAGGGGGAGAGAGTGTGTTTCAGGTGCATTTCCAGGTGGGAAGTTCACGACGACTCGGGGCGTCAACATCACAGCCTTCAGGCGGCGTGTGGCTTGTTTCAGCCACGACGAACACGAAACGAACGTTAAGGAAGAACGAAACCGAGCAAATGCTGATTTGCCGCGCAGGGAACCTTGTACACTGAGAGAACCTTGTACACTGACGCTTCCGAGAACTCTCAAAAGCGACTCCAATATGAGTGCAGCCAGGGAAGGAGGGAGGGAAGGAGGGAGGGAAAGAGAGAGAGAGAGAGACGTACGCAGAGAGAACCTTGTACACTGACGCTTCAGTCCCGGGCTCGTTGACCACTGGCCATGTCCACTTGGCAGCGTCTGATTGGCGCAGAGGGGGGAAAGAGGGGGTGGGTGGGAAGAGGGGAGGGACGGGAGTTGGCAAAGGGATGCAAAAAGGATAGAAGGATTTGCGCTCGCGTGACGCGGCGTGTGTCGCGGCGAGTGACGCGCGAGGGTCTCCTCTCGTGCTGCGGTTGTGACAGTGATGCTCCTGCTGATGACGACGATGATAGTTGAAAACAGCGATGGCAAGGAAGCTTCGCCACGTGGAAGACTCAAGTGGTCTGCTGACGCTAAGATCATGTCAGCAGAATTGGACAAGGACATATAACAGCCCTATTGTTGGAACCATAAATGAACCTAGAGATTGCCGATTGCGAATGCTACTCATCAGTAACAAGCACGTGGACACAAGACGCGGGCTTGACGGAGCCTACACCGACTGGACAGGTACCGCCACGTGCGCTGACATCGCTGACCGAAAATGCTAAATAAATCGGCATTGACCCGACAGGTGATTTCCTGTTTTCGAATGTTGAGGCGCCTCAAAAGACGCGGACATCATTGACCGAAATGCGAGGAAAACAAATATATCGCCACTGACTTGACAGGTAGTTTCCCGTTTTTCCAGAAATAGTTTCTTCCTCGTCGTCGTCTGCAGCGGCCGAGCATTTCGTCAGAGCGCCGAGACAAAGCAACGCCACTAACCCTAATGCCGGCCAGCCGCGCCGGCAGACCAATTTGGCCATCTTAGTCGACCAGGTCATCAGACTTTAACTTCCGAACTATCAGACCGTCTAGCTACGAATAACTACTGAAGACGCGACATGGCTAGAAGTGCAAGGTGTCTAATTGGTGATGCTGTGAGTCCTCAACCACTCTGACCTATTTCACGCGCATCTTCTAAACGCGGACAGCGTTCCGTCTGTGCAACGTTTAGAAATCATGTAGCTGCTAAGCTAGTATATGTTAGCATTCCAATTGTATTCTGAATTGTAGCTTATCAGGATCAAGTACAATCTCCTCGTCATATTCTATAAGAGAGTGCAGGGAGAAAGTGCTCTGCGGACGCTGCTGCCGCCGCTGTGCAGTACCCATAAAACCAAAACCTCCACCACCAGGACTGCCTCGCTGAATAACTTACTCACGAAGCTACTGAGGGGTGGGGTCGTCTGGGAGCGGCAGAGCCCGCTGCTGTCCACCCCTAGCCGCTGCAACTACCGTGACAGTGGCCATGACAGGCAGTGACAATCAGTAACAGGTCCAGCACCTCCAGCACCAGCAGCACCTCCAGCAGCACCTCCAGCACCTCCAGCACCAGCAGCACCTCCAGCACTCCCAGCAGCACCTCCAGCACCAGCAGCACCTCCAGCACTCCCAGCAGCACCTCCACCAGCAGCAGCAGTAGCACGAGCAGCAGCAGCAGCAGTAGTAGCAGCAGGGCGGCTCGATGGGGCTGGTGAATGAGGCATGGGGGCGCGGCTCGGGTTGGGCAGGGCGGCTCGGGCTGGGCAGCGCGGCTCGGCCAGGGCGACGCGGCTCGGCCTGGGCGGCGCGGCTAGGCAAGGCAGGGCGCGCCGGGGGCTGCAGAGCAGGGCGCATGGTGGACAGGGCAGCAGGGCGCGCGCTGGGCAGAGCAGCAGGGCACGATGCGCGGGCTGCATCAGGGCGCGACGCGAGGGCTACAGTAGGGCGCGACGCGCGGGGCAACAGGGCGTGACGCGCGGGCTGCAGTAGGGCGCAACGCGCGGGGCAGCAGGGTGTGACGCGCGGGCTGCAGTAGGGCGTGACGCGCGGGGCAGTAGGGTGCAACTCGCGGGCTGCAGGGCGCGACGCGTGGGCTGCAGCAGGGCGCGACGCGCAGGACAGTGGGGCGCGCGCTGGGCAGGGCAGCAGGGCGCGACGCGCTGGGCTGCAGGGCAGGGCGGTGCGCGGGCCTAAGGGCAGGGCAGCGCGGCTCGCGAGCTGCAGGGCAGGGCGGTGTGCAGGCCTAAGGGCAGGGCAGCGTGATGCACGGGCTGCAGGGCAGGGGCTGCTCGCGGGCAGCAGGGGCGCTCGGGGCAGGGGCTGCTCGCGGGCAGCAGGGGCGCTCGGGGCAGGGGCTGCTCGCGGGCAGCAGGGGCACTCGTGGCAGCAGGGCAGAGCGCTAGGGCAGGCAGTGCGAGTAGCTGCAGGGCAGCGTGACACTGTGCGAGAGGGCCGGACAGAGCAAGGGTGCTTCGGGCAGGAACTAGCGGAACGATCGGTGAGCCCTAAACACCTAACAGGTTTCGTGCTCTGAATACCATGTCAGAATCAACTGTACAAGAATGAATGAACTATGAATGAGTTGGGTACAAGTACTAACCCTAAAGTGTTGTACCCCTTGTAGGCTGACCCACTATAGCCTAGAGAGAACACAAACATACAGTGTTGATGGATTGTAGCTATTTTACTTTTTTATTATTCTATGAAGGCATAGCTCCGAGCTGTGAAGATGTATTGCAATGAAAAAATATTTTCCTTACTTTGCATCCCTACTCAGCGCGTACACCGCTGTTCCCGCCAACAGCACCCAATAGTAAACCCACTCGCGACACTCGCTTCGATACTGTTCCTGCCACTGTTCACGACGCGACCCAACCTCACGGCTTGGTTGGTAACCCGCGCTCCGGACCTCCGCCTCGACCATTCCCAACCTCGGCGCTGGGCCCGTCGCGCACCCCATTTGCACGCATTTGACAGTGCAATTCTCATGCCTTCGCTCATGCCTTCGCTCATAAGACTCTTGCTTTGATAGTGCAATTCTCGCTCGTTCACTCAATTGCACTCGTAACACTTGGTATTCAAAGCCTATGATCTCTTCTCGGACCGCACACACACCTTCGCTTCCCCACTATCTCAATTTTTGGGGGGGTAGATGTCTCTCAGCGAACAAGCACCGCCCGCTCGAAGTGCTCTCTCGTAAGCACGCACGGCCACGATAGAGGCTCTCGCTGAGCTTGCCCAACACCCCCGCCATGGCCGAATTCAATCTCGCGACGCTGACGCATGAGCAACTCGGCCGTCTCGTGCGCCAACTCGAAGTTTCGGCACTCGAAATTGCAGCACTTACAGCGGAACGCGACTCCGCTCGTCAGCAATCAACGGTGAATGCTCCAGCACCACGACACGCACCTGCAAATGCAACCGCGCAATTAGAAGAACCGATCGTCATCTCATCAGGCACACCGGCACAACACGGCAGCGTGGGACAGCGCTCAGGCGCAGCCAGTAATGGCGCCGCTCAATCAATGCCTGGCATGGACAGGAACAGGGCCGCACCAAACCTGCGGGAGCCACGCGAAGCCCGTTGGCATGTGGAGTTCGCAGCAACAAGTGGCGACCACACCATCATGGCACCAATGCCACTCAAGCCGCAGCGCCCGCCCTGTTTCGATCTGAGCCAACGTGGAGGTCCGACGGTTCAATCGTGGGTCTTCACGATAAACGTCTTTTTCGACGCGAATTACGTCGACTCGGACGCAGCGAAGATTCGCTACGCTGTCTCGCTGCTGAGGGGCCCCGCCATGGACTGGTGGCGAGTCATCGTGATATTGCCCCGCGCCTACGAGCCACCGTCGCAAGAGGGAAGCCCATGGGCCCAGCCGTGACTTGGAGTTCATTTTGCGAAACCGCCTAGTACAGCACGTGGGATGCGTGGTGTGCAGGGCTTCGGGCGCGCTTCGAGCCAATTGCGGCTTCTATTTCGGCGTGTCAGAGACTGCGTACTTGGCGCTAGCTCGGGTCAGTTCAAGACTACACCAACGGTTTTCTCGCTCTATGCGAGCAAGTCGGCTACATGCACGAGGCGGAGCAGGTGGACCGTTACGTCGGCGGTCTGAAGCCGGACATCTCGCACGCGGTTATGCTACGCGGGCTATCAAAATTTCAACAAAATCATCGCGCTCGCGAAGAAAATCGATATCCTACGCCGACCAAAACTGGGGTCCTACTACGGACATCGCCCTCGGGGACCAAACGAGCACGACACGGTACACGCCATTGCGGCAAATGCAGCTGCCGCGCCGTTTAAGGGGCGCTGCTTTGCTTGCAATAGGCCGGGCCATCGCAATAGTGAATGTCCAGAGGAGCTGAGGCGCCGTGGAGCAGAGCAGGGGAGGGAGTCTCAGAGGCAGGGAAACGCCAGCAGTCAGTAGAAGTTGGGCCAACAACTAACGAGACTGCCTGCTCGCCCAACCTCACCGACCCTTACCAAGTCATAGTACCGATTTACGCCATCAATCGGGCTCGGACGAATAAGGAGGGTACAGCGACGGATTGCCCAGTACTGATTCACGCGAAAATACAGGGAGCAGCAGTGAAGATTTTTATCGACGGAGGAGCAAGTCAGAGCTTAGTGAATACCGCGACTTTGCCAAGACAGCATTCAGGACTAGGTACGAGTCATTCGAGTACACCGTGATGCCATTCGGGCTGACCAATGCACCGGCGACGTTTCAGATGACTAGGAACGAGGTGTTTAGACCGCTTTTAGATAAATGCGTGATAGTTTACCTCGATGACATCCTCGTCTACAGTCGCGACAAGCAGCAACACTTAGCAGATCTGGAAGCAGTATTTAATATTTTAAACGAGCACCGCCTACTGACCAAGGGTTCCAAGTGCGAGTTTTTCCAGGACAGGCTAGAATTCCTAGGGCACGTTATTTCGAAGGCTGGGGTTGAGATCGACCCAAAGAAGCTGGACACGGTGAAAGCGTGGCACCCTCTGGCAAACATCACGGAGCTGCAGAGTTTTTTAGGTTTCGTTAATTATGTGTGTCGGTTCGTCCCCGAAATGATGCAATTAACAACCCCACTGACCGATCTGCTACGAAAGGGGGTCACTTTTACATGGGGGAGAAAGAGCATGCTGCCTTCTCTGCCCTGAAATCTGTTCTCTGTTCACCGCCCGTACTGCGCATTGCCGACCCACACCGCCCATTCGAAGTGGTTACATGCGCAAGCGACATCGCCATCGGGGCCGTACTACCACAGGATTTCGGCAACGGCCTACAGCCCATCGCATACGAGTCATGAAAACTCCATCCGCCCTAGAAAAGCTACCCGATACACGACCGCGAAATGCTCGCGATCGTACATGCATTTAAAGTGTGGCGCTGTTACTTGACCGGCGCAGACGTGGCAGTATGGACAAACCATAAATCACTACAGTACCTCCGCGCACAGCCCCACCCCAATCCACGACAGATTCGCTGGCTCGATTTCCTCGATTCGAATTTCCAGTACACGGTCACATACAAAAAAGGGGCATCGAACATCGCCGACGCACTAGCCCGCCCCACTGCCCAAATCCACGCCATACTACTTGCCCAGACCAGCCCGCCCCTAACAGGACTATTTTCCCATGGATATCTAACCGACCCATTCTTCACAGGTGGTAATTCGCAATAGTTTGCAGCAGCAAAGGGGGTTTATTACGTAAAAGCTGGCACCGACCGCATCTGGGTACCGGGCTACATATTACTACGGGAATCACTGCTACAGGAGGCACATGACGGAGTTACCTCAGGTCATTTCGGAGTAGAGAAAACACGACAGCAGCTGCAGCGGTATTATTGCTGGCCCGAGATGCTGACCGACATGCAGCGACACGTGGCATCGTGTCCCACCTGTCAACTCATGAAATCATCACGGAAGCGGCCGGCAGGACAGTTGCAACCGATACCACCCCTAGAGCGTGCTTGGCAGCAGGTGAGGATGGATTTCGTCACGGGGTTACCAACAGTTGCAACCGATACCACCCCCAGAGCGTGCAACTGACTGGCTAACGAAAATGGCACATTCCGCAGCCTGCAAGAAATCAATCACAGCCGAAGAAACAACCTGCTTCTTCATCTCCACCGTCGTTCGACTACACGGGATATCAGCAGCGATCATCAACGACCGCGACACGAAATTCACAGGCAATTTCTAGCGGAACCTGTGACATCAGTTCGGCACGCGACTACAGTTTAGTTCTTCGTACCACCCCGAAACCGACGGACAGACAGAACGGACAAATCAGACCATGGAGCAACTCTTTCGGGCCACGTATGACGACCCGACCACTTGGGAACAGCAAATGCCACTCATCGAGTTCGCGTACAACAATTCGCCGTCCGCCACGACCCAACAGTCACCGTTTTATCTGAACTACGGACAAGACCCCACAATATCCATGACTCCGAATCCTGACAACCCGGTGCCACACGTGCAACAGTTCGCTGAAATTTTACAAGAAGCACGGACTCGAGCAGCAGACGCAATAAAAAAATCGAACATCATCGCTAAGCGCAACGCCGGCCGCCACCGCCGACCTGTCAATTACCAGCCGACGACCTCGTACTACTCAACACTCATAACTTCCGCCTGCCCATCACCCCAAAACTCCGCCCCCGATATTGCGGGCCATTTCGCATCAGCCACATGATCACACCCGTCACCGCCCACCTCCTCCTCCCTGCTGCCTGGTACGTCAGCCCATCCTTCCACGTCAGCCTGCTTCGACCTTACGTACCATCCACCAGCCAACTACCCCGCAACCGCCCAGCCAGCATGACACGACCACCGACAGGGCCAATCATCACGCCTGATAAAATCTTGAGCCACCGTGTTCGTGACCCATGAGGAGCTCGCAGGATCGAATTTCTAAACTGTTGGAAAGACCGCATGCACACCGAAGACAACTGGGTTCACTTGGACAGAATTGAAAACCACCCAGTCCTCACCGAGTATCTGCGCAGCCGAAATTTCCGGGATGTACGCGCGCTTTCGTAAGGAGGGCCTCCTTACGGGGGAAGGGCAGTCTAAGGAAAATTCATTTTCCTTACTTCGCGCCCCTGCTTAGCGCGTACACCACTGTTCCCGCCAACAGCACCCAACAATAAACCGTTACCACTCGCGGGACTCGCTTCGATACTGTTCCCGCCACTGTTCACGACGCGACCCAAACTCATGGCTCGGTTGGTAACCCGCGCTCCGGACCTCCGCCTCGACAATACCCAACCTCGGCGCTAGGCCCGTCGCGCCCCCCATTTGCGGACAACACCGTTACAACTGTAGTTTCGCTATAAATTCATCGCTCATGCCTTCGCTCATTGAACTCTTGCTTCGATAGTGCAATTCTCACTCGCTCACTCAATTGCACTCGTAACATGCATCAAGTGACGAGTTGGAGGTTATGCCCTCATGCTTATGATTGCGGCTGATTTGTGAAAACAAGCACCCATAATAAGGGGCTATGAGGTGGATATGGTTGATAAAAGGAGGAGATTAGCTTTGGAGTTTCTCCATATACTGTAGTGGATTTGACATGCATGACAACACTTGCAGCAGAACTTGAGGTTGGTGTTCCGATGGTGTGAAGGATGCTTTACTGTAGCTAAAATGACACGGTAAAACCAAGATTCGTTCTCACCCATTGGCCAAATATCGCGCCGCGCCAGCTCTTTTAGCCACTTCTATTCGCTACCCTTCCAAACCACGAGGTATGACTGGCTGGCCTTGTGGTCCCCCCATTGCCACCTGGCTTTGATTTTGGAAAAGGCAGGGGTGGTACTGTAGAATGTTGCTCACGCAAAACGTCGATGCGCCAGGCTGGTTTATCCTACATGCTTTGAAATGAAGCAGCAGTTATCGGGGATGACTTGTTCCTGCTTCTTCTCGCTCTTCGAAAAGCCAACTTGTATGGCTGATGAGGCGTTCTTTCGGTTAGGGTTTGAGTAATGTGATGCTGCTGCTGCTGTTCACTTCGAGAACTGCGATGCGATTGATTGGTCAGCTTAACTTCCACCACTAGTTTCTCTCTCTCGTGCGAACGTCACTCGAGAGCTTCATCTGCTTTTTGCTGACGCCTGTGTAGTTCGTTTCTTCCCTCTCCCTCGTCCCCTCCGCTGCAGAAGCGGCGTGTTCGAACCGAACCTATTTCCGACCACAGAGCGACAGATCACCTCAACCTACCCCCACCTCACCTCCCATTGACCAAAACTCATCCGCGTTCCGTGCCTAGCGTGTGGTTGTCTAGCTGAGCTCGCGCCTCGATCTAGTTATCAATCAGAACCACCGTTATCCTCGCTATGGACTTTTTCGGCGCGACAATTCGGCATCCATTAGCACCTCCTATTGCCGGCCAGTCCCTTCCCCAAACCACCACTCTCCCGCGTCCCGATGCCTTTCCTCTGACACCTCAATCATGGCTCGAGCAGCCGCTACAACAGCAGCAGCAGCAACAGCTGCAGTCGCAGCTTCAGGAGCAGGCGCTGCTGTCGCAATTAGGTCACGACCAGGCGATGCAATTAGGTCAGCTAGCGCAGCTCCACCAGATCCAATCGCGAGCCTTAGCAGCCTCGTCCGCGTTAGCCTCTTCCGCGCCGCAGAATTTCCTCCGCGAATTGCAGATGCAGCGCCACATAGATGAGGAATCCCGCCTTCTGGCACTTCAGCAGCAGCAGCAGCAGCAGCAGCATCAGCAACAGCATAACATGGCTCTCTTGCAGATGCTCATGGAACGACAGCAGCAGCAGCAACAACAAGCCGCGGCGTCTCAACTTCAGGATTCGCTGTTTCAGCAGCACCAGCAGCAGCAGCAGCAACAACAGCAGCTGGAGTTGCTACGTCAGTCCCAGCACCCGTTAGCAACAGCAGCTCCCGCCTCTCCTGCGTTAGGAGCAGCAGCTTCAGCAGCGGTGCAACTCGGTCAGGAGGCGAGCAACAGTGGGTTACTAGCAGCGGCAGTGGCCGCCGCTGCAGCCACTGCTGCGGCAGACGGCATGTGGCAGGGTCGGCAGGGTGGGCATCAGCAGCAGCGATCAGCGTCGCCGTTGCAGCGTCTGAAGCAGGAGAGGCACCCGGCGGAGGCGAATCAGCGGCAGCAACAGTCGCAGCTGATGCAGCGTCGTCAGAATTCGCAAGACAAGCCGCAGCACTCGCAGCGGCAGCCAGCGCAGCAATTTGAAAATTCGCAGCAGCAGCAGCAGCAGCAGCAGCAGCTAGCGGCGGCCTCCCTTCCAGAAGCTAGCGCTTCAGTCCCCTTGAACCATGTTGACGTCTTGTCACCTTCCGCAGGACCAGCAGCAACAGGAGCATCAGCTTCAGCTACAGCCACAGCAGCAGCTACAGCCATAGTAGGAGCAGCAGGAGCAAGTGGGCCAGGGGCAGCAGCAGGGGAGGCGGATATTTTGGAGATTTCCGCCTTTTCCGCGCAGCCTAGCGGCGACCTGTTCATCACCGGCGGACCTAGCAGCTCCGCGCTCATGGTCCCCGCGGGTTCCGCGCTCATGTGCCCCGACTCCCCGAACTTCGTGTCGCTGTTATCCATGTTCTCCTCGCCCCACCCGCTCAGCTGCGCGGGATCGCTCGCGGATGGGCAGGAGGGGGACGAGCAGCAGGAGGATTCCAAGGCGGGGGTGCTGGTCAGGGGCGGGGGGGGCGGATGGGGAGGGGGAAGGGGAGGCGGAAGGGGCGCGGGCGGGAGAGGGGGTGCGGGGCAGCTGGTGTGCGCTCCGCCGAGGAATATGCTGCAGGTGGCGGGGGGCGCGCGCGCGGAGAGGGTTCCGGGGCTGCGGGGGCGGATAGAGAATGCGTTGAGGAGCCTCTGCCAGGTGTGTGCGCATTGGGGGGAGTCGAGCTGGTGGTTTGGAAGAAAGCATGCGGGGGGTAAGGTAATGGGCGGGAGATTGTGCCTTTGGGGAGTGAAGGGGAGTGCCACGCACTCTGTGACTCCCCTTTCTCACGAGAAGTTTCCAACCGTCCCATATTCCCTCTCGTGAGAAAGGGGAGTTACAGACTCCTCTTCAAATGCCTCGGTCGCGAGGCGACCTGCTGGCGCAGGTGTGGTGTGGTTCCCCACGTAAGGCTCTCCATTTTTTCCCTCTCAGTAGAAACTCCCTTCCGCTCTCCCCCCTCCCCTTTTCTCCCCCACCCAAACACCGCAGTCGCGAGGCGATCTGCTGGCGCAGGTGTGGTTCCCCACGTGGCACGAGGGGCAGCGCGTGCTGAGCACGCGCGAGCAGCCGTTTGTGCTCATGGAGGGCAGTGAGAAGCTGCGCGTCTACCGCACCATCTCCACCAAGTGAGCACAGGGGGAGGGGATGAGGGTGGTGGTGGTGGTGGGGGGTTGGCGTGGGGGCATGTCAGATGCCTTTGAGGATGGCGAGCAGCCGTTTGTGCTGATGGAGGGCAGCGAGAAGCTGCGCATCTACCGCACCATCTCCACCAAGTGAGCTGCAAAGGGGGGATGGGGGAATGGATAGAGCTCCTTTTCCTCTGTTTGGTGGTGTGGGGCTGAGAGGAGCGGATGCCTTTCGCGATGCCTTTGAGAAGAGAAGCTTCGCATGTACATCTACCGCACGCACCATCTCCACCAGCGGGTGAGTGCTCGGTTCGGGTCCTCCTTACCATCTTACAGGTGTTTGAAATGAAGTTTTGAGACGTCTCAGAACTTCACTTCAAGCACACACCATCTCCACCAGCGGGTGAGTGCTCGGTTCGGGTCCTCCTTACCATCTTACAGTCTCACACGCCTCCCTTCCTTCCTTCTTTCCCTCCCGTCTCCTCCCTTCCCCTCCATCCCGCCCCCCACCCCCTCCCCCCCAGCTATACATTCCCCTTGTCCAGTGGGGGAATACCAAAGCCTACCAGGCCATATATTTGTATCTGGCCGCCCAACGTGCAGACCACTCGTGGGACGAGTACCTCCGAATGGCACACGCCTGACCCCCTGTCCCCCGCCCCCTGCTCCCCTCCAACCCCCCCCCCCCCCCCTGCTCTCTGAACCTCCAATATCCTCCCCAGCTACGCTTTCCCATTGTCCGGCAGCGGGTACCTAGGCCTACCAGGGCGAGTGTTCATGTCCGGTCGCCCCGAGCGGACGCCCAACGTGCAGTACTACTCGCGGGACGAGTCCCTCCGATCGGCGCACACCACCCCTGACTCCCTGCCTCACCTGAACGTCCCCCGCCCGCCGCCCTCCCCTTTGCTCCCCACCCCCCAGCTACACATTTCCCCTCTCTGGAAGTGGGTACCTGGGTCTACCAGGCCGTGTGTTTGTATCGGGTCGCCCCGAGTGGACGCCCAACGTGCAGTACTACTCGCGGGACGAGTACCTCCGAGTGGCCCACGCCACACGCTGCAACCTGCGCGGGGCTCTGGCTGTGCCCATTTTCCGCGTGCTGGGGAATGAGGGGAAGGGGAAGAGGAAGGGGAAGGGGAAGGAGGAAGCGGGGGAGGGGGGTGGGGAGAGCTGGGGGACGGGCAGCAGTGGGAGTAGCAAAGGCGGGTGGGAGTGGGAGGCGGGAGAGGGGCGGGAGGGGGAAGGGGAGGGGGATGAAGGGGAGAGCGGGGGGAAGGTGATGGTGGTGAAAGGGGAGGGGAGATGGGGCGGGGGAAGCGGAGGGGTGAAGGGGAGGAGGAGGCAGGAGCTGGTGGCGGTGGTGGAGCTGGTGATGATGGGGGAGGACGTGCGCTTCGGGCCTCAGATCGATGCCGTGTGCAACGCACTGCAGGTGAGAGGGCGATGCAGGGGTGCATATGGTTTGGTTTGGGGGTGCAGTGTGCTGCAGGGAGGTGCATATGGTCTCTGGGGGAGGAGGAGGCAGGAGCTGGTGGCGGTGGTGGAGCTGGTGATGATGGGCGAGGACGTGCGCTTCGGGCCTCAGATTGATGCCGTGTGCAACGCACTGCAGGTGAGAGGGCGATGCAGGGGTGCATATGGTTTGGTTTGGGGGTGCAGTGTGCTGCAGGGAGGTGCATATGGTCTCTGGGGGAGGAGGAGGCAGGAGCTGGTGGCGGTGGTGGAGCTGGTGATGATGGGGGAGGACGTGCGCTTCGGGCCTCAGATCGATGCCGTGTGCAACGGACTGCATGTGAGGCTGAGGTTGAGTGCGGTGCAGAGGCGTGCAAATGGTGTGGGGGGAAATTCTCTGGTCTTGAAAGCAGGGAGCGGTGGTGGAGCTGGTGATGATGGCGAGGACGTGCGGTTTGACCTGCAGATCAATGCCGTGTGCAACGCACTGCAGGTGAGAGATAGAGGCCAGTGCAGTTCAGAGGGGTGCACGTGGTCTGGATACAGGTGCAATGCGGTGCAGAGCGGTGCAAGTGGTCTTTGGGAGGGGGGAATCGACTTGAAAGCAGGGAGCGATGGTGGAGCTGGTGATGATGGGCGAGGACGTGCGGATTGACCTGCAGATCGATGCCGTGTGCAATGCGTTGCAGAGCAGGGTGCAGTGTTGTGCAGAGGGGTGTATGTTGTTTGTGTCTAGGGTACAGTGCAGTGCAGAGGAGTGCATGTGGTGGTGGGGGGGGGATGTGTTAAGGGCGCAGATTGATGCCCTGTGCAACGCGCTGCAGGTGAGAGACAGGGGTGCAGTGCGGTGCAGAGGGGTTGATGGGGATGGGGGGTGTTGCAGAGGTGTGTTATGGCACAGCCCTCAATCCATTCCAGTTCCATTCGCCATTGCAGTGGGCACACATTTTATGCCCCTGTCCCTCGGAAATCCTCACGCCACTGCCAAACAGTGCATTACATCCCACCCCACCCACCCCACCCCACCCCACCCACTCTTCAGACGGTGGACTTGACCAGCATTCGTGCATGGGACCACCTTCCAGCAGAGGTGAGCCTATGTTTCTGATGGCATTGGAGCGTCTTGTTTTTCTGACTGCGAATCTGCATCTCATGTTATTGACTGCATTTCATGCTTGTGGCAGCAAACACAACCCGCTACCCAAGTCTTACTCTTTGCTTTCTCTTTCCTCTCCCGCACCGGCCGTCTCTCGCTCTCAGATGCCCTTCCCTGGCCGGGGAGCAGTACTTACCGAGATACACGAGGTGCTCTGCTCTCCTCGCTCTGTGTCAACCACTTGCTCCAAGCCATGTCTTACTCTTTCCGTTGCCCTCTTTTCCTCTCCCGCACCCGCCTCCCCTCCCGCTCAGATGCCCTTCCCTGGCCGGGGGGCAGTGCGAACAGAGATACATGACGTGCTCTCCTTGCTCTGCGACAAGACAAGCACTCGCTGCCCTGCTCCCAGCATGTGTCCCACATTCTCCATCCCTCATCTCCCCCGCCCGCCTCCCCTCCTTCCCAGATGCCCTTTCCTGGCCGGGGTGCAGTGCTCACAGAGATACACGAGGTGCTCTCCTCACTCTGCGACAAGCACTCGCTCCCCCTCGCCCAGACCTGGATCCCCTCCTCCTGGGTGCGCCTCACCGAACCTCCTGCCGCACCTGCCGCCGAACCTGCGGCTCGGGGGTGCGCGGGGCCGGTAGGGGCGAGCATGCGGAGCAGTGTGGGGGCGGGGTGGAGCATGCGACGAGAGGGGGCGGGGCGGGGAAAGGGGGTAGTTGACGTGGGGAGCCTACAGGAAGACGTGTTTGAAGTGTTTCATGTTGGCAGAGAGGGTAGAGGAGGAGAAGGATTGGGAAGAGGGGGGGAAGGAGCGGGGAGAGGAGGGGTAGGAGACGGGGAGGAGGAGCAGGGAGGGGAGCAGCAGGGAGGGGAGGAGCAAGGAGGGGAGGAGGAGCAAGGGGAGGAGGAGGACGCAGTAACACTCTTCACAGCGGACATGCCGAGCTGCGTGGCGGATCTCCGCATGTGGGGGTTCCGCCAGGCGTGCTGCGAGCACCAGCTGCAGGCCGCCCAGGGCTGCCCCGGCCGCGCCATGACCTCCAACGCCCCCGCCTTTTGTGACGACCTGCAGCTTCTCACCAAGGAGCAGTACCCTCTCGTGCACTACGCGCGCATGTTTGGGCTCCGGGCGGCTGTTGCCATCCGGCTAAGATCTGTTTTGTCTAAAGATATGGACTATGTTTTGGAGTTTTTCCTGCCGCCGGGGTGCAGGGAGAAGGAGGAGCAGCAGCGGTTGCTGACGCAGCTGTCGCAGAGCATGCAGGAGGCGTGCCGGAGCCTCAGGACGGTTACTGTGGAGGAGATGAGGAGGAGTAGGTCCGGGAGTAGGTCCGGGAAGAGTGGGGGTAGTCGAGGCACAAGGTCAGGCTCGGGGACAGGAGGGGCGGAGGCGGGAGGATCGGTGGCTGGTGGGTCCGTGATGGGAGGTGGCGGGGTGGAGACGAGAGGGGGGCCGTGGGGGGGAGGGAAGGGAAAGGGATTGGTGGGGGAAGGTGTGTCGGAGGGAGTGAGTGTGGTGAGGGGTGTGGGGGGGAAGGGGGCGAGGGAGGCGGCCGAAACTCCAGAGAAAAGAGGTAGGGAGGTGAAGAGGAGGCGAGTGGAGGGACAAGGGGAGGGGGAAGGTGTGAGGGTGTGTGAGGGCGCGGGTGTTGGTATGAGGGAGACTGGAGTGGGGGATAATGGTGTGGGCGAGAGCAGTCCCTTTGAAGCCGCAGCAATGGCAGAGCTCTGTGAAGGTTCGGCAGTCACGCCACTGGCTCACGGTGTGCCACCTGGCACTGGCACAGCTGACGTGGCGTTTCCACTGGGGAACAGTTCTGCTGCGGGGCTTGGGGTGAATGGATTAGGGTGTGGGGAGGAGGGGGACCATGGGGGCGTGGGGAATGGTGCGGGCATGAGCAATGGTGGGGAAGTGGGGAATGGTGATGGGAATACGGGTAATGGTGGTGGCGGTATTGGGAATGCTTGGGCGGAAGGTGTTTTTTCCGAGCAGCAGCAGCAGCAGCAGCAGGGGGAGATGGGAGCAGCCCCAATTACACTTACGGGTATGGGAACGGGCATGGGAACGGGCATGGGAACGGGCATGGGAACGGGCATGGGAACGGGCATGGGAACGGGCATGGGAACGGGCATGGGAACGGGCATGGGAACAGGCATGGGAACAGGCATGGGAACAGGCATGGGAACAGGCATGGGTGGTGGCGGCAGCCTCAACATCAACGCAGGTGGGATGGGCACAAGCATGGGCATGCAGGCCATGCCACCTCTACCTGAAGACGCTTTCTCAGGTGAAAGCTCAGGTCCTACACCCATGGTCTCTGCAGCTGCCGGCCCTGCCGCCCCTGCCGACCCTGTGTTGGGCAGCAGCGAGGCGGCAGCTGCACCTGCTGGCCAATCAGGTGCCCCTGCCACGTCAGACAGGAGTGGTGACAGCCTGGATGAAGGGGGAGGGGCGCTGGAGGGGACTCCAGACGGGGCAAGCTCGGGGCAGCCTTCAGGAGGGGCGGAAGGGGGGGCGGAAGGGGGAAGGCAGGGGGGTACGCGTGTAGAGGAGGATGTGACAGGGGGAGGGGGAGGGGGGGAGGAGAGGGCGGGAGGGGCGGAGGGGGGGCCGAAAGGGGGGGTGAAGAAGGGGGAGAAGCGGAGGGGGGGGACGAATGAGAAGAGCATCAGTCTGGGCGTGCTGCAGCAGTACTTCGCAGGCAGCCTCAAGGACGCCGCTAAGGCACTGGGAGGTGAGATTTGGGGTGTGCAGTGTGTGCCTTGTGGGGATGGTGAGTGAGTCGAGAAGAGCATGAGTCTGGGCGTGCTGCGGCAGTACTTTGCGGGGAGCCTAAAGGACGCCGCTAAGGCACTGGGAGGTGAGTTGCATTGTGGGGTTCGTGGTGTGAGTGGTGGTGGTGGTGTGCGCTGTTGTTGGGAGGTGAGCATTGGGGTGCGCAGCATGTGCCTTGTCGTGGGAATGATTTCAAATGATTTCACGTGGGCCTGTGGGGTGCTTCAAATGATTTGCCAGGCCCTGAAGACGGGTTTGCACAGCCCTCTGACTGTCTCGTTCCTGTCCCTACCCCCCCCCACGCTGTTCCCCCTTCCTCTCCAGTGTGCCCCACCACACTCAAGCGCACACGCAGGCAGCACGGCATCGCGCGGTGGCCATCCCGCAAGATCAACAAGGTCTCTTGGAGCATTCAGAAGCTGCAAGACGTGATTGAGTCCGCGCAGGTGGTGACTGAGTGGACGGCCTTTTGTGAGCACGCCCAGTCCAGCGTTCATCCCTCTCCTCCTGGCCATCTGTCCTCTTCTTCCCCTCCCTCCCTTCCCCTCGCCCCCCTCTAACCATGCAGTGTGCCCCACCACACTGAAAAGGATATGCAGGCAGCATGGAATTGCCAGGTGGCCATCCCGCAAGATCAACAAGGTCTCGAGGAGCATTCAGAAGCTGCAAGACGTCATCGAGTCCGCGCAGGTGGTGACTGAGTGGACGGCCTTTTGTGAGCACGTCCAGTCCAGCGTTCATCCCTCTCCTCCTGGCCATCTGTCCTCTTCTTCCCCTCCCTCCCTTCCCCTTGCCCCCCTCTAACCATGCAGTGTGCCCCACCACACTGAAAAGGATATGCCGGCAGCATGGAATTGCCAGGTGGCCATCCCGCAAGATCAACAAGGTCTCGAGGAGCATTCAGAAGCTGCAGGACGTGATCGAGTCTGTGCAGGTGCCAGCTGGCGCGCTGCGATTGGACGCCATCACGTCTGAGCTGGCGACGGCCGCGGCGGTGAAGGCGGTCACGGGGGCGCAGATCGGAGGGTCTGCCAACTCGCCAGCATTTTCAAACCCAGCTTTAGCGGCAGCAGCAGCAGCAGCAGCAGCGGCAGCAACAGGGGCCGGGCAAGGGCAACAAGCACATGTTCCAGGAGGTTCCACTATACTCCCAGCTCCCTCCTTTGGCTTTAACTCCACCTCCTTCCAGTCCCTCCCTTGGCCTGGCAATCGCCATCCCTCCATGCTTGACCCTATGGTCGGAGGCTCGGCACACGGACCTGGAGGTTCGGCTCACGGGCCACTGGCCACGGGAGGTTCAGCGCACGGACCACTTGCCATGGCTGGAGGCTCGGCGCATGGGCACTTTGCAGGAGGGTCGGCGCACGGCCCGTTTATGGGCGTGGGAGGTTCGGGGCACGGAGGAATGGCGTTTGCGGGAGGTTCGGGGCATGGGGGGGTGGCGTTTGCGGGAGGTTCGGCACATGGAGGGAATGCATTTGCGGGAGGTTCAGCCCATGGCGGGAATGCATTCGCGGGAGGCTCGGCTCACGGAGGCATGGCGTTTGCAGGAGGTTCGGCACATGGGGGCAATGCGTTTGGGGGAGCAGGCGGGTCGACACATGGCGCGACGCTACTGGCTGCAGCAGCGGGAGCAGGATCAAATCACGGGCCGTTCCCAGGGGGTCCAGTGCAGGGGGGGTATATCCTCGTGGGTAGCTCAGCCCATGGCCCACACATGGCTCATGTTGGGGGGTCTTTGCATGGGGCAGGGGGGTCCATGCATGGCGGAGGGTCAATGCATGGGGGGATCATGGCTGGTGTGCAAGCTGCTGCTGGTATGGGTATGGGTGGTCCTGGCATGGCAGCAGGCATGCAAGCAGGGGGGTCGCATCACGGTGGATATTTCTTTGCAGGGGGCTCGGGTCATGGGGCACATATGATGCTGGGTTCACCCCATGGGGGGGCATATGCAGGCCCGGCAGCTGCTGCTGCTGCAGGCATGGCCGGACCTGGCGGGAGCGGAGGTTCGGGAGGAGGCCTGGGGCCGAACCAAGCCGGCGGGTCGATGCATGGGGGAATGGCGGGAAGCGCAGGGGGGGTGCACGCGGCGAATAGGACGACGCCACCTGGCAAGCTGCCGATTCCTCGGGATCCGTCTACTTCCAATCTGAGCCTTGCTTTGAGTCTTAAGAATGGAGCCGGGACGCAGAGAGCAAGTGGGGCGGTTGCAGGGGGGGATGACGAGGGCACGACACATGGCACGAGCCTATTGGCCAGTCTGCTTCGGAGGAGTGATGAGGAAATGGGGTTGGTTGGGGGGACGGTGACAGGGGGAAGGGGAGAGGGGGATGCGGCGGAGGGGAGGGGCGGTGGGGGACATGAGGGGGGAGGGGGTGGGGGAGGCGGTGGTGGGGAGGGGGAGAGGGATGGGCAGTTGGGGATGAGCCTGGGTGGGCAAGCAGGCGTGGCAGGGGGTGTGGGCGGTGCTGCTGCAGGGGAGCAGTGGTTACAACAACAGCAGCAGCAACAGCAGCAACAGCAGCAGCAGCAGCAGCAACAGCAGCAACAGCAGCAGCAGCTGGAAGCTGCTACTGCTGGTGCCGGTGGTGCGAGAGGGCAGCAGAGGGAAGAGACTCGGGTGCACGGGGGGCGGTCAGCCTTTGTGGCTCTCCGCAGCTACCAGCCAATTGCAGGGGACCAATCCAACGACCACCACCACAACCAGCAACAGCAGGGGCAGCAGGGGCAGCAGGGGCATGGGCAAGCAGCAGGCGGCAGGGAGGGGCGGTCAAATGGGTTTGAGGGGCGTGAGGGCGCGGCGGGCGGGGTGGGGGGGCGGCTGCGCGGTGGTGCGCCCTGTGCTGCTGATATGGCTGCCCTCGGCCATGCAGGCACGGGGGGAGGCGGGCAGGGTGGATTCGGGGGTAGAGGGGGTGCTGGTGGTGCTGCCACTGGTGGTGCTCATGCCCCCACCACATCGCTACATCTATGGGAGGCAGACCGCGGTGCTGCCTCTGCCTCTGCTGCAGCAGCAAGCACCGGAGGAGGAGGAGGAGGAGCAGGAGGAGCAGCAGCCGGAATGGCAGCAGCAGCAGCAGCAGCAGGAGGAGCAGGAGGGACCCAGTCAGTGGTAACGATCAAAGCTACATTTGGAGGGGATACAATTCGGTTCAGAGTGGCGCTGAACTCTTCAACGTTCCAGCGGGTGCAGGAGGAGGTGGCGAGCAGGCTGAGAATGCCAGTGGGTGCATTCTCGCTCAAATATTTGGATGAGGACGGCGAGTGGGTGGTGCTGGCGGGCCCTCAGGACATGGACGAGTGTGTGCATATAGTTCGAGCTTCGGGGAGCAATACCATAAAGCTGAACATTAAGGCTGAAGCTCAGGGGCGAGGGTGAAGCAGGCTGAGAGTGCTGGTGGGGCCATTCTCGCTCAAATATTTGGACGAGGATGGCGAGTGGGTGGTGCTGGCCGGCCCTCAGGACATGGATGAGTGCGTGCATATAGTTCGGGCTTCGGGGAGCAATACGATCAAGCTGAACATCATCAGGGCGGAAACGGCTGGGAGAGGGTGAAGTGGGGGGCTGTGGAGGTGCATATGAGTCGCCTCAGGACATGGATGAGTGTGTTCACATCGTGGGGGCTTCGGGGAGCAATACGACCAAGCTGAACATCAAGGCGGAAAGCTGGGGACGAGGGTGAATCTGTCCTCAGTACTTGAGAGTGTGTCCCTCACGTACTCGGGTTAGGACGGCCAGTGGAAGGTGCTGGTGGGCCAGCAGGATAGGAAGGAGAGTGCAGGTAACTTCCATGTGCCTGTGACCTGCGCGTCAGTGGGTCCTGTGCCAGTCGGCCGAAAGTAGAGACTGGAGAAAAGTTAGAACCTCACAACACTAGAGTTTCGAGAGAGTGGGGATGTTTGCATTCAGGGCACATGCCCTGCCGGCCTGCCGGCCTCCCGCACGGCCAGTTTTCCAGGCTGGTTGTTTGGAATCTGGATTGTTCTGTAGTGGTGCCAAGTTTGGGTGATCTCGTGGGTACGGTTTGGAATGGTTGGAGAGAGTTGATGCGCTGCACCGCTGATGTTGTCTTTTATATGGTGCGACATCAAGTTACGCTTCATTTATAGGATGTACTTATCGCTTTTATCATATATGTTCTTTACTGTAGTTTTCTCAACCCTGGTTTAGTTAGCCTGGGTGAAATGCTGTACGGGATCTGGAGGCAATGATTTCTTTGTGCTCCCATAAGCTACATTGTAGATTCTAATGCATCGCTGAACACTGATGCACGAGTTACAGGAGGACCAGCTCTCTCTGATAAGCTCAAGAACACTGTACACATTCAAACTCCATCTCGTATTATCACATTGTTATGTACCGCTGCTAAGCCAGTCTACGGCCATGTAACACATCCATTTGTAACCACTCGTCAAACTCATCCGGTGCATCATTTCTGCACACACGCAATGGAAGCGGGCACAACACCACAATCAAAGAGAGTGGATGGGGAAGTGCTGTCGGAAGAGAAGACGGGGGATATTTGAGCAGAAGCAAGACGATCAAGGGCCACACAGAGGGTATGCGTGATCATACAGAGGTATATACCAGCGAATACAGCGGCATAGAGGGGTATACAGGGGTATACGGAATCATACGGAGGGTAAATACAAATTTATTCAGGGGCATAGAGGGGTATACAGGGTATAAAGAATCATACAGAGCGTATATACAATTGTATATATAGAGGGGTATACAGGGGTATTCAGGAGTGAGCAGGGGGCACTCAGAGTGATTGCTCTACCAGGCCTGATTCTGATGCTGTGGGGGCATCCAACTCATACCCCTCAGCTGCCCTCTGCTGCCCTCAGCTGCCCTCTGCTGCCCTCAGCTGCCCTCAGCTGCCCTCTGCTGCCCTCTGCACTGCTGGCAGCAAGTCCTGAGGTGCTTCAGAACAACAGTATAGTATACATGCACCAGCGGCCACTCACAGGGATTGCTCTGTGAGGCCTGATTCTGACGCTGTGGGGGCAACCAGCTCATACCCCTCGGCTGCCCTCTGCTGTGACGCTGCACTGCTGGCCGCTCTGGGAGAGGGGTGCGAATGGGTGGAGATGGGTAGGGATGGATGGGAGGCAATTCATTGGGGGTGAGGATGGGTGGGGGTAAAGGGGGGTGAGGATGGGTGGGGGTAAAGGGGGGTGAGGATGGTTGGGAAATGATGGGGGTTGCGGATGGGAGGGGAAGTACAGAGGGATTTGAAAGGGTGGAGAAACGAAGGGGATGGGCGTGCAGGAGTGGAGAGGGATTGCACGGGAGACAGAGGCCTTTCTGGAGTTGATGCGTAGAGACAGAGGAGGACTGATGAAAGTTAAGCTAACTGCGGTTGGTTCATGAACTTGATGAATGCTGCATTGTGCAGCATTCATGAATATATGTATATATATATATATATATATATATATAAAGTAAGAGGTGGATGGAGGTTTCAAGTAAGGATGGCTGCAAGCGACTCACTCACCCCAGGAATGTGGAAAGGGCGAGAAAGAGGGCTTCAAGCACTGCCACCAGCACATATGGCACCTGCATGGCAAGGAAAAACGGCAAGGGGAAAGCAGAGGGAGGGAGAAGTGGGAAGGGAAGGGAAAAGCTGAGGCACGTGTGCAAGAGAAAGGCTGAGGCGGAAATTGAGGCTTGCCACAGAAGCACAGTTGTATGCAGGGTAGATTTTACGATTAAGTAAGATCCATTCATCAGCCTGTTCAAAGATGCATGAATAGCAAGCTACAAAAAGAAAGTAAGGAAAACAAGCTAAAAAAAAACTCACAGCAGTCATGCGCCTCCAAAAAAAACTCTTCGTTTCATATATATATATATGTATATGTATACACATATACATATATATCTATACATATTTTAGTGTCTACTATTTTTTTCTGAAATTTGAGGCGTCCTCACGTAGCTAGCGCTGATTTTTGAAACACCTCACAAGGGGTACTCGCAGCGATGAAGTGGCCGCGAGCAGCAAAGCCAAAGGCTGCCCACGTGCATGCAGCAGCTAGAACCGACTTTTTTGGCACCTCATAGGGCACCTCACAGGGCGCCTCACAGGGCGCCTCACAGGGCGCCTCACAGGGCGCCTCACAGGGCGCCTCACAGGGCGCCTCACAGGGCACCTCACAAGGGGCACTCACGGCGATAAAGTGGTCTTGAGCAGCGAAGCCAAAGGCGGCCCATGTGCATGCAGATGCAAGAGCTGAGCAGCTGAGGAAGAGGTGTGATGGCTGTGCCGATGCTGCTGTGTCCAGCAGGCTGAGCTGATGCGGGATGAAGGGACGACGGGATGAGGGGAAGAGGAGAAGAGGGAATGAGGTCACCAGGCCATGCGCATGCAGCAGCTAGCGCTGCGCAGCTGAGGAAGAGATGTGACGGCTGGGCGGACGCTGCTGCGTCCAGCAGGCTGAGCTGATGCGGGGATGAGAAGATGAGGGGAAGAGAAGAGGGAATACAATGAGGCCACTGAGACACTAGGGACTCAGGGCAACGAAGTGGTACGCAGCCAAAGGCGGCTCATGTGCGTGCAGCAGCCAAAGGCGGCTCATGTGCGTGCAGCAGCCAGTGGTGAGAAGCTCAGAAACGTGAGACGGGTGCCATTGTAACGAGGTGACTTTTGAGTCGACTCAAAAGTCGCCTCTTTAAAATGGCACACAGCAGCCAGTGGTGAGAAGCTCAGAAACGTGAGGCGGTGCGATGAGCGATGGGCGATGGCTGGGCGAATGAGGCGGTGTCCAGCAGGCTGAGCTGCAAAGAGGTGGGGGTGAGGGATGGGGGGACGGGGTAAGCGGATGGCTTCATGTGGAAAGGAGTATGAACAGAACAGACAGGTTGCTTTTGTGGTGCCTGATAGCACTGGTTTAGTGTGGTTGAGTGCGGTTGAGAGGTGCTTAAGGGACAGCCTGTACCATGCGGGAAAGGGGCTGAGAGGCGAGCAGGAGAGCCGCAGCAGCTGAGGCAGTCCATCCGATGACGAGTGAAGAAGGTGCGAAGAAGGATCCGAGGAAGAGCACCAGGATGGAAAGGCCAGAGGCTGGTAGCAGCAGTTGCAGCACCTGCCGCTGAGGGGTGTTGGGTGAGGGGTGAGGGGTGAGGGGTGAGGGGTGAGGGGTGAGGGCAGGGCATACAGACAGGCCGAGACCAGCGTGAGAGGAGCCGATTGTGATTGCAAGAGGTGCTGATTGTGATTGCAAGAGGTGCTGGTGTGGGAAACGGACCAGAATTGAGTTGACTCAGAATCCATGGGTTGTGCTGCTGTCCTGGTCCCTCATGCTGGTGTGGTCTGGATGAGGTACAGGGACAGACCTGGCTTGCAAAGATCCATCTCCCAACAAGCAGAAGTCACTCAATAGGGTATTCCAATCCAACGTACAAGCAGCAGATTGTAGTCAGAGGTTCTTATAAACGATTGGGCTTTTTTCCTCTTCTTTTTTTTTTGTGTTTTTCTTTTTTTTTTGTTTTACCCCTTGTTCCAAAATAGGGAGCAACGTACCAGGCGCAGGGTGTGGGTGGAGGAGTCAGAGGAGATGAGGGGGAGGAGGAGGGCGGAGAGGGAGAGTGACTGTAGGACGTGCGCGAGCAGGAAGAGAATGCGGCGGGGTGTGACTATAGGGAGGGCGTAGGCCGTCCAGAGGAGGGAGGAGAGGAGGGAGCAGGAGAAGGGAGCTGTAGAGATGCTGCTCCGGGTATAGGGCGAAGAAGCTTCTTGGAAGGCGTTCCTGAAAAGATGAGCGAACGCATGGGGCAGGGGAGGAGGAGATTATGCATGATTGAAACTTGAGGTGTGATTGTGGCGAAGCGCGGATGCTGGTTGATCATGGGGGCTGTTGCCTACGAGGGATTGTTAAATAGGATTTAACAGGGCTGTGAAGCATGGATGAGGTATGGGGAAAGCAGTGGTAACGCATGGGGGGATGGAATGGCGGAATGCACGGGTTAGGAATGGAAGAGGTATGGGAAGGGCATAGGAGAACGAGGCAATGGGGAACGAACCAATAAGCTGCCTGAAGGAGACACGTGGTGAGCAGACCTGCATGAAAATAAAATATCAACACAACAAATAGAACGTAAGCAATATCCGGAAGACCCCGTGGAAATGAGACGCGAGTGTCTGCACTCGTAATATTATTGACGTTCAATTTTGTAAATTTCGCGAGAATTCGCGAAAATTTGCGAGTATTGCTACCGGAGAGTACAAGCCACACAGGAGCTGCACCAGACGCTCTGCTGACACACAAAAGTCAGCGTATGAGATATGGAACGAGTCTACTTTTGAGGCGCCACAACAGTTCTCTTGTGAGACCGAGCCTCCTTGATACTGCCGGAGCGCGTGTAGGCACACAGCGATGCAAATGAAACGTCCGTTTTTCACGCACAAACGAGGGCAATTTTGAAAATTCTCAAAACATCGCATGAGAGCGTAACAGCTTGGACGCACTATAACGATGTTTTCGGACTGACCGAGTGTGCCTAAAAACGACTCCATGGCTGCGCGTGTGTCGCCACTCGTTGGATGCGAGCGCGTGATTTGCGAATTCGAACGGAGCTCCAACGAGGATTGAGGGGCGCGAGCGACCGAGGGAGGGGTAATAGGAGTTCGGGCGAGGGAGGGATCCTAGGAGTGGACGGAACTAGTTGGAAATACCCATGGATTGAGGGTGAGGGGAATTTGAGCCCTGAAATTTTCGTTTGTCCAAGGCTCGTTATAGAGTTTGGCAAAATAGCGTGTGCACACACAATCGAGTTACTGTATAAAGAATACATGCTGTTGAGCTGTCATTTGTCCGCCGGGATATGCGGCAGCGACACTTTTTCGTCACACCCACGGGCGGTACTGTATCATTATGGGAGGAAGCAGAACTCCCTCCGCGTTCGATTGCGATTCTGTGGGATGCTGCATGTTTTGCTGCGATGCAGCTCGCAATTCGGAAAAAAATTAGCCGAAACTGATTCGCTACCCCCTCCGCTGCCCGCTCCGCCACACAGTAGTTTCCAGCCACCCTCCTTGGCTAAGCTGCCTCCTGCTGCTCCGCTCGCGCTAGATAAGTGGTTCTCAGGGCTCCGCCATTTTTACGCGATTATTTCAAGCCTCACTAGAGAAGCTCATGGCTTGCACAGTAGCGCTCCCGGCGGTCGCGCTGGGCATGTATTGTAATAAGCTTCTATGCCACCGCCGTATTTCACAATTATTCGGTCGCTCGTGCGGCAGGTACGAGCCCTCGTTACAACTGCAGCCGATTCGGCCTCCCTTCGCAGTTACCCCATAGGGGGCAGCGCACAATAGTATTTAACAGAAGGAACTTCGACTCTCAGCACATCATTTGGGCAACATCTCTAATAGCTCACTATTACCTCTCGACTCGCCAGCTGCATTTGTCCTAGAATCCTCCGGACATCTAAAAGCTTAGTACGAGTACCTTTCAGCTCGTCCAAGATACCGCCCGGTATCCATCCGTTCCGCCGCCATGGCTCCCCGTCACGTCCTTCTTCTCACCTTCCTCGCGGCCTTCGCGCTGAGCCTCTCTGTTACCTCCGCTCTTCCCAGCCACCCTAGTACTACTAATCGGCGCGCTTTAGGCAACAAGGGCTCCAAGCCCGCACCGGCGGGTTACGTGAAAGCCGAGTCGCCCAAGGTCCAAGTCACGGCGGAGATGCGCGCCAAGGCAGTTGCGATCGCGAAGGAGGCATTCGAGAAGGCGAAGAAGGAGGCCAAGGACCCGGAGAATCAGAAGAAAGTGGCCATAGAAGCGGCGAAGAAGGTCGGCAAGACGGCTCTGAACGCCCTGCTGCCCGGAAGCGGGCACGTGATGGACGCGGCGGAAGCGGCGAAGTTCTTCAAGGAGCATATCTGGCCCATCATCAAAGCGGAGCTCCAGAAGCTCGCCGACGAGGCGGCGGCGGAGCGCCAGAAGAGCTATCAGGCGATCAAAACGCCGCCCCAGACTCCCAAGGCCAAGAAAGGCGGGAAGTGAGACGAGACGAGGCTTCTGGAGTTGAAACCTGAATGCCAGAGGAACGAGATATTGGAGGAGCGGTAGTGGGAGTTGGGGGTTTTTTGGATGTGGGAGGGTGGACTGGGAAGAGGGTTTTAGTGGAAAGGGGGGTGATGATGATGGGGGATGATGGTCCAGGAAAGGGAAGGGTTTCCGACTTAATTGCCGAAGGAGGTTGATGTGGAATGAGGAGGGGGAGTGAAGCGGGATATGGATGCTGGTGATAGAAGGTGATGGACTTGAGGGAGCAGGAGGCTGTAGGTGGGAAAGAGGGGTAGGCAAGGAAGGAGTGTGGGTTAGGGTGGGGTTAGTCAGGGTGTGGGAGGAGTGGGTGGGGTAAATGTTGCGGCTGTAATGTCTTGGTTGTACTTTTGATTTTGGAACAGCCGTTTGGACAATAATAAGTTATCCACCCAAGGAAATACCACTACTCCAATTTGCTCCATCCTTCCTGCACATACGGTATGCATGGACTGCAAAGGTGCAGACCTGGTCATGATCATCAGCTTTTAGAGTGTGTTGAGAAGCAGGTACAAGCACAGGGACGGTTGAAGCAGCACAGCAGAGGTGGGTTATGGTTGTTGGTCAAATAGAATTGTGCCCCATAAGTGCGTATTCTCTACTTTTGTCGGGTTTACATGCCAAATAAAACACTCTTTTGTCTGTATGGCGTGCATCTCTATACGTAACTCTAAAATGTTGGGTGACGGACACGGATAGTACCAAGTATGCACTGTCGATGTATGTAGGGTGGACCGAGCGAGAACATCAACATGCTCCCTCCCCACCGCACCCCACCACCAAATTCTCCGCAGGCAAATCTAGAGGAGGTTCTGAGGCCGACTCCATAGCAGCTCGGTATCTCGTTTTGGCTTCCTCTCGAACACTTCCTCGGTAGTTTTCTCACAAAGTTTTCCACTATCACCTCCTGTCGTTGTTCCTTCGAACTCCCTTTTTTTTTCTCTGGTCGTTTCGCCATGGATTCGTTACAAGCACGGCAGACGTGGGAGCTGGAGAATCGAATCGAGCCGTTGGCGTCCGCTGACGTAGACACGATCTACCGCTATGACGAGCGAATCCACGCGGACGTGCTGTCGCAGAAGCCATGGACCAAGGACCCGCACTATTTCAAAAATGTCCGAATCTCCGCGCTCGCGCTGCTCAAAATGGTCGTGCACGCGCGATCAGGCGATACCATAGAGGTGCGTGTTAAATGCAGAGCTTCGAGAACGCGGAAGTGCCATCGCAGAAGCCGTGTCCGAATCTCGCGCTCGCGCTGCTGAAAATGGCCGTGCACGCGCGATTGGGGGATACGATTGAGGTGCGTGCTTGATACCTCTTCAAACGTACAAACTTTTGAGGCGCCTCAAAAGTCGATCGAGGTGCGTGCTTGATACCTCTTCAAACGTACAAACTCGAGGTGATACGTATCTTCGACGAGGGCTTTGAGAAGCATGAATTCGTTGCACAAGCAGCCCAAGAAAGCATGTTCTCTGGTGTTTTTTTTTTGTCACCTCAGTCGATTCAAAATTCACCAGAAGGCAAAATCAGTGCGCCTGAACCCGAAAACTGCGCTATGCTGAAAGTAGGCCTAATATTCGCATATTTTTTCGGTATCGCCCCTTCCCCATGGCAGGTGATGGGCATCATGCTGGGCAAGGTGGTCATGGACGCCTTGACTCTGATATAATCACCCCTGATATAATCAACCCCATTAACCCTGTCCCTTCCCTCGGCAGGTGATGGGCATCATGCAGGGCAAGGTGGTGGACGGCACAATCATCGTCATGGACGCGTTTGGTCTGTTACAAGCAGGCCCGTTATAAGGCATGTAAACTCTTTCCCCTCTTCCCCTCGGCAGGTGATGGGCATCATGCAGGGCAAGGTGGTGGACGGCACAATCATAGTCATGGACGCGTTTGCACTGCCCGTGGAGGGCACGGAGACCCGAGTCAACGCCCAGGCTGAGGCGTACGAGTACATGGTCGAGTTCACCCAGACGAATAAGAGGGTAAGATACTGGACACCCTGCCCCTGACTTTAGAGAATAGGGTCAACGTGTAGGAACCAGATTGCGCTCTAAGGTTCTGTAATAGGGAGATGCACCTGAAAGCAGACTTAAAATTCCACCTACAAACGTATTTAAGCCCACAATTCGGTTAGTCATTCTCCTGCACCTTCTCCCAACTTCTTCTACTGCACCCTCCGCCCACTTTTTTCTGCCAGAACCCTCTCCTTCTCCACGCGCCCACCTCCCCTCTCCCCTGCTGGCGGGGCAGCTGGAGGACGTGGTTTGGTGGTACCACTCGCACCTGGGGGAGTACGGGTGCTGTCGAGTGCTGATGCCCCATCCTTCCACCATCCTCCCCGCACCCCCCCCCCCCATGTCCCCTCCCCTCCTGGTTCAGGAGGGGCAGCTGGAGAATGGTGGGGTGGTATCACTCACACCTTGGGTACCCTGCTGGCGCCCCTTTCCCCCCATTCTCCCCGCATCCCTCTCCTCCCTGTCCTCTCCAATTCCTACTATCCGCAGGCGGGGCGGCAGGAGAACGTGGTGGGGTGGTATCATTCCCATCCGGGGTACGGGTGCTGGCTCTCAGGCATACACGTGTCCACTCGGATGCTCAACCAGGAGTTTCAAGAGCCCACCCGTTTCCCTCTCCCAGAAATCTGTACTTTCAACAGCTCTTCCTCGCTGCCTTGCGAAACGTCTCAAAAGCTCCTTCTTCCCTTCTGTGCCCTTCTTCCCTTCTGTGCCCTTCTTCCCTTCTGTGCCCTTCTTCCCTTCTGTGCCCTTCTTCCCTTCTGTGACCTTCTTCCCTTCTGTGACCTTCTTCCCTACCCCTACTGGCCCAGGCGGGGAGGCTAGAGAACGTGGTGGGGTGGTACCATTCCCATCCAGGGTACGGGTGCTGGCTGTCAGGCATCGACGTGTCCACTCAGATGCTCAATCAGGAGTTCCAAGAGCCCTTCCTCGCCGTCGTCATCGACCCCACACGCACCGTGTCTGCTGGCAAGGTGGGTGCAGCGCATGGGAAGAGCGAGAGGGGGATATCACGCCCTGCCATGATAGGTACTTGATACGTGTATTGCTGCTTAGGTTCTCAACCAGGAGTTTCAAGAGCCCTTCCTCGCTGTCGTTATTGACCCCACCCGCACTGTCTCCGCTGGCAAGGTGGGTATGGGCAGGGGAGGGGAAGGCAGGGCAGGGAGGAGAATGGAGGGCAAGGCGCATGGGAAAGCAGGAGACTTTGAGTCTTAAGAGCCTGTCATTTCTCTCTGTCGTCCTCGACCGTCTACGTGCACTGTGTTCCGCTGGCAAGGTGGGAAAGGGGTAGGTGAGGTCAGGGGTGTAAGTCGACTCATAAGGCACCAACAGCCCTTCGTGGCTGTCGTCATCGACCCCCCAAGCGCACCGTGTTCCACTGGCAAGGGACGGCAGAGGCAGGCAGAGCTCATGAAGCAGAGGGGGTAGGGCATGGACAGTACATGGACAGGTGGGGTGCGTTTTGAGTTGTCAGTACTGGGGAACAGAGATGGAAAGCATGTAGTGCAGGCTGGGAAGCTATCATCATCAGCACTCACACCATAGTCCTTCCTGCAATCTCTCTGACGTCAACTCTTTTTTCTTTCTTTTTTCTTTTCTTTTCTTTTCTTTCACCCACTCCTTCTGTCCTCTGTGCCTGCTTTCCAGGTGGAGATTGGAGTATTCCGCACATACCCCAAGGGGTACCGGATTTTTTTTAGTCAACTCAATAGCCAACCCTTCTCTCTCTGTCCCTCCTCGCCGCTTGTTCCTCTCAAAGGTGGAGATTGGAGCGTTCCGCACATACCCCAAGGGGTACAAGCCGCCAGATGAGCCGCCCTCGGAGTATCAAACCATTCCTCTCAACAAAATCGAGGACTTTGGCGTGCACTGCAAGCAGGTGAGCACATGCGGTTAGGGCGGTTGAGTGTGCTGTGCGGGCTGGTGGGGGGAAGGGGTGTGAGAGGGACGTTGCTTGCATGAAACCCTTTTTCGGGGTCATTGCAACAACGTGAACTGAGACGATTTTTGAGGCGCCTCAAAAGGGGTGTGAGAGGGATGGTGCTTGCATGAGACCCTTATTCGAGGTCATTGCAACGGTTGTCACATGTCCGTCCCTATTTGCTGGTCTCGTACGCGGGCGGGCGTCCTTGCTTGTTATCCGCTTCTGTTATTTTCTGAAATCAAAGTCACTAAAGTGTTTTGAATTTCGACAACTCTCTGACAATCACAACGCGCTATCACTCGACAGTTGCTGTCTGAGGCGCCTCTTGAAATCATCTCCACACTCCACTGCAGCGCCCATCATCTCGTCTCCTTATACTCCCTAATTTTTCAGTTTTGAGGTGCCTCAAACTGCAACGCCCTTTCTCTCCTGTACTCCCCCATTTCTTTCAAATACTCAAGCTTTCACGGAACAACACTTTTGAGGCGCCTCAAAAGTTGAAAGCATCTCCACACTCCACTGCAGCGCCCGTCGTCTCGTCTCCTTATACTCACTCATTTCTTCAGTTTTGAGGCGCCTCAAAACTGCAACGCCCTTTCTCTCCTTATACTCCCCCATTTCTTCAAATACTCAAGCCTTCACGGAACAACACAGTACAGGGTCGACACACCAATCCCCTCTTCTACCCACATCCTCTTTCACCATCTCCCTATCCCCCATCCCCCGTCCCCCGTCCCCCATCCCTCACCCGACTCCTCGTGGCAGTACTACTCACTAGACATCACATATTTCAAGTCGTCACTCGACTCGCACCTCTTGGACCTGCTGTGGAACAAGTATTGGGTCAACACGCTCTCCTCCTCACAGCTTCTTGCCAACCGTGACTACGTCGCCGGCCAGATCTCCGACCTTGGTATGCTGCATGGAAAATGTGTTTGTTTGTTCGTTCTTTCTTCTTCTTCATTAATAATAATATTAATAATGATTTAAAAAAAAAGTAGGTGTTCTGTGGGCACCTTTGATGCCTGAATCCCTTCGTTAAATAACCTTGTTTGCTTCATTTCTTATGGAATTGAATCAAGGTCCACATCCCCTCATCCTCAGCAATTGGGATCTTCAACCTTTCAACCCTCATTTGGACCTGCCACCTCCCCCCACCCTCCTGGCCCCAGCGGGGTGACTTTTGATTCGACTCAAAAGTCAACTCATTTGGATCTCCCACCTCCCCCCTCCCTCCTGGCCCCAGCGGGGTGACTTTTGAGTCGACTCAAAAGTCAACTCATTTGGATCTCCCACCTCCCCCCTCCCTCCCGGCCCCAGCGGGGAAGCTGGAACGGGCAGAGGGGCGGCTGGCGCGTTCGAGGCGCATTGGAGGGCCATTTGCGCTCAATGTCTGCTCTGCTCTCCCTCCCCTTTTTTCCCACTTCGCTCTCCCATCCTCCCTGCCTGCTTTCCTTCCCATCTTCCCAGCGGAGAAGCTGGAGCAGTCAGAGGGGCAGCTGGCGCATTCAGGACGCATTGGGGGTCACTTGCGCTCAGTGTCTGTTCCCTCCCCCTTTCCTCCTTTGCTCCACAACCCTTTCCTCTTTCCCCCCCTTCCAGCGGAGAAGCTGGAGCAGGCAGAGGGGCAGCTGGCGCATTCAGGACGCATTGGGGGGTTTCTGATGCCACCGCAGAGACGCAAGGAGGTGAGTGGAAAGAAGGAAGGAGGTGAGTTGAGTAGGAGGAGGAAAAACGGAGTGGGAGGGAGAAGGAGGTGAGGGTGGGGCGGAGATTTTGTGGTGCGAGTAGGATCTTCAAAAGCAGGTGTTGAAGTGCTTAAAGGGCTTGAAGCCTAGTCTGTTTGCCACAGGTTTCCAGGATGTAAAAATCCTTTTGTGTTTCAATATCACATTGAACATTTTCACCCACTTGTACTTTTATGTTTTATTTTTGTGTTTCACCCTTGCGGTGTTGTGCTGTGACGGCACTGCCTGAATGCACTTTGCATGACTACATGTGCAGGAGGAGTCGCCTCTGAGTCGGTCTACAAGGGACAGCACTCGCATCACTGTGGAGCAGCTGCACGGACTCATGTCACAGGTGAGAGTGACGTCATGCTGACATCAGCACTTGCAGCAAGGCGGGTGTCGTGGTGGCTTGAGCGACACAGGTGTTGCGTGCACAGGAGGAGTCGCCTCTGAGTCGGTCCACAAGGTGACAAGGGACAGCACTCGCATCACTGTGGAGCAGCTGCATGGCCTCGTGTCGCAGGTGAGACGCACGTGTCATGCTGGCATCAGCTCTTGCATCACTGGTGAAGGCAGGTCATGCCATGCTGACATCAGCACTCGCATCACAGTGGAGCAACTGCATGGCCTCATGTCGCAGGTGAGACAGATGGGTCGTGCTGACATTAACATTTGCATTGCAGCAGCGCAAGTGCATGGGCCTATGCCGCAACTGGGAGTGATGCTAAGTGATGCTAACTTTCACCGCAGTATCTGCACCCGTCACTCACTCACATCATAGGTGAGGGCTGATCATGCCATGCTGACATCAGCACCTGCATCACAGTGGATCAGCTGCATGGGCTCACTCTACAGGTGACAACCCACATTATGCCATATCATCCTGCAAGTGCTCTCCCACACACCCTCCAACAGAGTGAGCTGAGCCCTGCCTGTTCGTTCATCTTTGTTACCGTATCTCCTCCTCTTCATTCCGTGCCTCTCTTCCAAACCCCACATGCTCAACCTTGGCTGATTTAGGTGATGAAGGATCTACTGTTCAACTCTGTTGCCGCAGCTAGCAAGCCGGATAAGGTCCAATTACAAGCTGCCAGCTCATCAGGGGGAGAACCCATGGTTGAAGCCTGAGCGATCATCATGAGGGTCTGGTGTGGTAACTGATTGTCTGTAAAGGAGGCTGCTGATGTTCTTGTAACGAGGACTTTGGTGTACCAGATAAAATTGTACTATGACGATCGTATGGCGGAGGTGGATTACCTTTCATGCAGTGCCATGCCATAGCTGTGTGAAGTAAAATGCGTTGTCTACAGAGCAGACTCTCGTTTCTTGCATACCAGTATGTAATTATGGTATGGTACCAAATCATTGTCAGAACAGTGTGCCTTACATATCCAGTCACTAAGCATATCATCCCAGCAGCATAGCGGTCTGGCCATCCAACACGTGTTTTTCTCTACAATGCCCAACCTCACATTTTGCTGCTCTCCCCTTGCATTGCCGTATAACCCTTCTCGCTCCCTATTCTCCATCTTCCATTTGTTACCCCACGCCTAGTACAGCCAGCCAGCAGGTATCAACTCCCATCCCATCCAAACCCCCACTCTGGTCTAAATCCCCATTGCCCAAACCCCTCGACTGATCCGCTTCTGAACACTCTTACTACACCTTCAGCACCCCTGATGCACACTGGCCCTCCACCACTCTGCGGCTTTTACCGTACTTCTCGTTCAACTTGTGCTCCCTCACCTCACCACCCTTTGCAAGGCTTCTACCCACTTCTATTTCTCTTGTCCGGCTAGACCACACCTGCACCAGCTTCCACCAGAGGTGCCTTTTTAAGTCGAATCAGAAGCAACACCCCCGATGCAAACTCCTCCTCCTCCACCCCAACGCTTCTCCTTCTACTTCTCTTCCGGCTTGACTATCTTCACCAGCTTCCACCCATCACCGAACGCCGTTCCCCAGTCCGCGTGTGGCCGCTTCGACTCCAGAAGCGCCGCGTTTGCCGTCTTTAACTCCACCCACTCGCCGGCAAACTCGCTCGCCGCCTCCTCCCACCCGCGGTTATGACCCATGCACATCACCGTGTCCGCGAAATCCGGAGCCAATTGCACGACCGTTTCGTGGAGGTGCCGCGCCGTCTGGCCGTCCATGGCTGCCACGGTGTAGAAGCTTCCGAGAAACCTCGCCGTCGCTTCCGCGAACCCGTCCTCCTCTTTCCGCATGATTTCTAGCGTTTCGCGAGTTCGCGTGGCGTCGCTGCAGAGGATTAAGGACGGGACCCAGCCGAGCTTCGCGAGCTTTTTAGCGATGCTCTTAGCGCCGTGTTTCCCGCGGTTGCTGAGAGGACGGTCGTGATCGATTAAGGACGCGTCATCCCAGGAGCTCTTTGCATGGCGAAGCAGTATAAGGCGACGCGTCTTAGTGGTTGAGGATTTGTTAGAAGAGGAGGAGGGAGAGGCGGAGCATGTTACGGTCGAATGAGCAGTTCTAGTGCTGGTTGATTCAAGTCCGACGAAGACGGTGAGTTGGCTGGATCCAGACAAAGGGATTCGTTGAGAGACAAGAAAGGAGGAGCCTTGTAGGGAGCTGCAGTGCAAGAATGGAGTTTTCGGTTGCTGGAAATTCGACGAAAATGGCCTGTTCACCATGATCTGCTGCGACACCACATTTCCTCTCAAGACATCCATCGAGGTACACAGCCTAAGAATCAAGTTGCTAATACAGGCAAACGGCGGAACGAACGATGGAGCGATCGAGAGCGGAGTTAGCACCAGCCTGTCCCACGGTGTGACTGAACTGAACACTAATTTTCCAAAATGGCCTCCACGGGAGAACCTTCGCTCATGGAAGCACCGACTGGGATGGTGGAGCAAGCAAGCGAGGTTGTGAATGAATTCAGGCGAGATTCTAGCTTGCAGATGCAACAAACTGCAAATCCATGGATGGCGGCTGGTTGCCAAGTAGCATTCGCGATTTAGCACGATTCCTATAATATGAGATTTGGAGGTGACGATGAAACGGCGAAAAACTTTGGCGACGAGGCATTCGTGGGCGTGGATGGAGAGGTGGAGCTATCCTAGTTCTAGACACTCTGATTGGTCAAGAGGATCTTCTAGGTCTCAGAAACATGTCCTCGATATGATGCGTGCTGTTCAGATGATTGAAGCATTTGAGTTGTATATTGGCAGAAATAAGCCTATTTAACATTCATCCACTCTCGATGTTTGGCAGGTGGAGGGAAAATAGTCTTGGGTGTTTGGTGGAGAGTTTTTCTGGTGATCCTTGACGTTGTCAACGTCAACGCTTCAACTTTTTCCATTCACGATCAACCGGCAGACCCACCTACTGAACCACGCTTCAGCTTCTTGTTAGGAGGCACTCCTCTTCGTCGTGCCGTGTCTCGGCATCAGAAGCACATATTTTTGCAACCTTTCAAGAACACTGCACGAGCCTGCGACCCCAAGCCTCTACTTCTCGCTTTATTCCTTTCCACCACTCCGCCTATGCCATAACCAGAGAGCATGCGCACCTTATTTCAGCTCTCCGTGGGGGGGGTTTCGTCACCTGCTTTCCCGACGTAACCTTCCGTGAAACATCCCAGTCTTCGCTTCGCAAACGCAATATTTCACTCGAAACCGTCCATCGCGGCCTGGCCTCGTCGTCCAACAGCCGCCGATCTGACCGACCATTAAAAAAATGATCAGTCGATCCTCGTCAGCGGGATCGTTCACACTCGACACGCGTTATGGCAAGTCGAAGCGCTTCGCAGACTTAAAGCTGTCCACCTGCGCCTCGTGGTCCATCGCCGTTCTCTGCGGCTTCCTCTTAATCTGGCGCCTCGTCTCGCCCCACTGCAACTGCCCGCCGCAACCCATTCCCATTCCCGTACCCGCTCCAGCTGCCCCGTTACCCGGTACAATAACAGGCGGTTTTCGAATCTTAGATCCTGGCGAGCCCGTAGACCCGTATGTAGTTCAAAAATTCGGTCCGGAGATTTGCAACAGGAAGCGCTACCCGCCAACGCAGGCGTTACAGGCCGACTCGGTGACCATCTTAATTAACGGCTACGCCGAAGCGCGAATCCCGCTGCTCCAGGAGACCCTGCAGATTTACGCGGAGAGCCCGTTAGTGGACGCGATTTATGTTCTATGGGGAAACGTATCGTCGCCTTTCTCCGTGGTTGAGGGCGATTTGGGGTGGTGGGATGACGGATCGAGCGGAGAAGGAGCGGCAGCGGCGGCGGCGGCGGCGATTGAACGAGCCGAAAAAATCGCCACGCAGGAAAAAGAGGACGGCATTTCAGGCGGAAATCACGGATCGGGCGGAGGGATCCGCGTGGGCGGTCCGGATTCTAAGATTCACATAGTTCGGCAGCTTTCCGACAGCCTGAACGACCGGTTCCTTCCGCGAAAGTTCATTCGCACGCGAGCGGTGATTATATGCGACGATGACATCACGATCGACGATAAGACGCTTGAGTTCGCGCTCCGGGTTTGGGGGGAGAACGAACAGCGGCTCGTAGGATTCTTCCCGCGCGCGCACGTGTACAGTCTGGAGGAGAAAGCATGGGTGTACACTAAACGCGAAGACCGGTATTCTATCGTTTTAACGAAGCTGTTTATCCTGCATGCGGATTATCTTTTTAGGTACACGTGTCACACGCCGGAGGGGGTTAAGGCGTACGTGGATTCGGGGAAGAATTGCGAAGACATCGCGATGAACTTCGTCGTTTCGCAGCGCGCGAAAGTCGGGCCGCTATTGGTGGACGGGAAGCCTCGGGATTGGGGCGACACGCGGAACTCGGAGAAGGAGCTGAGCGACGTGGGGCTGAGCGCGCGCGCGGGACACAAGAAGGACCGCGGCGGGTGCATCGGCGCGTTTCAGCGGCTGTGGGGCGGCATGGAGCTGAGATACAGCTACTCCAAGGCAACTCCGGATGTTAAAGAGATGGTGAGTGGCGCGGATGGGTGGGAGGAGGCTTTTGAGTTGACTCAACAGTCACGAGTCACGATCAGTGGGGCGGTATGGAGTTGAGTTACAGACAGTTACTCCAAGGCGGCGCTAGATGTGAAAGAGTTGGTGAGTTCGTTCACCCGGTCGTCGCAGTGGGGTGGACCACGTACGTGAAAGAGATGGTGAGTTCGGTTTGGTTACGTGATCCACCCCACTGTGACGAGACGACTGCGAGCAGGCAGCGAGGGCAGCGGGGCTGCACCGAGTGGTGGTGGAGCAGCGCTACGCCTACACCACGCTCGTCGCCTCTGCTGACCTGCTGCCTGCCGCGCTCTCTCTCACACACGCACGCACACTGCGCTGCCCCTCCCCCTCACCCCTCCTCTCCCGTGTTCAGGAAACTTCCAAAAGCCCACAATTTCCTCCCAACCCCTCTCCTCCACCCTCCCCACTCCCCCTTCCTCCTCCTCCCAGGTTTTTTGTGACAAGTTCGGGTACATGATTCATTGCGACGACCGCGCCTTGACGCGCATGCAGGCAGCAAGAGCAGCGGGGCTGCACCGAGTGGTGGTGGAGCAGCGCTACGCCTACACCACGCTCGTCGCGTCTGCCGACCTGCTGCCTGCTGCGCTGGCCCACGCACAGTCCCTCAGGCTGACGGGCACGGCGCATGACCTGGTGCTCATGGTGGATGGGAACGCGCATGACGTGAATGTCAATGACCGGCTGCTGCTGCTGCACTTTGACCACGTGCGGCGCGTGCCGACAGTCACTAACCCGTGAGTATCCGTCCATCACGCTCAGGCTGACGGGCACGGCGCATGACCTGGTGCTCATGGTGGATGGGAACGCGCATGACGTGAATGTTAATGATCGACTGCTGCTGCTGCTGCACTTCGACCATGTGCGGCGTGTTCCCACCGTCAACAACCCGTGAGTAGTGTTGCTCTTTGAGCTGACGGGCACGGCGCATGACCTGGTGCTCATGGTGGATGGCAACACAAATGACGTGAATGTTAATGACCGATTTCTGCTGCTGCTGCTGCTGCTGCTGCTGCTGCTGCTGCTGCTGCTGCTGCACTTCGACCGCGTGCGGCGAGTTCCCACTGTGGCCAACCCACGAGTGCCCCTCTGATGGGGCGTGTGGTGTGAGGCTGAGGGGTGTGCGCAGGGGGTTCAAAGGACATGCCATGCTCTAGCCTCTGCAGAGCTTCTGCCTGCTGCGCTGGCGCAAGGGAACTGGACGGGGCGATTGCTGAGGCTGACGGGGATCAGACAGGGCACTAACTGTGGCTGGCAGGCGGGCGCAGCACGGATGACAGAGTATGACAAGGTGCCCGTGCCCGCCCTCACCTGACAGGCACGTGGGTGGTGTATATCGTCGTGGGCTGGGCACCCTTGTGCTTGAGGAGACATTTGAGTCGACTCAAAAGTCACCTCGTTACTATGGCACACGACAGTGTATGACAAGGTGCCCGTGCCCGCCCTGACAGGCGCGTGGGTGGTGTATATCGTCGTGGGCTGGGCACCCTTGTGCTTGAGTATGACAGAGTATGACAAACTGGCCACGACGATATACAAACTGGACCAAACTGGACTATCTCTTCGACGGGGCCCTAGCCCGCCCCACCTGCCTAACCTTCCTCTCCTTCCCCTCCTTCCTTGTCCCCCCACTTTCCCCCTTTTTCCACCCTTTCCCCACCTGCCCCATTACCGAACAAAAGGTACGGAGTGAAGGGTTTCTCAAAGCTGAACGCGTGGCAGATGACCGAGGACACACACACTCAGGCCGAGGGTACGACAAGGTGGTCTACATTGACGTCGACACGCTCGTCCTCTCATGCACCGTCATCTCCACCCGCCTTCTCCCCCTCTCTCCCTGTACACTGAAACAACAGATACGGAGTAAAAGGCTTCTCGAAGCTCAATGCGTGGCAGATGACGGAATACGACAAGGTGGTCTACATCGACGTGGACATGCTCGTGCTCGCCAACCTGGACCACCTCTTTGAACGCCCTGAACCCCACCTGCCCAACCTTCCTCCCTCCCCTCCCTTTTCCCCTTTCCGCCCATCTCTTCCCCCTTTCCCCTTGGAACAACAGGTACGGCGTGAAAGGCTTCTCGAAGCTCAACGCGTGGCAGATGACGGAATACGACAAGGTGGTCTACATCGATGTGGACACGCTCGTGCTCGCCAACCTGGACCACCTCTTTGAACGCCCCGAGCCCACCGCCGTGCCGGATGTGTACATGAGCAGCAAGTTCAACAGCGGACTGCTCGTGCTCAAGCCGTCCCATGTGAGCAACCACAAAGACTGTCAGCAACCCCTATCCCCTACACCAAATGATTCGATAGTAGCATCCACAGGTACTACAAAGCATAAGTCTGTCTTCTTATCTTCACCCCATCCCCCCTATCGCTCCTCCACCCTCCCCCCCTAACCCCCGCCGCCTCTTCTCACCTTGTCCCCCATACATGGAATCATTTCAGTCCTCATACAGCGACTTGTTGAGACGTCTCAAAAGCGTTGAGCAAGAGCACCGGCTGAGCAAGAGCACCGGCTGAGCAAGAGCACCGGCTGAGCAAGAGCACCGGCTGAGCAAGAGCACCGGCTGAGCAAGCCTCATACAGCGACTTGTTGAAGAGCACCGGCTGCCGTCCTACAGCCAATAAGATCAAGGCTTCTTCAGCGCCCACTTCTTACACTTGTTCCCCTCGCCTCCCCCTTCCTCCCCCTTCCTTCCTCTCCCATCCTCCCCCTTCCTTCCTCTCCCATCCTCCCCCCTCTATTCCCCCCCCTCCCCCCCACCAGTCCACATACGCTGACATGATGAGCAAGATGCACGGCCTGCCGTCCTACAACAAGGGCGACCAGGGCTTCCTCAACGCCTACTTCTCACACTTGCTTCCCTGCCCTCCCCTACCCTCCCCCCTCCTCCCCCCCCCCCCCCCCTCCCCCCCACCAGTCCACATACGCTGACATGATGAGCAAGATGCACGGCCTGCCATCCTACAACAAGGGCGACCAGGGCTTCCTCAACGCATACTTCTCCGGCTGGTTCCACATGCCGCCCGCGCACCGCCTCGCCGCCCGGTACAACGACGTCATCTTCTTCCCCGACCACTACCACCCGCCGCCCTGGTTCCGCTTGGCTTCTACTCGACACACTTTTGAGGCGCCTCAAAAGACTTCCCCGACCACTACCACCCGCCTACTTCTCACATTCTTGTTTTCCTGTCTGTGCTCCCCCCTTCTCCCCCCCCCCCACCAGTCCACATATGCTGACATGATGAGCAAGATGCACCGCCTCCCCTCCTACAACAAGGGAGATCAAGGCTTTCTCAATGCATACTTTTCCGGCTGGTTCCACATGCCGCCCGCGCACCGCCTCGCCGCCCGGTACAACGCCGTCATCTTCTTCCCGGACCACTACCACCCGCCGCCCTGGTTCCGCGTCGAAGCCGCCCACGAGGCCCTCAACGGACCAATCATGATGATCCATTTCGCCAACCCCTGGTTCAAGCCGTGGCGGCTCGGGACGCAGGAGGGGGGGGTGGTGGGGATACACGGGGAAGGGGGAAGCGGGGGAGGCGGAGGAGGGGGAGGGGGAGGGGGAGGGGGAGGGGGAGCAGCAGGTGGGGGGAGTTTGTCGTCTGCGTTGTCGTCGACTTTAGCGTCGTCTCTCACATCGGGCCAGAGCGGGGTGAGCCGAGAGGCAGTAGAGGCTGCCGCAGCAGCAACTTTACAGGCGGTAGCAGCAGGAGGGAGCGTGAACGGCAGTGCAGGAGCAGCAGGAGCTGCTAGTGGGGTGATCGAAGGCGGAGCAGGAGGAGCAGGAGGGGCAGGAGGGGTGGTGGTAGCAGCAGACGGCGGCCCACAGGTCAAGGTGAACCTCTGGTGCTCGCTCTGGCTGTACCTCGCTCACGCACTGGAGGAAAACGACTGGTACCCGCTCGACCCCACGTCCATCTCCCTCATGCACTTCCTCCCCAACCGTGCTCAGTACGACTCCCTCCTCCCCGCCCACGCCAAGGCTCGCTCCGCTTCCGCCGCCGCCGCCGAAGCAGCCGCAGCCGCGGGAGCAGCAGCAGCGCAGACTGCATCTGCTGCGTTTCCATCCACGCCAGCTCTGCTCTCCTCGCCGGTGTCCCACGAGCCGGTGATTCCCGGCCGGCCCACTTACATCGGACGAGAGGGCTTCGTCACTCTCATCACTAAAGATAATTACTTCGCGGCGGGCGTCTGGGCCGCGTCGTACCTGCAGCACCACTCCTTCTCCTCCTTCCGGAAGATTCTCCTCCTCGTGCTGTCCACGGTCCCCAGAGACCACTGGCAGCCGTACCGCAAGCTCTTCAACTACGTCCGCGTGGTTGACCCAATAGTGGTCAACGGGCGGCAGCTGGACGATGCCTTCGCGGTGCTGCACGCGTGGAACCAGAAGGGGTTTGACAAGCTTGTGTACGTCGATCCGGTGGCGCTTTTCGTTGATAACTGCAACGAGCTGGTTACCAGTTACGACGCGTTCGCCGCCCCGCCGAGCGTGTTCCCTCCGGACATGTTTACCTCCCGAGTGATGGTTCTCCAACCCAACTCCACCACATTCGAAGACATGGTGGCGAAACTCCCGGTTTTACCCTACCCGGAAGGGTCGGTGGACCGGTTTTTGAACGCGTATTACTACGGGTGGTTCTCGTGGGCGCCTGCGCACCGCATCCCGCCGTCGTTTGCGGTGGACATGTGGTTCAAGGAGGGGTTGATGAAGTTCTTTGTGCCGTGGCGGATTGTGATGTTTGACTCGCGGGCGGTGCCGTGGAGTGATATCAGCGACTGGATGGCGCATGATCGCACCAAGGCTGTGAAGCTGTGGCGACGCACGTTCTGCAGTTTGGAAGACACGTTGAGACCACCTAGTCTGGCGCATTTGTGTGCGGATTTGATATGATTTGGTGCGCTGCAGCAGCGTGTTTTGTGGAGCGATATCAGTGACTGGATGGCGCACGACCGCACCTAGCCGTTAGGCTCTGGAGGCGGACCTTCTGCAGTTTGAAAGATACCTTCGAGACTACCAAGTCTGGCTCACCTGTGTGCGGATCTGATATAATGCGCTGCAGGAACTTGGTCTGTGCAGTGGAATGATACTATCAATGACTGGACGGCGCATGATCGCACCAAGGCTGTGAAGCTCTGGAGGCAGACGTTTTGCAGTTTGAAAGATACCTTCGAGACTACCAAGTCTGGCTCACCTGTGTGCGGATCTGATGTAGTGAAGTGGAGTGTTTGTGATGTATGGGTGTGGTGAATGAAGGCGCTTATTTGATAGCTTGTTGACTGGTTCATTATTACTGGCATGTATGCACGAGACTGCAGTAAGAAAAAGCAGAAACAAAACTGGAACTGCACTGCCAGTACGCCATCCGAAAATGATACTCCTGTACATCTGATGCACTGGATTGCTCCCCTGAACAGCATAACGTCACTAGTTCACAAACACTGCCACACTTATACCGGACTCCCCACCCCACCCAAAGCCAAGCGCTGGTGCATTTACACCCCCCTCCCCCCTCTCCCTTCCTACCCAACCTGTCAGATGAAATTATGTTTGAGATGACAATAAAACAGAATCAGGGCAGGGTGGTTGAGGGCGCAAGAAGCATGGGAGTGGCGGGTCGGGCTGAAGCTGCCCCTGGGGGGGGGTTTAAGCCACAGCCGTCATATGCGCTCTCCGCTCTTCGCCCCTTCCACCTCCACCCCTTCTCCTGCCCTGCAGCAGCCACACAGACAGACCTCCCTCTACTGCTCACTGCTCTTCCACTGCCAAGGTTCCACTGACACGCACTGTGTGAAAAGAAACCCGGTCAGGTCCTCTGCTGCAGTCACATGCTGGCATCAGCCCCTGCTGCAGCAGACGCCGCTGCTGCTGCCGCCGCCGCTGCCGCCGCCGCCGCCGCCGCTGCTGCTGCTGCTGCTGCTGCTGCTTCTGCTGCAGCTGCTGCCCCAATCTCAAAGTGAGAATTTGTGTGACTGCCCGCAGGTGGATGCCTTACCGTGTTACAGTGTCTAGTGCCGCGTCGTGTGGTGCTACGGATCCTGTGTGAGCGACCAATGGGATGACAACGTTGCGAAGGGGCGGCGCTGGGGACTTCTTTTTGAAACCAAACATCTGGAGACCGGAGGAGAGGGAGGTGAGAGAAGAAGGTGAGAGAGGAAGGGAGATGAAAGAGGAAGGTGAGTAAAGAAGGTGAGAGAGGAAGGTGAGAGAGGAAGGTGAGGGGGGAATGAGGGAGAGGAAGGCGGGGCAGGGAAGAGGGAGAGGAAGGCGGGAGCGGAAGGCGGGAGGGGAAGGCGGGAAAGGAAGGCGGGAGGGGAAGGCGGGAAAGGAAGGCGGGAGGGGAGGGCGGGAAAGAAAGGCGGGAGGGGAAGGAGATGGAAAAGAGGGAGAGGAAGGTGGAGGAGAAGAGGGGAAAGGGTGTGGGTGGAAGGTTGGGAGGTGGGGAAAGAGAGATGAAAAGGGTTGTGATTTAACAAAAATACAGAGAAGCTATAAGCTGTTGCTAGGATTTCAGATTCTCTGTGAAGCGTCCAAACTGAGCGTACACCTTTCCTGATTCCTAACTGACTGCTGATGCTCCCTGGTACCTTTTCCCCACTGCGCACCTTCCCCAGCGCGCGCTCACTTCCCCAGCGCGCACCTTCCCCAGCACTCACCTTCCCCACTGCTTACCTTCCCCAGCGTGTTCTTAAATCACTCCTTGTGTTCGTCCATCGACGCGCTCATGAACTCGTTCACGTGCTCGCGAATCTTCCCCACTGTCGTGTTCGGCTTCTCCGGCCGCGCGCACCCGCCGCCGCCGCTTCCGGCAGCGCTGCTGCTTTCGGGTTGCGCCGCCGCAGAAGCGGCGGAGTCCGCCATCTGCGGAAATACAAAAGGGATGAAACTACTATACTTAAAGTGGATGGAACTACTTTAGTTGAAACTACTGAATGTCGCGCGGCTTTGTATTAGTGTTCTGGAACTCGATGCCGTGTCGATGCAAATGATTTCTACGCAGGAACAGAGTCGGGATAAAAACCCAATTCTTGAACTAGAATTCGCCAAGGACAGGGTAACTCGGTCTCGATGAAGTGATTCACCAAGAAGTGATTCAAGCGCGTGGGTTGTTTTCTTGATCCACCTGAACAGACCATGGCCCGTACGTTCTGTTGCGTGTCAGTCATATCAGAACAAGGCCATCAGAAGAGTACGTGTTTCGGCGAACGGACGCGAAAATCTTGTGGGGCAGATAAATCATGCTGCGACAATTCCGGTGACCTACCAGAGTGCAGAAAGAGTGATTCGTGGAACTACTCGCACAACAAAATGGGGCTTCATCAGTAACAGTTGCAACCGCGCGGCATTTCGTGCAGGCAATTTGTACATCGGCGTCTCATACAGTATCGCCGCATATTGTTACCCCATAACAGCAATCTCAGTATGGGAGATTTACGTCCTAACAACTGCTGAGCGGGTCCATGCGTGCTACAAGAGAAAAACGGCCAGCCATGTTTCACTTCCCCGCGATTATTCAGTTACAAGTAAATGTCAGATTTAGTGGCGAAATTAACTAGTAACGGGGCACATAGACTCGGAAAGAACAGAGGCTGACACCGGTTCCTTGAGACAAGTCTGGGAACTGAGCGCGAAGCCTCCAGGCTCGATTGTTTTATCGCAAGTGGGGATGCCTTCAGCTTCATTGGATCAGTTCTGCAACTTAGGTCGGTGGGTGGGTGAGGGGGGGCAAGAAGAGCTGGGGTGAGGTGAGTAGGCTCAAGTGCGGTGAGGTGGGGTGAATGGGTTGGGAGGGAGGTGTGGGATTGGTGGAGTGGGCGGGTGCCTGCTTGCTTGTACAGTGTGGTGTGTGGAGGTGGATGCTTGCTCGGCTACAGTACTATTGTACAGGTCGCAACCAAGGTCGCTCGCGGGCCGTGCCACGTCACAGCCAGCCAAGGCATCTTACGTTTTTTTCAGGTCGCAACCGGGAAAGGTTGTTGTGAGCTTTGTCAGGATGGCAAGATGCAGTGACCAGGTAAGTCGCACTTTACCAGTGGTTGAAGCCGGTTCAATGATCGATCGCAGCCGCATCCCAGCACAACTCCTTTCCAAACGACCCACCATCGCCTCACCAGGAGGCCTCCATCGTCGCAACGGCCGTGCTTCCTCGTCAGACCTATCCGCTGTCCCCAGCCGCGGCATCATGCCAGAATTCAAAATGTACGAGTTTTTTGGATCAGAGTCGGCCCAAACACATGACGGAGTAGTGCCGCATGGCGACTCGACGATGCATCATGGCCGATCGCTCCAGTCACGTTCGTTTCAGTCGCATTCGCTTCTGCCGTACAACCTTGATTCTCTTCCTTTGCGTGTTCGCGTTCGCTTTACGCACAGCGTGGCTTTCACTTGACAATATCGAGTCCGGATCTGACGCTACTATCGAAGCCTTTAGCAAGAACGATGAATCCGATTTCTTAGCCGCTGATTGGTCGTTCGAGGAATGGATGGGATGCTTTTTCTGGGCCGACAATTCCGAGGAAATGGCGGACGCTCTGGCGTCATCCCAGCCGTTCATCGCCACCGCATCGAGCATCAAGCCCGCATCTGATCCTGGACTGGGTCGAACCAATCCTGAATCCGAACCAGAGTTCGAACCTCATGTCGCGCTAGTACAACGAACCTCGGAGGCTCGGACAGACGGACGCGAGAGGTTGCTACGGCTCGTTTCGAACGAGCTGGAATTCGTCGCGGACATCACGGACGCGCAACGAAGAAGGAGTAGAACGTTTCGAGGGAGAGTGAACCTAGAAGCTTCGTCGCAAGACACGTCGAGTTCTGTTCTTGGTAGCGGTAGCAAAAGAAGCTTCGAAACGCCTTCCGATATTAGCAATTCCGCTAGCAGCAGCTCGCAGTGCCCCCGTGCGTATTCGCGCTACAAGCAGACATATTACAGAGAATTGAACGTCTTCGGCCCTGCTGCTGCTGTGAAAGAAACGAAAGGAAGCAGAGGGGTTGCAGGGGAGAAGAAGGATGGCGTAGGGAGGGCCGTTGACGACTATGAGAGGGAGCTGCGAATGCTGCAGTCGCAGGTAAGCCGTGTGCCATACGCCCTAAGAAATGATTCAGTACTGTTTGACAAGAAGGATGGCATAGTGTTGGCAATCGATGGCTATGAGAGGGCAGCCGAAAAGCCTGCAGTCGCAGGTAAGACATGCCACCGGGGATTTCAGAAGTGCCTCACCGCCTCAATTACAGGTGCCTCAATACGGTTTAAGAAGAAGCACGGTGTAGGGCCGGCTGTGGATGAGGTGAGAGGGAGCCGGCCCACATTGCTTTTCTCATTGCTTTCCACGATGCTTTTCCACCATGGCAAGGCACCTTGCCACCTCGCGACGAAAAAAAGTAGCAGTCAATGCAGTCACGGATGCGTTGCCAGTTTGCCACACTCACCGTGAACCTTCCACCTTCTATCTGGAATCCTCAACCCCTCTGGAAACTTCTGCATTAAACCCTGAACCCTGAACCTTGTAGGTGCGTGCTATGACCGGTGCGGTCAAGGGCAAGGCGCTCCTCTCAGTAGAGGCACGACTGCGCCAGCTCATGCAGGCCCGCAAGCAGCGCGAGACGGCGTGGTTTGTCTCGACATGGCGCAGGTCGCATCTGCGTTTGAGAAACGTCACGTGGCCTCCGTCCAATCCGCGGGTTGCTGAGATGGCAGCAGCCAATAGGTTGCCTCCACGCGTGCCTTTCCGGAGTGCTACAAAATCCAAGAGAATGCAAGCGAGGAGTGTCCCTAGCAGCAAGCATCGGAGAGCAAGCAAGGCTTTGTTGGGAGATGATGATGTGTCAGCAGCAGGACGTGATGACGTGGCAGCAGAAGTAAATGGTGACGCAGCACGTGATGAGGTGGCAGCAGTGGGAGATAATGACATCATCATTGTGTTGCTCGTGCACAACCGGCCGGCGTATCTCAACCGCACTCTGGATGCTCTGAGCAAAGTGGACGGCATACAGCACGCCCTGCTTATAGTCAGGTGCGATAAAGAACATGTGTGGTAGTAACACCACCTCCATAAGGGCCTTCTTCTTCTCGTCTTCGTCTGCCCAACCCTTCCCAGCCCTGCTTATAGTCAGGTGCGATAAGCACATGATTTTGTGATGGGATGATGCACGGCATGAGAGAATAGACGGAATATCAGCCTTGTTTTCCTTGGGTAGATTGTGTGTGCTTCATGTTATTTCCAGATGTAGATAGCATGTGCTGCTCACTGCGACGTGAGAGATAGCATGCACAATCTACCCCTCAGTACTGTCGTCATTCTGTGCCGAGAGGAACGTAACTCCAGAGGCGTCTTCGTTTCTTCTCTTGTTCCTCCACCCACCACCTCCCATTGGCTTTTATCCCCACCCCCCATGTCCCCCCATCGTCTCCCATCGACACCGCCCCCCAGTCACGACGACTTCTACCCCCCCTTGCATCGCCTGGTCCACTCACTCAGTCTCCTTCTGCCCTTTCTCTTCCCCTCCTCTCGTTACCCTGCCCATTCCCTTTGCAACCTATCTCTTCTCCTCCCGCCCATTCCCATTCCTATCCTCCCCTTGCACTGCCTGGTCCGCTCATCTCCCAGTCACATCACAACGGCTTCTACCTCCCCTTGCACACTGCCTGGTCCGCTCAGTCTACTTACCCTTTTCCCTTTTCTCCTTCCCATTCCTCCCCCTCTTCCTCTTTCCCTACCCTTAGTCGTTCCGCCCCTTCCCCCCATTCCTAGTCACAATGGTTTCTAACCCCCCATGCATGCACCACACCACCTCATTCGCTCGATCACCTTCTGCCGGGTGAAACAGCTTCACTTCCCTTCCGCACCCCTATATCCCCCTATATCTCCCTATATCCCCCTATATCTCCCTATATCCCCCTATATCTCCCTATATCCCCCTATATCCCCTATACCCCCCTATATCCCCCTATATCCCCCTATATCCACCTTCCCCCTCCCCCCTTCCCAGTCACGACGGCTTCTACCCGCCCATGCACGCCCTCATCCGCTCAATCTCCTTCTGCCGGGTGAAAAAGCTCGGTTGCCCCTTCCCTCCCCTCTATCCCCCCTCCCTCCCCCCTTCCCAGTCACGACAGCTTCTACCCGCCCATGCACGCCCTCATCCGCTCCATCTCCTTCTGTCGGGTCAAGCAGCTCTACTTCCTCTTCTCCCCTTTCCTTTGTCCTTTCTCATTCTCCCCTTCCCCTCCACCCTCCCAGTCACGACGGCTTCTACCCGCCCATGCACGCCCTCGTCCGCTCCATCTCCTTCTGCCGGGTGAAACAGTCAACTCTACTTTCCCTCCCCTGCCCCTGTACTCCCTACCATCCTTCCCATTCTCTTTCCTTCCCTTCCCTTGTTCCCGCATCCCATCCCCTCTTCCCAGTCACGACGGCTTCTACCCGCCCATGCATGCACTCGTCCGCTCCATCTCCTTCTGTCGGGTCAAGCAGCTCTACTTCCCCTTCCCTCCCCTCTACCCCCCTGCCCACTTCCTATTCCCCTCCCCTCCCCCTTCCCAGTCACGACGGCTTCTACCCGCCCATGCATGCACTCGTCCGCTCCATCTCCTTCTGCCGGGTCAAGCAGCTCTACTTCCCCTTCTCGCCGCACCTCTTCAACGGAACCTTCCCGGCAGCTTCCGCGGACGACTGCCGCGGCAAGTCAAGGCGACCCTGGGAGACCAAAGCAGGGGGAGCTGAGCGGTGGGAGCAGTGGCTGAGTAAAAGTTCAAGACAGGGCGTGCGTAAAAAGGGCATGGCAGGAGGAGGGGTTGGTGGGCTCAGCAATGGGCTCAGCAATGGTGTGAGCGAGAAGGAGAGGGTGGGGGAGGGGGAGAGAGTGGGGGAGGGGGAGAGAGTGGGGGAGGGGGAGAGAGTGGGGGAGGGGGAGAGAGTGGGGAAGGGGGAGAGAGTGGGGGATGGGATGCCGTGTTGGGGCCAAGCAGATGAATTCGGCTCGTACCGCGACCCAAGATTTGTCTCCCTTAAGGTGCATGTGGGACTGTGTCAATCAGTCCAATCCCCCACCTGTCCGCTTCCCAGACCACCTACCTCTACACCTCTACACCTCTCACAACTCCACCTCTGCACACCCAGCTATCCCCCTACCCGCCTCCCCTCTACTTCCTTCCCCCCGTATCCCCGTTTTCTCATCTTCACGTTTCCCTTCTGCTTCCGCTCTCTCCGCCCATTCACCTCGTCCCAGCACCACTATGTTGCAGAGTATTTTTGAGAATTCTCAAACATACTCCGCTCTCTCCGCCCATTCACCTCGTCCCAGCACCACTATGTTGCAGAGTATTTTTGAGAATTCTCAAAAATACTCTGCTCTCTCCGCCCATTCACCTCATCCCAGCACCACTATGTTGCAGAGTATTTTTGAGAATTCTCAAAAATACTCCGCTCTCTCCGCCCATTCACCTCGTCCCAGCACCACTATGTTGCAAAGTATTTTTGAGAATTCTCAAAAATAGTCCGCTCTCTCCGCCCATTAACCTCGTCCCAGCACCACTGCTGGTGGGTGGAGAACACAGTGTGGGATGGGATGGCCTGCCAGAGACCAAGTTTCCCAACGCATCTCTAAAAGTGGGTGCGCCACTGTATTGGGCCCCCTGGGAATACAGTGTGAGGGAGACCAAGTTTCCCAGCGGGTGCGCCACTGTATTGCCCCCCCTCCCCCTCCCCATCTCCATCCCCCTCCCTTCCCCTCTTGCCTTCTGCACCTCCAGACATCCCCTCCCGCGCAGCACCACTGGTGGTGGGTGCAGAACACGGTGTGGGACAGGCTCCCAGAGACCAAGGCATTCAACGGCCACATGCTCTTTATACAGAGAGACTACTGACTTCCCCAACATCTCTATTCCCTCCCACCCACCAACCCCTTATGCCTCCCCCTCCTCCTCCCCTCATCGTCCAATTTTCCCTTCCTGCCTTTGCCTCCCACTGAAACCCCTCCCATGCAGCACCACTGGTGGTGGGTGCAGAACACGGTGTGGGACGGGCTCCCAGAGACCAAGGCGTTCAACGGCCACATGCTCTTTATAGAGGAGGACCACTGGCTCTTCCCCAACGCACTTACCCACCTCCGCGCTTTGCTAAGTGCCAAGCAGCGCGGGCGCTGCAACGAGTGCATCGCTGTGGGCCTCGCCCCTGCTGATGTGGGGGTGGTGGAGGATGAGGAGGAGGGTGCGGTGGAGAGGAGGGGAGTGAAGGTTGTTAAGGCGCCCTCAAACGCCTTTGCTTCCTCAAACGCAGAGCGAGCAGAGCGGGAGGTGGAGGATTGGCAAAGGGGCGCGGCTGGAGCGAGGGGATTGAGGCTGTCGATCAGAAGATTCGAGGGGAATGCGGTAGAGAAGGGTGGAGTTTTGAGGCGGATTGGGCACTTCACGGCGGAGAGGCTGGGCAACGTGGGTTACAGCTTCAACCGCAGTGTGTGGGCGATGATGCATTCCCTGGCAGAGGTAGGGTGGTGGGTGTATGGAGTATGAGATATGTTGTTCCACAGGTGGGGTACGACCGTGTGTGTGGGATGGACAACGTGGGTTACAGCTTCAACCGGAGTGTGTGGGCGATGTTGCATTCCCTGGCAGAGGTAGGGTGGTGGGTGTATGGAGTATGAGATATGTTGTTCCACAGGTTGGGTGCAACGCAGGGCTATGGGATCGGCAATGTGAGGTACGCTGTCCACGTCCCTCCTGCATCCCTCTTTCATCCAACTTACTGTCTATCCTCTGGTTAACTGAATTTGTAAAGGTCTCAAATATTTTACTCAGCTTACTGTGCATCCTCCCTTTGGTCAGTTGAGTTTTGAAACGCAAAATTCTGAGACATCTCAACTCTTGCATCCAACTTACTGACTTCCTCTGCTTTTGCGTCAGCCAATAATACCGTTGTGCACCTTTCTCTACGTAATCACCGTCTGTGACTCTGCTTCTATACCTCCCCTGGTCTTTCATGGCTGTCAGGAGTTTTGCTACATGGACGATTACAACTGGGACAGGTCCATGTGGGAGCTCATCTCCCACCACATACCATCCGCTCGCATGCTGAGGTGGCACCGTGCCAGTGCATGGCACTTTGGCGAGTACGGACTACATGGGGATGGCTATGGGGTTGGGGAATTGATTGAAATGGGGAGTGGGGATGGGGATACAAGCAGGAATGGGAGTGGATTTCCACGATCTCCTTGTGCAGGTGGATCCGTTGAAGTGTTTAGTCTAACAGAGCAAGACAAGAAGAATTCAATTGATAAAGATGCGCATCTGGTTATTTTGCCAGTGTACTCAGCGCCGGTTGTAATGGGGGATGGTGGTTGGGGTGATGGCAGGGATATTGCACTCTGCTTAGAGATAGCAAGCATGTATTTCTAGTACATGCTACTAACAAATCTGTAAAGAATCTCACTCATTCACGTTTCATTGGGTGGGACCCCGTTTGAAGCATTTCTTCACCTTTCGAGGTGCCTGCCCATGTGTGTGCTTTGGGCAGACCGTCACAGCAGGGCTCCAGCGAGCGACAGATGTACAATCAAATTTGCATCTGCAACTGTTGGCCAGCACACCTCAGGTAGGAACCTCTCGGAACCAATAAGCGAACAGCTAAGAATTCTGTCACGTGATTCAGGAGCAATTTGACTGGACATCACGTGACGCATATGCCCTCACACCAACCGCCCCGGGTCAGGATCTTTTGTCCATCGCTGGTGGGCTGTAGATATTTTTTGTGAGCTGGATGCTGTGCACTTTTCGGGGTCCTAAAAGCGAAAAAGGCAAACCTCACATGCTTCCGCCAACCAGCCTCATCCGTGCGGCAATCCCTAAGTTCGCTGCCATGCCTACTTATGTTTCGTGCTCTCCCTCCCTGACCACGGGACCGAGCCTGGTTCACGGACCCGCATCCCTCTCAAATCCCTTTCCTACCACCACCCGCGCCACTCACACGTACACGTGGCTATGGCATGCTATGCCATGCCATATACCATACCGAACCAGCCACAGCAGCCAAACCTGCTCCTCCTGCTCCAAGCTTGTACTGAGACTTCGTGAGACTGCTGCTCCAAGGAATATGCTAGAAGCAAGCAAACCCCAGGTCTACTGGAGGAATCATCTTGGTTGGAACTTGGAACCCTAGGCTGCCAGCCGATTAAGTAGCAATTGCGCAAGGCTTCCCGTCTTCATTCGTAGTTTCTTGTCGCGATAAAGTTGTTTGTCTAAATTAGGGTTATCGGTTGAAGATTAGTTATTGCGTTCACGTGCGGAGTGAACGAAGTTGGTGCTCCTGATGTGGAGAGTGGTTGCCAGGGGGATAATTTTTGCTGAGAAATCATTTCAATCTGTGGTGTGCGTTGCCAGAGCCGTTTCGACTCACTATGCTGGCCGCGAGCTCGCTTAAGGACTTCTTGTCAGCAGACCTTAGATCATCTCCTAGATTCAGTCAGTGTTTCCGCCATGGATCCTTCCACTCCAGTGCAAGATGGGGTTCTCACGACAGGCGGTGGGGGATCGGGAGGGGCTGCAGCAGCCGGGGGAATGCCGCTAATATCGCCGTCGGACGTTCACGTGTTAGTGGTGGACGACGAAAGGCTCTCGCGACTAGTCGTCGGAAATCAGTTCCGAAGATGTGGTTATCAAGGTGACAAATTGCTTGCTGCTAAAGTATCCAGCTCTGGATTCGGACTGGAGAGCTTAGTTAGTCTTGTCATTGCGTGATGAGAGCTACATCTCGCAATCAGGGCCAACGGTGGCTAGAAAGTTCAACTGCACGATAGGAGAGTTAAGAACGCGACAGGAGATCGAAGAAGCAGTAGGGAGAGTTAAGAGCGAGCGTCTAGAGTAAAGCGGAAGCTAGTAGGCTGGCCAAGCGGAGTAGAAGCTGGCGCTGAATGACCGTCTTGAGCTGCCAGGAAGCGACAGCAGAGTAATTAAATTTTGAATTCTACGAATTTGACGGCGCCGATGCTCGTGCGACGCAATTCTGGCATCGGAGATCCCCGCAAGTCCTTTGTTTCGTACGAACGGAATGGGTGGCGTCACGGACTCTTACACTGTCACTGCGTCTTCAAGTCGTTTCTCAACACTCGAGAACCGTAGACTAGTGTTACGATGATGTATAGTTGGTACAGTGAATCTAGTGGGTGCGATAGTCTGTCAGAAGACAGGATTCTTGCGACTGGAGAGGCGTTTCCGGGGCTTCACTCATCGTTCCAACCATCCGTTCGTTGCTGCCGATTGTCGATTGTCGCATGAGTTGACCGACTCGGTTACCGTACGAGGGATATCATGCTGTAGCAATCGTGTTCCCATCAATCTGACGGTATTCCCGGTGTGTCTTGTGATGCACAGTGACGGTGGCGGATGGAGGGATGGAGGCCCTCCGGGTGCTGCAGGAGAGGCCAGACGGATTCAATCTCATCCTCGTTGTAAGCTTTGCAAATTCCACAGATTTTCTGTCCGATTCAGTTCCACTTGTCTGGTTTGTACGTCTCAGTCGTGGAATTTCTCAGCGCTCGCGGATGGTTACCTGCTCTAGCGGCGCTCTCGGTTTCTTCTTCTGTTATTTTCTGTTGCTGACTGCCGTCAGCCCTGTGCTGTTCGACGCCATGCGATGCTATACGGCGCTGTGCGATGCTGTGAACGGTGCAGGACCTCATGATGCCGGGGCTGGACGGGCTGCAGCTGCTGCGAATCCTCCGCGCCGACTCCAATTACAACGCCATCCCCATCATCAGTACGTGCGCGCACGCCTCGTTCGATGCAGCGTTGAGTGTGCCACACGCTGTCTCACGCCGTCGCACACTGCTGACAGCTTAACGTATCGTGGGTGCGGGTCGATGTTTGTGAGACGTGACTCGGATTTCCCGCTTGTATGTTCTGTACTGTACGTGTTGGCGTGTGTCGGCGTGCATTGCATGTGACTGTGTATCTGACACGTGTTTCTCTGTATCTGACGTGTAATTCTGACTTTGCTGACGTGGCAGTGATGTCAGGCAACTCCAACCAGGCGACGGTGCTACAGTGCATAGCGGCGGGCGCGGAGGAGTATCTGGTGAAGCCGGTGACCAAGCGTGACGTCACGCACATGTGGCAGCACGTGTGGCGCCGCATCCAGCTCGTCTCCAACGCGCCCGAGAGCCTTCAGGTGCCCCCTGCATTCTGCGCACTGCACACTACCCCCTGCACATTGCGCCCTTCACACTGCACACTGCGCGCTGCTCGCTGCACACTGCATATTGCCCGCTGCACACTGCACGCTGCGCGCTGCACCTGCGGACTGCGCACATGTCCCGCGACACAGTATACATCCAAAGGAGCAGTGGGTTCGACGCAGTGATAAGCGGCAGCAATGCTGGGCAGAATTGGCATGTGTTTGAGACGCCTAACCAACAGAGCCTCACCCCTCTTCATCCCTCGCTTTTCGCCCGCTTCCCCGCTTGGCCCTTGCAGAATAGCGGCAACCTGGCGGAGCACTCAGGCGCAGGCGCATCCTCCTGTCCCGACGGGTCGTTCAACCCCAGCGCGGGCGCCAATCCGCTGCTCTCCCTGCGCTCCTCCTCTGGCATGCACAACCCCCACTCCTCCTTCGACGAGGCCGCCGGCAACACACTCCCTGCCAGCGCTGCTGCTGCCGCCGCCGCCGCCGCTGCTGCCGCGCAGGGAGGCGCTGCTGGCATGGGAACAGCCAGTCGCGGGTACAGGCAGGGTCAGAGTCACGGTTATGGGTATGGGTATGGGATGGGAGGCACGAGTACGCTCCCCACGCACTCATCTGCTGACACCCGCGGCACCTGCTCGTTCTCCAGCGGCAGTGGCCCCCTAGCTGCTCTACCGCTCCACCCCCACCATCCCCACCAGCCCCAGCCGCCACACCAACCACACCAGCCACACCAGCCATTGGGCGTGGCCCGTGGGTTTGCCAGCGCTAGGGGAGATGAGACGATGGGTGTGTTGGGAAGCATGGGGCAGCGGGAGGGGTCGGTGGCGGAAGTGGCGCCGCTGACGGGGGGTTCCGGGGAGCTGTGGGGCGGCGGAGGGGGCACGGAGATCTGGACTGGGTCGGTGGATGGCTGGCAGGCCGTGGGAGACGAGCGAGAGGAGCAGCAAGAGCATCAGCAGCAGGAGGAGGAGGAACAGCAGGTTCAGATGCAGCAGTACCAGCAGCAGCAGCAGTACCAGCAGCAACAGCGCCAGCAGCTGCAGCACCAGATGCAACAGCAGCAGCAGCAGCAGCAGCAGCCGCAGCAGCCCATGCTGCAGGAGTCGCAGCCACCAACGCCACCGCTGCCGCAGCAGCATGAGCCAGTGGGGTGTCGGAGGCAGGCTTGGCATCAGCGGCAGCAGCAGTGGCAGCGGCAGGGTGGCAAAAAGGCAGCAGACACGGGCCAGGGGCAGGAAGGGCAGCGTTGGGTTGGGAGAGACGCGAAGCAGACTCAAAAAGGGGCTGATGAAGGGTGTGAACGAGAGCAGCAGCAGCACCAGCAGCAGTTGCTGCCGCCGCCGCCTCCGCCGCTGCAGCAGCAGCATGCGAAGGAGCATGCAGTGAGGGAGAAGCGAGGAGGAGGCGAGCTGATGCTGCCAGGGGAGCAGGGGAAGTGGGAGGTGGAGCAGGAGCAGCAGCGGCAGCAGCTGCTAGCACAATACATGCGGTCGGGGGGGCAGAACGTGCAGGCATTCATCGCCCACATGGACCACACAGGCGCGTGCGGAGCCGGAGGCGGAGCAGTGGGGGAAGGCGGAGGTGCAGGCGCAGGCGCAGGCGGGGGAGAGGGAGGCGGAGGCGGAGGCGGAGTTGGGGGCGGAGGTGGTGCTGTTGGCGCTGGTACCGCGTCGTCAGGCAGTGGGGGGGACATTCACGAGTGGGTGGCCCGCCTGGAGCAGATGCCTGAGCTGCAGGAGCAGGGCGACAGTGGCGACGGCGGGGACAAGTCGCCTGAGAGCGGAGCAGCAGCACGTGGGGGTGCGGTGGAGCGCAGAGAGGAGGCTGGTAGGGGCGGGAATGGGTCGGAGGGAAGGAATTCTCGGGGTAGGCAGCTGGGGAGAAGCGCAGGGCCGGATGGGAGCCCGGGGCAGTCGAAGCTCTCAGGGAAGCGAAGCGGCAGCAGTGGTGGTGGTGGCAGCGGTGGGAGTGGCGGCGGCAGTAGGGGTGGCTGTGGGGCCGGCAGTGGGGCCGGCAGTGGGGGCAATGGTCTCAAAAGAGGCGGCGCAGGGAAGGGGAAGAGCGGGTGGGGCTTTCTGTCGGGTCCCAAGGCAGCAGCCTTGAAGAGGCAGCGGCTGGGAAGCCCAGAGGGCGATGGGAGGCGGGCGGGGAGCACAAGTGGCAGCACAGGCCAGGCAGGTGGCTCTGGGAAGGGAGGCGGTACAGGCTTGGGAAGTGGCTTGGGACGTGCGAGCAGGTTCGGGAATGGCGGTGGCGGTGGCTCGGGCTTGGAGGGCGGTGGGTCTGGAATGGCGGGCAGCTCGGGAATGGGAGGTGGTTCGGGGCTGGTTGGTGGTAGTGCTTTAGGGTTAGTTGGTGGTAGCAGTAGGGGGAGTGAGAGGGGTGATAGGGGCGAGCAGAGGGTTGATGCGGAGCGTGTAGGAGAGGCTGAGACGGCGTTCTGGTCTGAGCGGCGGAATGAGATGGAAGAGATGCGACGGCGGGAGATGCAAAGGGAGGGCATGCAGAGGGAGGAGATGCAAAGGCCGGCAAAGGGAGTGCAGGAAGGGCGCATAGCGGGACAGGAGGACGAGAAGCAGGAGGAGTGGATGGAGGGAGACGGGAGCTCTCACGGGGCGAATACGGCTGGAAGAGACTTTGTTTGGAGGACGTCCCACTCCGTTTCCCGAAGCAACAACAGCAACTTCTTGCCTCCCGCCGACGCCGCTCACCCGTCCATCTCACCTGCTGCTCCTCTCGCTCCTCCTCCTGACTGTGCTCCGTTCGTTTCCTTAGAAGCACAGCAATGGTGCGGAGCTGAAGCTGAAGTTGCTGTTGCTGCTGCTACCACCACCCCTCCCACCATGCCCCGTGCTCTGTCGGATCCCGAGCAGGCCCGCCCTGCCAGTGGCGGCAGTGAGAGCGACCTTCAAGGATGGGGCTCAGGAGATTTTTCAGGTGCTGCAGGTGCGGGTGGGAGAGGGCGCGGGGGGGCAGTAGGACGCGGTAGAGGGGGGGGGGAGGGGGGTGGGGTTTGTGGCGGGGCGAGGGGTGTGGGTGGGAGGGAGGGTTCAGGTGCTGAGGACGATGAGAGGGCGGCGGAAGGAGGTGTCTCTCTCTGAGCAGCTGATGCGGCAGCAGAGGGAGGCGGAGCAGAGGCGGAGCGGGGTGGGTGAGGGTCCGCAGGCAGGGGACCAGCAGCAACAGCAGCAGGAACAGGAGCAGGGGGAGGAGGGAGAAGTTTATCAGCGGGAGTTGCAGTTTCCCGGCTCTTCAACGCGTTCTCAGTCTCAGAGCCACAGTCGTTTAGGCTGGGAGGTGCAGCAGCAGCAGCAGCTGCACCAGCAGCAACAACAGCGATGCTACACGCAGCAGGGGCAGGAGAGTGGGGAGAGCCAAGGGCTAGGTCAGCAGCAGCAGGGGGGTCAGCGCATGCGGGTGCCAAGTGATGGGGATGAGGCTCCTGTGGTCAGTGCTGGTCCGCCCTCCTGGGTTGTGATCCAACGGAAAGGAGGAGGGGAGCTGAAACCTTTGTCGGTTATGACTGCTGCTGGAAGTGCTGGTGGTGCTGCTGCTGCCAGGGCAGATGGAAGGCGGGTGGATGGGCTGGGTGAGGAGCAATGGGGTGACGGCACGGGTGCTATGGGTGGTGGGAACGGGGAAGAGGGAAACGATGGTCCGATTGGGAGTGGTGCAGTAGGGAACGGCGCGGTTGGGAGCGGTGGCTGCATGGAGGTGGATGGGAAGGAGGAAGGGGAAGCAGGAGCTGGTTCGGGTTCGGGCGGTTGGACAAACGCTTCGTCAGGCTTGTGGGTGGAGAGCGGTAGTGCTAGTGCTGCTCTGACTGCCAGTGCTGCTCTTAGTGCTGGGACTGCGCTTACTGCTGGTGCTGGCGGTTCTGGTGGCGGTGGTGGGCGCATTGCACTGATGAGCTGCAGACGGCAGCGTTCACTAGGGGGAGGTGAGGGGCGCGAGGAGGTGCATTGTGGCGTTGGTGGCGAGGTGGGCGAGAAGGAGGTGGGGAAGGATGGAGAGGAGGAGCAGGAGATCGAGGAAAACGAGGAGGAGACGAGGGAGGAGGAGAGGGGAATGAGGGGAATGGGGGGGGAGGGGGTTGCGGGGGTGCATGAGGAGGAGATGGAGAATGGAGGAGAGGGAGGAGGTGAAGAGGAGCGTGAGCTGAGAGAGGAGGGTGGTGTGCGTGAGGATGAGGCGCCAGGGGAAACAGAGGGGGATGAGGGGGAGCAGGCGGGGATGCTGGGCCTGAATCCGGGAGTGTCACGGGAAGCTGTTGCTGCTTGGATGAGGAGTCTGGGGATGAGTGGGTTAGAGGTGAACGGGTCTAGTGGTGTGGTTGACCCTCGTATGGTGGCGCTGCAAATGTTCATGCAGCAGCAGCAGATGCAGCAGCGGTTGATGATGCAGCGGCAGCAGCAGGAGTTGCAGCAGCGGGAGTTGCAGCAGCGGGAGTTGCAGCAGCAGGAGGAGCAGGAGACTGAAGTACAGGAGCTAGAGATGCGGGGGCAGCATCGAGGTAGTGAAGGGCAGCATGAACGCATGCCGGGGCAGCAGCAGATGATACTGGGTGCTGCAGCAGAGGAAGCAGAGATGCCGCAGCAGTGGTCAGATCGACAAGGGTTGGAATGGGAAGGAGGAAGAGGCGAGGAGCAGCAACTGCAAGCCCCGGCAGCGACTGTTGATGCGGAAGAGGGCGAAGGGGGAGAGGGAGTGGGCGGACCAGCGAGGGAGGGAGGAGACGAAGATGAGGCGCAGAGGGAGTGGGAGCAGTGGCGGCTGTGGGAAGAGCAGCAAGGGCTACTGGAGGGAGGGGCACGGGAGGGAGGGCACGGGGAGGCGGTTGGAATGCAACAGCTGCTGCCGCAGGAGCAGGAGGAGGAGCAGGAGCAGGAGCAGGAGCAGGAGGAGGAGGAGCAGGCGGCGCAGCAAGAATTGCAGCAGGGTTGGGGCTCGGGGCAAGAGGAGGGGCATGAGGAGGGGCAAGGGGAGGGGCAAGAGGAATTTCCGAGTGCGGAGCAGCAGGAGCTAGAGTGGATGAGAAGACAGCAGCAGGTAGAGCGTGTGACTTCCATGGGATGGGGAGAAGGTCAGGCGGAGCAGCAATGGGGTGTGGGGGAGGAACGGCAAGGTTTGGAGCTAGCAGCAGTGGGTATGGGAAGAGGAGGAGAAGGGGAGCAGGAGGGTGACGAAGCAGGGGCAGCGGATGTAGCAGCGGAAGTAGCAGCAGAGGTAGAAGGGGACGTGGCGGACGATTCACCTGAGGAGATGCAGATTCAGTATCTGAGGCAGCGGCTGCTGCAGCTGCAGCAAGAGAGGCTGCTGCGCATGCAGCGTCTACAGCTGCAGCTGCAGCAGCAGCAGCGCTGGCAGCTCGGGGAAGGAGAGGGCAGCGAGGGGGGGGCAGAGCAGGAAGGGGAAGGGGAGGAAATGGGAGTGGCGGCACTGCAGCAGGTTGGAGACTTGCAGCAAGGGAGATCGTTGCAGGAAATGAGGGCTTTGCAGCAAATGATGTTGATGCATGGTGAGGGCGAGGAGCATGGGATGGGGGATGAAGGGGCGGCTGTTGTCGAAGGTGGAGAAGAGATAGAGCAGGGAGAGGAGAGAGAAGAGGCAGGGAATAGAGGAGAGCAGGGAGAGGAGCAGGTAGAGGAGCAGGTAGAGGAGCGGATAGACGGCTCGCAGCAGCAGAGGGAACAGGAGACACAGGAAGAAACTGAAGGAGAGCAGATTGCAGCAGGTGAGAACGAGAGGAGGGATGGGGAAGAGGTAGCGGAAGTGGCGGAGGAAGGGGAGGAAAGGGGGGAGGGGGAGGGGGAGGAGGGGGAGGAGGGGGAGGATGAGGAGGCGAGGGAGGAGCGGAGGCGCAAGTGGGAGTTTTTCTTTCTGCGGCAGCGGCAGCAGCAGTTGTTTGAGTTCGAACAGTACCAGCTGCAGCAGCTTCTGGCCATGGAGCTCGCTGAGAAGGAGAAAGAGAAGCGGGAGAGGGAGGAGGGGCAGGAGAGGGAGGCGGAGGGAGTCGGGGAGGAAGAGAGGGAGGGAGGTGGGAGAGGAGACAGGGAGGGAGACGGGGAGAGAGGTCAGGAGGGAGAGGGTGAGGGTGAGAGGAATGGGGAGCAGGAGGGAGGGGAGGGAAGAGAACGGGAGGAGGAGCAGGAGAGGAGAGAAGCTGAGACGAGAGGTGAAATGGGAGCACAATCAGAGAGAAAGGAGGGAGAAGTGGAGGAAATGCGCGAGGAGGGGCAGGAGAGAGGAGGAGGGGAGGATGTGGAGTGCCCGAGACATGGGGGAGAGGAGGAAGAGAGCGGAGAGAGGGGAGAGAGGGGAGAGGGCAGTGTCGGAGTGGGAGATGAGGAGGACTTAGCGCATGTGGGCAGTGCCTCACAGGCTCACGGAGGCACCCCTGCTGCATCTGCGATGGACAGGGAGCAAGGAGAGGGGGAAGGGGAGCAGGGAGAAGGAGGGAGGGAGCAGGAGGAGGAGGAGGAGGAGGAGTTGGTGGGAGGGGAACTAGGGCATGTGCTTAGGGGGGATGCTGCAGGCGCGGTTGCTGCAGCAGATGCCACGGCTGCTGCTTCTTCTCCTGCTGCTGCTGCTGCTGCTGCTGGTACGGTTGCCGAAGGGGTGGCTATGGAGGGAACTGAAGCTGCTTGGATGGCGGAGGAGAATTCAGAAGAAGGATCGATGGAGAGGTGGGGGTTTGAGTCTGATTTTGGCATGGAGTATGATTCTCACGAGGACGCCCCTAGAGGAGGTGGGAGTGGAAAGGGTGGCGATGGTGGGGCTGAAGGTGTTGGTGATGGTGGGGATGACGAAGATGTTGATGGTGGTGGTGGCGGTGGTGTTGGTGTTGTTGGTGGTGGTGCAGCCGGTGGGGACGCGGTAGCAGAGCAAGGGACGAGTGGAGAGGGTGGGGGCGAGGAGTGGCGGCTCGCGTTTGACTTGAATGAGGAGCAGCCGGGGGAAGGATGGGCGGATGGAGAGGGCGATGGCGCTGCTGGTGCTGATCACTGTGCTGCTGCTGACGAGCGTCAGGGTGAAGTCGGCTGTGTTTCTGCTGTTCTTGGTGTTGGCGCTGGTGCGGGTGATTACTGTGGTCCTGCTGCTGCCAAGCGTGAGGGTGAAATCGGCTGTTCTTCTGCCGTTGTTGCTGTTGGCGCTGGTGCTGGTCATTGGGTTGCTTCCGAACCTCAGGATGAGAACGGTTATGGTTCCGCTGCTGACTATAACGCTTATGGTGTTGCTGCCCCTGCTGTTGCTGTTGCTGTTGCTGCAACTGCGGACGGGGTGCGTGACAAGCACGGTGGGGCAAGTGCGTGTGTTGCCGTAGCCAGTGGCAGCAAGGGGAGGCCAGGCGCGCACCTGCTGCTGCTAGACATGAATGCAGAGGCAGAGGAGGCAGACATGTGGCTTGGCGCAGAGGAGGCAGAGGAGGCAGCAGACATGGGCTTGGATCTGGGGCTGGGAGGAACGTGCGGGGCACAGCAGAGTCAACAGAGTCAACAGAGTCAACGGAGTGAAGGCGGTCTGGGTGGAGGAGAAGGCGGTGGGAGGGAGCAGGTGGGAGGAGGCATGGTTGGGTTGTCGCTGGGTCTTGAGTTGACCGCTCCAGAGACAGAAAAGTGGTTTGAGAAGGGGAGGATAGAGGTGGAGAAGCAGGAGAGGGTTTCAGGACCCCAGTCGCCAGCTCCCCACTCGTCAGAGCACCAGTCTTCAGGGCCTGATGCGTTGCTGATGGATCCTCCAGTGCCAGGAGCACGCTCTCGTGTGGTGAACTGGTTGACACAGCACCAACATCGGTGGCGAAGGCAGCAGGAGGAACAGCAAGTGAAGGAGGAGCAGGAGCAAGAAGGAAAGGAGCAGGAGCAGGAGCAAGAAGGAAAGGAGCAGGAGCAGGAGCAAGAAGGAAAGGAGCAGGAGCAGGAGGAACGGGAGCAGGAGCACCAGGGCAGGCACGTACGTGAGTTTGTTCCTGGATCGGCTCTTTCTTGCCGGCCACGGCCAGCAGAGGAACCAGCAATCGAAGCAGTAGTTGTCGAAGCAACGGCGACAGCAGCAGACACGGCAGTAGTCCTAGCAGCAAGAGCAGGAGGAGGAGGGGCGTCAGAAGCGACTAGCACTGCTCGCTGTCACTCTTGCTCTCATGTGCTCTCTCTCCGGCGCTTCCTCTCACTGTGTCACACGCAGCAGCAGCAGCACCAGCAGCGCGAGTGCGAACCTGTCACAACCACTGCCAGCGAGTGCCCTGCAATACCACCAGCTGTGCCAATCCAGCAGCAAGCAGTGTCTGTTTTCTGTGAGATAGCTCGGTTGGTGGCGACAGCCCATGCGAGCGGCGAGGCGCTAGGAGGAGATCAGCTGGTGCCGTCTAGGGTTCGAGTCACGCTGGGCCCCCAGCACTGGCTGCTGCCCGCCTGCTGTGCTCCCACCGCTGCTGCTGGCTGCAGCAAGGAGGTGAAGCGTGGGAGGGAGGGAGAGGGTGTGATGGTGGAGGTGGAGGAGGAGGAGGAGAGGGGGTATTACGCAGCGCCAGAAGGTGGCTCAGGGAGTGGGAAGGCAGAAGGTGCTGGGGATGCAGAGAGGGAGAGGGAGAGGGAGAGGGAGATGACAGCGGATGTGTACCGGCTGGGGTTGTTGTTCTTTGAGGTGAGCCAGACCACCCTGAACTCCTTTCTACCGCTGTTTGCCCCTCTGTCTGTCGCTTTTCTTATGATCCGTCCATTCCTTCCTTATCCATGCCATTGTGGAATTCCGTGTCTCTCTGAATCTGTTCTGATTATGCAATCCCAACGTTTCCTACCTCCGCCGCCGCAGCTGACGTGTCACATGAGCGACCAATCGGAGCGCAGCAGTGCGATGGAGGACGTGAGGAGCCGGGTGCTGCCCACGGGATACCTCATGGCCTTCCCCACCGGTGCTGCCTTCTGCCTCTGCCTGCTGCACCCCGTGCCCTCCAGACGCCCGCCCATGAGGTATGTATGTGATTCTCTTGTCATTTGCTCTAAATTTCTCAAAAGCAGTGCCAATATAGCCTCGCTGCCTCTCTCCCTACTACACTACACCCCGTGCTCTCCAATCCGGACCCCTCTCCATGCGGCACCCAATTGACTTTGGTGGTGCCTCAAGAGTCATTTATGCAAATGCACGCACACATGCGTGCACATACTTGTGTTTGGATTGGATGTCTTTTGAGACGGTTCTGAAGTCACCCTGGTAGACTTTCACTGTTTCTAAACACGTAGAGCCCCTCTTCCCATCTCCCGTCCGCCATCCCTCTGCTCCTGCTCCTCAGGGACGTCCTCTCAAACAGCCTCTTTCTCCGCCTCGCTGCAGAAGCTTCTCCCGCAGCTTCCTCCCTACAGTGCGAGCTGTCCGTGTCGTTTTCACCCCTGCGAGCATTGGAAGCACAAGGGGACGCGGAGGGGCAGGAGGGGCAGGACGAGCAGGACGAGCATGAGGGGCAGGACGAGCAGGAGGAGCATGAGGGGCAGGAGGGGAAGGAGAGGCAGGAGGAGGAGCAGGAGGAGGAGCAGGAAAGGCAGGAGGAGCAGGAGAGGGAGCAGGAAAGGCAGGAGGAGCAGGAGAGGGAGCAGGAAAGGCAGGAGGAGCAGGAGAGGGAGCAGGAAAGGCAGGAGGGAGAGGAGACAGAGGAGGAAGAGGAGGGGCCGCGGCAGCGCAGGCCAGGCAAGGAGCCGATGGTTGAAGTGAGTGATGGGGACGACGATGGTCTTCATTGGATGAAGGATGACGGTGAAGTGGGTGATGAGGACGAGGAGTTGGATGGTGGGGGGCGTGGTGGAATGGGAGAGGAGGAGGAGGAAGATAAGAGAGAAGAGGTGGAGGCGGAGGAAGATAAGAGAGAAGAGGAGGAGGCGGAGGAAGATAAGAGAGAAGAGGTGGAGGCGGAGGAAGATAAGAGAGAAGAGGTGGAGGCGGAGGAAGATAAGAGAGAAGAGGAGGAGGCGGAGGAAGACAAGAGAGAAGAGGAGGAGGCGGAGGAAGATAAGAGAGAAGAGGAGGAGGAGCGAGAGAATGGGCGGGCTGGGAGGGAGGGAGGAGAGGAGGGCGCTGCTGCTCGTTGCGGTTTGGTTGGGGAATGGAGTCGAGGCTATGCGTTTACTGGTAATCTTGAGTTTAGTAGAAAGCGAGAAAGGGTGCAGGAGATGGAAGAGAGGGAGGAAGAGGCTGGTGGTGGTGGGGAAGACGATGGGGAAGGTAGGCGTGGCGGAGAGGGAGAGGAGGAAGAGGAGGAAGAGGAGGACAAGGAGGAAGAGGAGGGAGGAGAGGAGGCAGTGGGGATGCGAGGGAGCAAGAGAGTTCGGTGTGAGGAGCAGACAGATGTGAGGCTGTCACAGGAGGAGCCTCTACGTGGTCATCCTGCTTCAATGCTGCAGGAGGAGCCTCTGGTGGAGTCACCTCAAGCGCTGACACAGGAGGAGGAGCTGAGTCCTGAAGCGCCTGAAACGCTCACAGAGGCGGAGTTCACGCCTGAAACGCTCACAGAGGCAGAGGTCACTCCTGAAACGCTCACAGAGGCAGAGGTCACTCCTGAAACGCTCACAGAGGCGGAGTTGGCAGAGAGGGAGGAGGAGAACGAGGTGCTCCTGGATTTTCTCCTGAGGGTGCAGCAGGGGAAGGCTGAGACCTCCCAGCAAGTGGCTGCCAACCTGGATGGGCTCTCTGCTGACGTGGCAGAGGTTGCTGAGAGGAGGCAGCTGCTGTTGGCGCTCTCTCAGCCTATGAATGCGCGCCATGTCACCAACGCTGCTGCGGCCAGAGGAGCAGAAGCGGATGGTGCAGCAAAAGAGGCCGATGGGTCAGGTGCAAGGGTAGGGGCGAGGGGGGAAAGCGGGAGCGGTGGTGCGAGTGGTTGGAGGCACGGCCAAAGGCAGCGGATTGAGGAGGGTGCAGGGGGGATGCGTGAGGGTGTAAGACCGGGAGGAGCGACACAGGCAGGGGGGGAATCAGAGTCACAGGGCATGAGGGAAAGAGGAGAGGAGTGCACCCGGCTTTGTCTTGGAGCAGGTCAAGGCAGGGGAGGAGGGGCAAGAGCTGAGGGAGAAAAGGGAGGCGAGGAAGGGTGTGGAGGCGAGGGGGGAAGGTGCAGAAGCCGTCAGGCTAAAACGTCCTGCTATAGCGCCAGGTCAGCCAGGTCGGAAAAGTCAACGAAGTCAACGAAAACAAGAGCTCCAGTTCCAGATACCTTACCAAAGAGCCCTCAGGTGCAGGGGAATGTAAGCAGGAAAATCCAGAGAAGTCAAAGGAGTCAAACCCAGTCAGGAGCTACAGTGCCCATGCGGTCTAGCTCGAGGGAGAGGGAGGGGGGGAGTGAGGGGGCGAGGGAGAGGGAAGAGGAGCGGAGGAGGCGGGTGGTGGATGAGAGGAGGCTGGGGGGGCGTTTGAACCGCATGCTGCAGCGCTTTGATCGGCTGGAAGAAGCTTACCTTGCCGTCCGTGCCCGCACAGGTGCTGCTGCTACAGATAACGCTACAGATACTGCTACAATTGCGGCTACGGACGCTGCTACAGCTGCTATTGCTGCTGCTACAGGTGCTGGTGCCGTTTTGGCTGGTGCTGGTGTGCCTGGCAACCCCTCGTTGCCTTCGCCTGCCGCGGCTGTAGCTAGTGCTGGGGCAGCCGCATTCAGTGAGGATACAGCAGCAGCTGTTGCTGCTGGTGCTACACCCGTAGCCTCGATTGCTGCTGCTGCTGCTGCTGCTGCTTCTGGCGCAGCACAGGCTGTAGCTCGTGCTGCTCCAGCAGAAGCAGGCGCTACAGCCGCAGAGGAAGCTTGGCAGAACCTTCCAGAGGCTGCCAAGGTGTGGCTGAGGCGGCAGTGGGCCATGGGGCCAGCGGGGGCGTTTATCCCTCCGCCTGGCGTTGGTGATTCACATGATCACTCACATGCACATGCACATGCCCACACACATGCACATGCCCATGCACATGCACATGCACATGCCCATGCACGTGTGCATGCGGACAGCAGCGAGCAGCAGCAGCAACAGCGGCTGCATCTGCTTCAAGCCCAGGCTTCTGCGGAAGAAACCCATTCGGGAGGGTCGGAAGGTGCCGTTTCTTATTGGGCTGCGCGGGGAAGGGCAGCGTTGGGGGCAGGCGGAGGGGCAGGTGTGGGTGCAGGTGGAGTGGCAGGTGTGGGTGCAGGTGGAGTGGCAGGTGGTGGGGCTGAAGAGGGGGGAGCTGCAGGGAGGGATGGGGATGAGACGGAGGAGGGGCACATGCAAGAGGTGTGGGGGCGGCTGGGCTGTGTGCTTCAAACGGTGAGGACGCTGGGACAAGACGTGACTGTAAAGAAGGGTGTAGTGTCTGGTGCTGTTGCTGGTGGGGTTAGTGGAAGTGGCAGTGCAAGGGATGGTGCCGTGGGTGGGGATGGTGTAGCGGGGAAGGTAGCAGGAGGTGCTGCCCTTGCTTCGCCTACACCCACTCCCACAGTGGCAGGAGCAGGTGCAGTGGTAGCTGGTGGGGTTGCTCGTTTGGACGCGAGTCTACGGGTGTCATCTGCACACGGCGCTGCTGCTGCTTCTGGTGATGATGGTGGTGGTGGCGGCACTGGTGCTCCTGTGCCGGGTCCTGCCCCTGCGTCTCATTCCGAGCGGAAGCGCCACGCCAGCAGCATGGGAGGGGACGATGACAGAGAGGAGAAGCGGAGCAGCAAGCGGAGAGCGCTGCACGCGTATGCCAGCACCACCAGCGCCAGCAGCAGGGAGATGGTGGAACCGGTACTGAGCAGTGGAGCGAGGCAGGAGGGTGTTGGAGGCACAGGTGTGGGGCATGAGGGGATGAGAAGGGGAGGACCTGCGGAGACCGGACGGTGGCATGGAGGGAAGCAGGGTGAGAGGAGCAGAACTTCTTTTGAGACTTCTCCGAAGCAGAGCGAGAGGAGCAGAACGCCCCCTGTGTGGGAACGTGCGGCAGCGGCAGCAGCGGCGCAGCAGCACAGCTGGCAGCAGCAGAGCTCGTCCGGTGGTGGGGGCAGCTGGGCCGGCGCTGCTGCTGGTGCCGCTGGTGGTGCTGGTGGTGCTGGTGGTGGTGGTTTCGTGGTGGATAGCATGTTGAATGTGCCGACCACGACACGGGGCACGCATGGTACTCTTTTCTCTGTGGATACGGAGGGGCGGGTGGGAGGAGGAGGTCGGTTTGATGGTCGGGGTGAAGTGCTGGGAGCGGCAGAGCGCGTGAGGCACGGGATTTCTGAGCCTTCTCACCCCGTCCCTGCTGCTACGCTAGCTGAAGCTGATTCTGAGCCTGTGCTTGCTGCAAGGTTGCCGCAAGAAGTGTTGCCAAGTGAAGCAACAGCGCCAGCAGCACCATCACTGGCAGCACCAGCAGAGACCATAGCAGCTGCAGTAACTCCAGCAGCAGCAGCAGCAGCAGCAGCAGAATTACCAGCACCAGCGCCAGCACCAGCAGTAGCAGCAGCAGCTACACCGGCAGCAGTACCTGCAAAAGTCACCACCCGCCCACCACAGCCCTGGCTGGGGCATTTCTTTGAAGGCCTCTCCCGCTACACCAGGTTCGGCAAGCTGCAGGTTCGGGCGGCGCTGCGCCGAGGCGACCTGCTAGGCTCGGCAGACATGGTGTGCTCGGTGGCGTTCGACCGGGACGGGGAGTTCTTTGCTTCGGCGGGCGTGTGCAAGCGCATCAAGGTGTTTGACTGTAACGCCGTGCTGCGCGCTGCTGCTGAGAGAGGGGCACGGGTGAAGGAGGTGAGGGATGGGATGGAGGTGGACGAGGAGGAGGGGGGTCGGGAGGGAGGAGAAGCAGGTGGACCGGGGATAGGGGAGGGGTTTGGAAGGGGGAGAGGCGGAGGAGTGCGGGGAGGGGAAGGGGGGCAGGCGAGGCAAGAGGAGGGGCATGAGGAGGAGCTGTTGCAGTACCCGGTGGCAGAGATGGCGGGTGACTCGAAGCTGAGCTGTGTGAGCTGGAACCCCTTTGTCAAGAGCCTCGTCGCCTCCTCCAACTATGATGGCGCCGTGCAGGTGAGCACAGGGAGGGGTGCATTCGACTTGCGTGGGATGGGATGACATGGGATGGCTTGGCATGGCTTGCCATGGCTTGGCATGGGATGCATTTGCATGGCAAGGCATGGATAATTGTCAGCCAGCTCATGCATTGAGAATTCCCATCGCCTTTGTCTCCTCTCTTCCATCCACGGGTGTGGAATGTGGAATGTGTGTTCCGGTGGGGTGATTGCAGCACGAGACGCGTGTGTGGAGTGTGCGCACGAGTGGGGTGATTGCAGGTACAAGAATAGCAATCACCCCATCGCGTGTGGAGTGTATCTATGGCTATTCTTGTATCTATTCCCTATCTCAACGCACAGTCCCTGCTGCTCCATCTCTTCCTGTGTGTCTTTCAGGTGTGGGACGTGTGTGCGGGCGAGGCGATAGCGGAGTACAGGGAGCATGAGAGGCGCGTGTGGAGTGTGCACTGTGCTTGTGACTCTTCCATAACTTGACTCACATTCTCGCTCCTGCTCCATCTCTTCCTGTGTGTCTTTCAGGTGTGGGACGTGTGTGCGGGCGAGGCTATAGCGGAGTACAGGGAGCATGAGAGGCGCGTGTGGAGTGTGCACTGTGCGCCCACCGACCCCACCAAGCTCGCCAGTGGCAGCGACGACGGCTGCGTGCGCATCTGGAGCCTGCAGCAGGTACACACGCACCCCAGCCACACACATCTGAAGCAGGTACAGCGAGCCTGCATTGGGTATAGCGAGCTAGCCACTTATACACACCTGCAGCAGGTACAGCGAGCGAGCTATTGACATTTGCAGCCTTCTTATTTCTCTTAGTTTTCCCCCCCCCCCCCTCCCCCTCCCCCTCCAACCAAAACAGGACTCCAGCGTGACAACCATCCGCACGCGGGCCAATGTGTGTGCGGTGCACTTCTCCCCCGCCTCATCGCACATCCTCGCGCTCGGCTCGGCCGACTTCAAGCTCGCCCTCTACGACCTCCGCAAGCCGCGCTCGCCCCTCGCCACGCTCCCCGGCCACTCCCGCGCCGTCTCCTACGTCGCCTTTGCCGACCCGCTCACGCTTGTCTCAGCTTCCACGGATAACACGCTGCGCGTGTGGGACTTGAGGGACGTGCTGGGGAGTGCTGGGGATGGCGTTGGTGGTGCGGTGATGGGGCAGCAGCAGCAGAGGGGCATGGCGCCGTGTGTGCTGACTCTCTCGGGCCATGTGAATGAGAAGGTGAGAATGGGGCGGGGGAAGGGACGAGAAGGGGCATGGGAAGGGTTAGGCGGGATTGTGAAGGCGCCGTACGGACCCGCTCACGCTTGTCTCAGCGTCCACGGATAACACGCTGCGCGTGTGGGATTTGAGGGAGGTTCTGGGGAGTGCTGGGGATGGTTCAGTGATGGGACTGCAGCAGCAGCAGCAGCAGCAGCAGCAGCAGCGGCATCCGGGGCAGGGGGGCGTGGCGCCGTGTGTGCTGACGCTCTCTGGACATGTGAATGAGAAGGTGAGCGATGGGTGGGGAACGGGGGACGGGGAACGGGACGAGAAGGGGCATGGGAAGGGCTTGGCGGGAGTGAGAAAGAAAAAGGGAGGAGGGGATTGATTGGGTTGGAGAGTGGGTAACGTGGGAGCGAAACTGATTTATATTCTGCAAAGTGCTGAGCTTTGTTGCTCTCTTCCTTTCCTCCTCGGCCACTGCACTCGTTTCTTCTGTTTCTCCTCCGCCCTCCCGTGTCTATTTTCCCTAACTTGTTTTCCAGTCCACGCATCCTCTCGCCCTACCCTGAGGCATCCTACCTTCCTGGATTCTCACCAACCCCCCTCTCTCTCCCTTTGTGCCCTCGTCCTGTGTGTTTGGTGCACCTACTCTCTCTTTTTTCTTTCCTCGGCAGAACTTTGTGGGGCTGTCTGTGTCCGAATCGGGGTACATTGCATGCGGCTCCGAGAACAACTCGGTGAGTGGCTGTGCAGTGCAGTGCTGTGCGGTGCTGCACAGTCGCGATTCGCAAGTGTTGTGCTTGCAAAGACTATACTTGCAAACGTAGCGTGTGCTGGCGTATTGACCTCCCATTTCTCCTCCTCCCCTTCCTCCCCTTCTTTCCTCCAGGCATATGTATACCATAGGAGTGTGCCGGCCCCCATCACATGCCACCGCTTCAGTGCTGTGGATGCAGTGACAGGGCGGGCAGGGGGGGAGGACGCAGGGCACTTTGTGAGCAGCGTGTGCTGGCGCAAGGGCACTCACTCCCTTGTGGCGGCGAATTCTATGGGCGATGTGAAGGTGCTCGAGATGATGGAGTGAGGAGGGTGAGGGATGGGAGACAGATGCGGAGGGGAAGGAGAGAAGTGTGCGGAGGGGAGAGGGCGAGTGTGGGAGGGGGTTTTGATGGGCGATGTGAAGGTGCCGCAAGCTGACTCGTAAAAAGGAGCATGAGGAGCATGACTGCAACCTGTTGTGGAGGCAGTATCGCTCTGCTTTTACATACCTATGACCCACACCTACATCCCATCCCAGCCCCTGCAGTACCACCAGTACCGTATGAAGGCGCCTCAGAATATCCTTTTTGCACTGCAGCCCACCGTGTGCTTTGTTTTGAGGCGCCTCAAAACAAGACTCAAAACAAGGCAGCCCACTGTGTGCTGGCTGCAACGATGCGGTGCAGTGTGGTGGGGTGAGTGGACGCTGACAACAAACCAACCCCTTTGAGAATTCTCAAAACCAACGAACGTGTGAAGTGAATTGTCTCCTCCCAATTTTGTTCAAATTGCTGTTTTTTCGCTTACAAGATTTGTACAGCTGCTAGGTACGAGTGTGGTATCAGAACCAGCGTCGACAGCATATTTGTTATAACCACCTTTCTGGTATCGTTGGTCGCTTTACATGTATATTTGATTATATATTCTTTCCTTGTGCTCGTTACTTCTACCTACAACTGCTCTTACACATACATCCGGCACATACTTTTCAACCTTTTTTAATAATACACATAATACAACATGGCTTTATTATATTATACACCACGCCCAGCCAATGTGACCAACATAGCTTGAATCTTGCTTGGGGTTGAGGGTCGCTCACAGACAGAAGCTCTGTGGCCGATTCTGTATGTGTTGATGGTCTTTCCACCTGCCAACTGCAACTGCATGCTACCTTCCTTCACCTGCACTTGTAGCCATTGCAGCTCCTGTAATAAGGAACACACCGCCTTCGCCGCCCCCCACACGCGCCCTTGGGGCACTTGGTCCTCTTGTTACACTTCTTTGTCCCTGTCCCTGTCCCTGTCCCTGTCCCTGTCCCTGTCCCTGTCCCTGTCCCTGTCCCTGTCCCTGTCCCTGTCCCTGTCCCTGTCCCTGTCCCTGTCCCTGTCCCTGTCCCTGTCCCTGTCCCTGTCCCTGTCCCTGTCCCTGTCCCTGTCCCTGTCCCTGTCCCTGGCTCACTGCCTGCTTTGGTATCATCTGCACCTGCCCCGGTTGAACCTTCCTTAGGTGCTGCCTCGTCCCCAAGTCCTCCCTCTGCGTTGCTGCTGCTGCTGCCACTGCTGCTGCTGTCGCCGCTGCTGCTGCCTCCTTTGCTGCTTCCTCCCTTGCCCTTGCTGCCCCCTTTTGAACCACCACCGCTTTTTTTGTTGCCACTACTGCTGCTGCTACCACTGCTACTGCTGCCACTGCTGCTACTGCTGCTACCACTGCCACTGCTGCCGCCGCTGCTGCTGCTGCTACCACTGCCACTGCTACCGCTACCGCTACTGCTACTGCTACTGCTACTGCTGCTGCCACTGCTGCCACTGCTACCACTGCTCCCTTGGTCCTTCACCTTCTCACCAGTGCCACCTTCCTCCCCGGACTTTGCACTTCCATCTGATTGGCTCGCCCCGTTGCTTCCCTCACCACTTCCCTTCTCTCCCGCCGCACTCGTCGTGTCCTCTTCTCCTTCACCACTATTCTCCTCCTCTACCTCCTCAACATTCCCTTCTTCCTCTCCTTCCTCCTCATCATCTCCGTCCTTGTCTTCCGATCCAGTAAGCGTATTGTCCCCTCCACTGTCCCCCTCCTTCTCCTCACTACCACTGTCAGCACCACTTTTAGCACCGCTGTCAGCACCACTATCAGCACTACTCTTCGCACCGTCCTCAGAAGCACCTGTGGGAGTTTCTTTTGCAGATTCATCGCCGCTGCTGCCAGCTTTAGCATCAGTGGCGCCCACAATCATGCTGTCACTGTCACTACCACTCCCAGTGCCAGTGCCACTGCCACTGCTGCCTGCATCCTTGACCAGGCTGCTGCTCCCACTCGCATCACTCCCTTTGCTGCTGCTGCTGCTGCTATCACTGCTGCTGCTGCTGCTGCTGCCACCAGTGCTGCTGCTGCTGCTGCTACCACTGCTGCTGCTGCTGCCGCTACCAGTGCTGCTGCTGCTGGTACCACTGTTGCTGCTGCTACTGTCAACAGCAGTGCTGCCACTTGTGCTGCTGTCGCTGCTTTTCGTCTGGGAGGCGGTATCGCTACTCCCACCATTGTTCTCATCACTACTGCTGCTATCACCACTTTGATTGTCCTCCTCCTCCTCAGAGCCATTGGTATTGCCACTCTCGACTCCCACGTCCTCATCCTCAGCAGCTGAAACTGTGAGTAAGTAGATGCAAATCACATGGAAAACCGAGGTATTACAAAGGAGAGGATTGTTACAAGTGAGTGTGTTTGATTGGCCTTAACACGAGGAACTGCAATCGATAAAGAGGCTGAAAGGCAGGGAGAACGCGATGGAAAAAAAAAAAAGCATAAATTTAGATTAAGTGTTCGGTTTCTTACCTTCTTGGCACACCATCGTTACAGTCACACTCCCGGCCTCTTCAGCTGATTCAGGAACAGTATCCATCTCTGCTACACACACTTTCCCCTCGCCACACAGGTTGACTTGCGTTGACTTCATTGACCCGCCACAAACCGCACACGCCTCCTCCCCCCTCTGCTCCCCACCCGCCCCCTCGCCCGATGAACAGTGCCCTGAAGAAGACAAGCAGTTGCCACCCGCGCTGCACTCGTCTAGTTGCGAGGCAAAGGAGGGGAAGGAACCAGCGAAGAAGTTTCCCGAGACGTCGAGCGTTTTCAGGGCAACGGAGGGAGGCGACGGGAGAACGCCCGTGAGATAGTTGGAGGCTAGGGAGCTGATGGTGGGGGAGAGAGGGGGAGGAAAAGGGGGGAGGGCAGGCAAAGTTGGGAGGGGAGTGAAAAAAGGTTATAGGCATTGAGATGAGAACGCAAGGATGGAGGGAGGAGACTGCAGAACGCTGGTGAGACAGTTGGAGTCTAGGGAGCTGATGGTGGGGAGAGAGGGGGAGGAAAGGAGAGGAAAGGGGGGAGGTGGGGAAGGGGGTAGGGAAAAGGGGTGAAAGGGGGGAAGGGGGAAAGAGAGTAGAGAGTGGAGGAAGGGCAGTGGAGGCACGTGTTGAGGTGTGTATGAAGAAAATGGGTGTGAGGGGGCCGCAGAGAAGGCGGAGGATGAAATGACAGATGCGCAGGCAGAGACATGTGGATTGGCGAGCTGATACTGGAGCGGAGGCAGAGGCATGAACGCACCATAAGGCGGAATACAGCACAAGCAGGCATGGGATTACAGAAAGGCTTACAGGAGTTCTATGTTGGGCATGAGGAGGAGGGCTTCTGGGACGGAGCCGTAGAGGTAGTTACTGGACAGGTCGCTGTGGGGGAGGAGGGGAGGCAGGGGGGTTGGTGCGGAACAAAATGGGCTGAATAATCGCCTTTTGAAACGCCTCAAGAAGGGCTTCAGGGACGGAGCCGTAGAGGTAGTTACTGGACAGGTCGTTATGGGGGCGGGAGACGAGGGAAGGGGGAGTGGCGGTGTCTTTGTTAGAGAGGGAGGAATGGTTGTGGTGTGAAGTGAAGGATAGAACCATTGAACCAGTAGCACTAGAGATTATCAGAGGATAGAAAAGGCTACTGGAGTCTTGGATTGGACAGAAACAACAAAGTTATCCAACCAATACGTGTGAAGCGAGCTCGGTTGACGTACATGTAGGCAATGGATTTGATCCGCAGCAGTGGGGCAACAAAATCGCTGAGCTCCACGTTGAAGAGATTCATTCCCAGGTCGCTGGTGGTGGAGGAGAGTGAAAGTGCGTAGAGATGGGTGGTGAGCGGTTGGAAGAGGAAGAAAGGGATCGGAGAGAGAGTAGAGGCAAGAGTGGAGGGGAGAGCGGAAGAGGGGGGATTGGTGGTACTGACATGGGAGTAATTGCACAGGGTGGGGGAGAATGATTGGGCGAGCATACACATGGCAGTGAGCGCGGAGGGAGGGAAGGTGCTGACATGGAGAGAGATAATATGGTGGTGGCGGCGGAACTGACATGGTAGTGAGCGCGGAGAGCGCGCTGAGTTCGGGGCTGAGGGTCCCCACGAGGCCCATGAAGTTGAGCACGCTGCGGGTGGGGGGAGGGGAGGGAGCGCGAGGAGTTCTGATCTCGAGTGGAACTCTCGAACTCGACCTTGAGTCCGCTCGACGTATCAAAGCTGAGGTTCCCACGAGGCCCATGAAGTTGAGCACGCTGCGGATAAGAGGACCCGGGGTGGAGTGGGGTAGGTACACGAACGTGAGGTCCCCATGGGGCCGAGCATGTCCGGGCCAATAGATTGGGATTGCGGTTCCCTATGAGGCCCATGACGTTGAGCACACTGGGGGAGGGGAGGGAGAGCGGGAGGAATAAGAGAGGAAAAACGGCAACGCGAGTAGGGAGGATCTAAGTTGGGAAAGCTAAAGAGGTGTTTGACGAAACTGAGGAAGTAGAAGTGCGTGCGCCTCGGAGGTTGAACCGAATCTCAGCGACACGGGTAGCTTCGCGGAGGCACGGAATGACTCGCAGTGAAAACGGTTGATCGACGATGCACGACGACGACGTGATCTGCGACTCGAGCGGTCAATCTGGGTCCAAAAGACACGCGTTGACTCACGAAGAGAACCGTTGACTCACAGCGAAACGGGTTGACCGTGGGAGTCGCAGCGAACATACGTCCATCCCTCCGACGACGGCTGCACCTCGCCGTCCGGCGTGCACGTCTGACCTGCCGCCCAGTCCGATAGCGGCACCTGCGCGTCGTCGAGCAACTGTAACAGCGCCGCCTCTGCGACGCGACGGACGTGCAGAAAACGAAAAAAGGGGTAGTAGTAAGAATGGATTGAGTTGAGAATTCCAGTGAGGCGCCGTGCAGGATTTCCAAGCCGCTTTTATATCGTTTCATCACACGCAGAGTCTAATGTGACACCTGAAAGGATCAATGCAACCTGGAGAAAAAGGAGACAAACGCCCCGACGGCGGAGTCTATTTTTTAGGAGCCTCAAAGCGTCTATGACAGATCTAGTAGATTCATTGACGCCTGAGTCATTTCGCACCTGCATCGCTGTCCATGGCGACTCCGGCGCTGGCCGATGAGAGTGGCGAAAAGATCAGCAGCAGCGCAAACGCCACTCGGAGCCGCCGCGATGATAGTCGCCGTGAATCGGAGGCGGCCGTCGAGCGCGGCGACGCCATAGTACTAGCGCTCGCGAAACCTGATGGCAGGAGAATTAATGTCGCTGTTTGGGCGGTTTTTTTTTTTTTCTTTCTTTCTTTTTTTCTAGGATCCTTGTGAAGAAATCGCGTCCGACACAGATCTACTATACCTGGCAGAAATTACACCGAAGCGACGAGAGCTACTTTTTTGTCTTCTACTTCTTGTGAGAGACTTTCAGCTTGCGGCGCCGAATCGGCTCGAGTAAAAAGTACCCTGCTCGAGAAACTGGACGATTTAATGATCGGACAAGCACTGATTGAATCAGTGCTGCGTGAGTCGTGCCTGATGTTTTCTGCGGGGCGAGTGAACAAACAAAACCAGCTGGAGTCACAACTACAGTACTGCTCTTAGACGACTCTTTCGCACAATCTGCATTAGGCGCACTGTGCAGGAGTGGTGTCCTCCCGCGCTTCCGTCAGCCATCCTATCGTGTCAAATTTGTGGAGCACGTGAAAAAACAAAGTGGTATGGTCTGGTTTGGTGTTTTTTGGTGTGGTGTGGTTGGGTGATGTCGACGGCTGGGTGATGTCGACGAGATGTGTTGGATGAACGAGAGGGGCGAGAAGAACCAAGGAGTACTGTACGACGCATGTGGTTGGCCTGACTAAGATACGCACGTAAATGGTGGAGTGACTCACATGCGCGGTTCGAGCATTAAATTCTCTCGAGTCGCGGGCTGATGGCCAGCCAGACGCCCCAGATATGCCTGACGCAAGAAAGCAAAAGCTCTCGATGTCGAGAATCTCGCAATTTTCGTCTACGAATCATATGAGTCGCCTCTTCCTCCTCCGGCCTCCCGCCAAGCAAGAAAATGTGGTAACGAGCAAGGCGAGTGTTACCTGTTTCGAAAAAAATATTTGTCAAGAGGGTGTGCTGATGAGATGCTTGGATTTTTACCAGATAAACCTGTCATTTGTCGTCTTTTTTTTTTTTTTTTGGTAGGTGAAATATGCACTATACACGTACAATGCAAAAACACCACGGTCGTAACCGGTGCTAGAGGGCATAGGTAGTGTATACTACCGTACCCTCCCAGATCTCTACGGAGGCTTATAGACCAAACGCCTAAACATTTCAGCTTGCCCGCCACAAAAACCTATTGTGCCGTTGTCACACTTCAGTACTTGCAGAAGCATCTCGATACATTCCTCATGTTGGTTTTGTCGCTTCAGCTTTGGTGGCTTGGCTCCTCCGAACCTGCCTTCCCTGGTCTGGTGAGGTTGGTTTGCAACAGAAGCAGCTCTGGGTCGCTGCCGCTGGGCCTTGTCATTTGTCGTCTTGTGTGGACCTGAACAGTCTTGTTCCATTGGAATCAGCTAGCTTATCCAACAAACCGCCGCCACCAGGTTTTTGTTGCTCCAATAGGCAGCCTCGACTAAAAGGAAAGGCAGGCGCGCAGATCGAATTCGGTAAGGCATACTCGCTAGTTGCCTTTGCTGGAACTCACTTTCTGGGTCATATTCGTTCGTTTACACCTGAATATGAATGGGTTATTCTGGTGCCAGTTGTACGTACTTAACAGTGTATAACGAACCGTTGATTGAGAAATTATGATCCACCCAAGCTGGAGAACAGATAATGAAGAAGGTACTTGTAAGTCTCTTTCTACAATGGTTGTGAAATGATTCTAATGTGAAGAGCTTGCTATATAGTGCCTCGTGTTGAGAATATGTTTGTATGCTTTTATTATAAGTGCACTGTTCGAAGTGTGCTTACGAGGGCTCGCCATAGCGAGGGATTTGAACCTGATGGCGAGTCAACGGGCCGCAACCGAGCACAGCGGTTGCGACCCGCGTGGCAGCTCAAGAGTCGAATCGACAGCAGGAGTCATCGTCTACAGTACGCGAAACTGACCTATGAAACCGCGCCCTTGCCGAAGCTGAAAAATCTCGCCAGTGCGACTGTAACAAGGCAACCCAAGCGACGCAGCGCAACTGTTATACAGTTGCGCCTTGGTAACTGTTTGCCCTATGCGTTTGCTATATAACAGAATGCAATGCCTTGCTCATATTACACAATTCTCAAGCTTGTGTCCGGCCTACCCTCGGCCGCTGCTTTGGCACCATGTTACAAGCCAGGAGAGCTACCTCTGAGTGACCAATAGCCCCGCCGTAGGGACGTCGATAATTCCTAGAGCTTCCGCTGCGCTCTAGCGACTTCTTATTTCCAACATGGTATCACGAGCAAGAGTTCCAATCCTTGGAACCTGTGATAATTTCTACAAATGGGCCCACCACCTGAATCATCACCAGGAGCATCTTCTGGAGCAGGTTCGACCTGCCACTTCCCACGGAGCACTACGTGGAGGAAATCTTCAACGCACCGTCGCATCATTTTGGGCGACTCAGCAAGACGAATTTCAAGGAGTTACAGCAAAGTCCCTGGCAAGGACTTCACAACTTCAACCCGGCAAGATTGCAGCTCTCCTCGTTTCTACACTTCTAACAGTGGAGGGGAGTGTTGAGAATATGTTTGTATGCTTTTATTATAAGTGCACTGTTCGAAGTGTGCTTACAAGGGCTCGCCATAGCGAGGGATTTGAACCTGATGGCGAGTCAACGGGCCGCAACCGAGCACAGCGGTTGCGACCCGCGTGGCAGCTCAAGAGTCGAATCGACAGCAGGAGTCATCGTCTACAGTACGCGAAACTGACCCGTGGGGCGCGGCTGGATACCGCGCCCTTGCCGAAGCTGAAAAGTCTCGCCAGTGCGACTGTAACAAGGCAACCCAAGCGACGCAGCGCAACTGTTATACAGTTGCGCCTTGGTAACTGTTTGCCCTATGCGTTTGCTATATAACAGAATGTAATGCCTTGCTCATATTACACAATTTAGAAAGCTTGCTTTCTTGCATGTAGCAATTGGCATCGTCTCATTTCAAATGGGTTTAGTACAATTGAAATCCATAGTGATATTACAAAGATATGCCTCTATGTTCCTACGGCTATCCTGTTTCCGAGGGGGGGGGGGGGGGCGGGAAAATCGGCTAAACCGTTTGAAAATGAGAGACGTGGGTGGAGGGAAATGACCTCCAGCCCACGTTTTGTACTCCAAAACGGGCGTTTAGCGCGGCTCGACGCTGCCAAATCCTACATTACAAGCAGCTTCGCTTTCAAAATACATAATTTTGAAAAGCGTTACAGCTTTTAAAAATATACATATTTAGAAAGCTTGCTTTCTTGCATGTAGCAATTGGCATCGTCTCATTTCAAATGGGTCTTCTGAGACATGTGTCGTGCTGGTTGGCGATGTCGTGTCAGCGCCGCGGAGTGTTGCGTCGGTGACGAGGCTCTCGCCGGATCTTGGACATGTCGAGATGCTCCAACCAACTGTTCTATCGCCGGAGTGAT